ATCTTTTGTTCTAGCATCGTTCTATAATCTGATCTGCATAAATCCCTAACCATCATCTTCTTTAATGTAAGATAATCTTTAGGTCTCGATTTAACACTGGAAGATGCATAACAAGCATACCAACTTCTTGCTGTTCCCCGCAAATACATTGGTAATCGCGTTAACTTAGTTTCATCATCCCAGCCGGCAGCATCCGATGCAAATTCATAGTTCTCGAACCAATCAACTAAATCTTCGCCATAATCATAGCTTAAAGCATTAATATTGTTCAAATTGGCAACTGGTATCGAAGCAACTATTGATCCCGTTATTTTCTTACCTTTAGCCTCTTTGATTTCTTTTTCAACTTCCATTTCGTTTCTTGATTTGTTTATTAATTAAGACAGATTAAGAATAGACTCATCAAACTCAGGGATAATAGATTCAAAATTGGTGTATCGATTAATTCGATGGCAATTTTTTTTGGAGTACAATTTTCCCAACTCACTTGTATGCACGGTTTCTCATCATTATTGTTATTCATTTACTTTATTCTTTTTTCAATCCAATCTTTTTTAACCGTATAATTTTGTTTTGATGAAATACATGATCAGTGGAAATATTCTTGGTGCTTTTGGGTATCACGGTATCACCTAGATAAAACGAAGCCAATGAGTACGTAATATATTCGGCGATTTCCCTTGGAGTTTTATTTTGTAGCTCAATGAACGGCTGTGCTTGATGTTGTTGTTGAAATTTGTTGGACGCCTTGAGGAAAACCAACGCTTTTCTGTCCACCTCGTTGAATAGAGAATGAGATTTATCCAATTTAGCTGGATCAGATTTATCTATTTCGTATATTTGTCGTAATTTAACCGCTGATAGAAAATTTTCCTAGTCCGTTTTTCTAATTGTCTCAAATTTTTTAAGGCTTTACGTTTTCTGTTTTTCTCGTTAAGAAATGATTTGTAATTAAAACTTCTTTTCTGATTAGAATTTAATCCCGCAGGTCGATATGATTTCGGATCTAAGATATGTAAGTTATGACATGAAAAGGATTTCAGGATTAGCTAAGCAATAAGCAAAACGAAAGATTAATCGAATATTTCCCCAACTTGCTCTTGAAGCTGTTTCAGGGAAATATTCGGTAACTTACCAAAATTATTGGCCATCGTCCAAGATAAGTTGAAATATGAATCGGTTAAATAATTTAAATTGTTAGAACAAAGAAAATTAAACAATTTTCAATAAACAGTTTCAGGAGATCCTGGCAGCTTCGCCAAAATGAAATGAATTTTCATTTAATACTTTAAAATTTAACTTTTAATCTCTTCAAAACAAAGGTTAGAGAGAGAATGAGTATTATGAATTAGATACATTGTATATTAGATACACTACAATATCTATTGAGCATCATCATTATCTTCATTATCATCATTATCATCATCATCACGAAAGTAATCAACATAAATCAGTCACCAGACTGTGACCTGGCCATGGTCACCTATGGTCACAGTCTGGTTAACAATTATTTTATTACATATGATAACAAAAATAATCATGAGAACTATAAAAATAACACAAAAATTTACTTTCATCAATTAACAGGTTTTGTTCCTCACCATTTGTTCCACATGCTTCCATAGCATCAGCTATCACACAGGCTGAATAATGATTAAGAATAAATCGATTAAATAATGAAAAATTGTAACTGATAAAAGACTTACCGAAGCTAAGTAGCATCAAAAAAGGAGTTTTTTGTAAGAACATAACTAATTTATTTAGTTGTTATTGAAAAAGAGTAATTTCTCAATACGATAAAAATAAAGTGTATGACTATACAAATGCTTGTTTACAAATGAAATAAGTTTAAAGAGTAACAAAGTTTCAGTAACTATAAGACAAAATACGCGCATTTTTTAAATTCAGATGATTAAACTTCCTATTTAAAACTCATCCCATTTATCATTAGTATTTCCCCCACTTCCGCTTCTGGCTCACCTAGAAGCGGAGCTTTATATATTTAAAGTAATAGAGGGTTCAGCTGGTACAGCTTTTCGGAATTTCAGCTATCAATTACTATTGGTTAGGAGCTTAAGCTCACTATCCTTATAATTAATAATAATGTTCAGCGGGGAAAACAGTTCAGCCAGAGTTTCAACAACAGCGTTTAACTGCTCTTGGTCAGGAGCGTACGCTCACTGTCCTCACAATTAATAATAACACAACACAACATATGAATTTCAACTAATTCACTTTCATGGTTTCAGCATTTGAATCATCACCATCATCAGCTAATGATTAAATGATTTAGTTGATTAAATTTAACCAACAATCAAATCAATTAACAAAAACAACAGCAACAATTAAACAGAATAAAATTAACAACAATAATAATCAAAATTAAAATTAAAAATTAGTTAATTAATTGTAGGATTAGGTAGAGAGAGAAATTAATTGAAAAGAAAGAGAAAAGAAAGTGGAAAAGAAAGAGAAATGGAAATGGAAAAAGAGAAAGAGAAAGAGGATTTCTTATCCTTTGGTTTTTCTTTCTCTAACTTTCAACTTTACATTACATATACCACTTATTACTACTCTTGTTTTCTTCTCTCTTTCAACCTCCGATCAATTAACTAATTTTTACTCGATGTTTATTGGCATTGTTGTTGATCAACCAAAACATAGATGGGTTAACACAATTAATTTCTCCTTTTTTACCCACTTTCCTCGATTCTTCTTTTCTCTAATTTGCCACATTTACTGATAGCTATAATTCGGCTTCACCAATTCGAGTTTATTAATATTAGGTTGATTCACGATGAATAACTTTTATTTGACCTTCAAATAGCTGAAATTTTGTCTATTACTAATAAAGACCTTGAGAATTCTAACTTAGCTTTGACTTTGGTCATGATTCAATTCTCATTAACACTAGTCACATAGTCACCCTAATCGATAGTCATTATCATTGTCTTCTATCTTTCTTAATCCTACTCGATTTTCCTAAGTTAATTCTGACCAACTTTCCATTCTTCATCTTTATGGACTACAACTTTGTATTAAACTGTATAATGTCGCTACATATTGATTAGCTCCAATGTCTCGATTTATCGAAACTCAATTTCATCATCGAGTTCAGTCTTAGCACTATCAGCAAATCTTCCTCATGTCGAGATTCTTCACCTTTGATTTATCGTCCAATTTTCACTGAGGATAGTGAACTTTGTCTTCTAATATTTTCTCAGTTGGTTATACTTAAATCTGATCAGTGACCTGCACTTTGACTGAATTAATCAGTTCTTCTATTGTGAGCTATACTTAATGTCTTAGCTTCATGAACTTATGGTTTCTACATCATCTTCAGTTATATTAATAGAACCAAATGAATCAACCTAATAGTAAATGATAACCTTGAAAGTGATGAAAAAAGATGTTTCGCATCATTTTTTCTTTCATCTTTTTCATTCATAATCGTAATAATTGTCCTCTTCTCATCTTCCACTACTTAAATTTACTCTTTATATTTATTTTTTTCGTTAGAAACTAAACCATTTCCGTCGGAAACAGTCTTTGTTCTGCATCATCTTCACTTTTTTTCAACTCTTTCCTAGCCTTATCTGATCTTCTCTCACTTACTGATTCACATTTGTCCCTTAAGCACAAAACGCAAATCCATCGCATTTGGAAATATAAAGATAATAAAGTTCATAAATATAATAGTTACATGATATTCACCCTCCTCTATGATGATGATCCCTCGAACATTATATTGATAAATGTTACAGAGCTAATAGAAAAAAAATAATAAACGAAAAAAACTGGAAACTTGAAATAATAACAATAAACGTTAATGATGCTACTGTATTTGTGGACAGAGAGATTTAACATCTTTCAAACTATTAATAAATTAATCTTCATAGCCTTAATCAAAGATGAGGATTCTAATTATTCCCATATCCTAATAGATTATTTAACAAAAGTAGTCACTATTGACCGAATAGTTTGACCACAAAGCATTAATGGATTATTTTTTATTTTCAAATTTTCACCTTTCATTTTAATAGTTGTTCATTCAGCCCCTTCCTCCCAATTGTCGTTAATCACTCACCATCCCTGAAGGAACAATGAGTTTGTTGACAAAAGAAACAGAGCTAGATAGGAGAAAAGTTCTAACTGAAGGATAAAATTAATCGATTGATTAAATTTCATCATCAATGATTAAAGTGATTATGTGACTCTCGATGATTGATTCAATAAACTGATTCGTTTACCTGGTGTTGATATCATCAAGTGGCTTCATGAAAGATTAAACTTTTTCATTCACCAGAAAAAAACCATTTCATCATAATTCTGATGATTATGATGTATTATTCATCTTAGAAATCGAGTGAGCAGAGAGAGAGAGAGAAAGAAAAGTTAGCTAAGAAAAAAACTCGAACAACTTTTTTTTCTCCTTCCATAAGAAACTTCTTTCTAATAAGAGAAAGATGATTATGATAAGAGAAATAGAAAAACTCGAAGCTATTTAAAGGAAGCATAAGATGATCAATCTTATCTTCATCTTCATATCTCACTCTTTGTCATTGTGGCTCAGTCATCAGGGTGGGGTTATTTCTGAGAATGATGAATTGTGTCTGACAAGAGTTTAGTTAATATTTGATTGTGTTAATAGCGATGATAATAAACAACATGTTATTATCATCGTCAAGATTATCAACTTTGTTTCTTCCGTTTCTTTTTTATCGTCACGAATACGAGTAGAGGCAGCAGAAAAAATGTTCTCAGAATGAATTCAGATAAAATATTATCTCTTCCTCTGTCATGGTGATGATGGAAAGAAGAGAGAAAAAATTGTAGCAAGAGTGACAATGATTTACGATGTCATCTTGAATACTAAATATTACATGAGATTCGGAATGCGTGGAAATGATTTGAGCTGTTAAGTTTTTTCCAACGTAACAAAAAAGTTCTGATGGGATGTTTTTTGCTTTCGATTTCCTTTTTTCGTCTTCCAATTTCAGAGTTAAAAGTCTTAGCGGGACATAGAATCACCTTGGTGTGTAATATAACATTTCCTGCAAATGACCACATCCTTTTGATACTTTGGTACAAAGGTGATATCAATGGGTCGCCAATTTATACTATTGACGGAAGATACAAGAATCAAATTGAGGAAGCTGAACATTTTAAGAGTTCGGACCTTGGGGAAAGAGCTTATGTCGATATTAAAAGTCTACCGGTTACACTGACCATTGATCCTGTTCTAGCTTCTGATGATGGACTCTACTTTTGTCGAGTGGACTTTAAATGGGCTCGAACCTCGGCAACCTCAATTAGGTTAAATGTATTAGGTGAGTAAAAATGTTCCCAATGTAATGTATATGTAACTCCCAAAAGTGTATCATGAAAATAATCCCCAAATGAGATTTCCAAATATTCATTGGTAATTCAATTATCATGAAATGATCTTCATGAAAACCTTTACTTTCCTTTATGCTAAAGAAAACAATTGACAATAGAAATTTTCATTTTCTCTTCATTATCATTACCCAATGATGGTGATGATGATGATGATTCCATGATGATGATTCCAACAAGAATTGCCTTTTATGTTTGAATTGTTTCATTTCTGTCTGTCATCATCATCATCATCGTCGTCATTGTCGTCGTCTCCTTGAATGTATCAATTCCATAATGGGAAAACATTAACAACCACAAAACAAATGATAACAATGATGATAATCATTATCATCATGAACAATTTCAATGGGTTTTCAGGGTAGACAAAAATCATCTATTACTCCAGTAATAGTAAATGAAAATGTTTCAAAAAGGCTTCAGAATAAACACCAGAATTACCATGTAGATATTATCGTTTATGATTCCATGAGGAGATAAGTTTATGAAAAACAAGAACACACAAACACTTACAAAGAATCAAAGCACATTGAGAGAGTGAATTAGAAAGAAATGAGTTAATGATCATCATCACCATGGTAAATTCATTATACGATTAAGAAATAATGACAATTCAAATTAAACTATAACATTTTCATTCCCATGAACGAACGATCAAGTCTCATGATTATGATCACTCATCTTGATCATCATCATGAAAACATCGACAAAACTTTTCATCTAGAGAAGAAGAAGCAAAAAAGAATCAAGTGATTATAATGATTATCATGGTTATTTAAATGAACATTTCCAGTTCCTGGATTGTGAGATGGAAATCATCTTTTTGATTCAATTTTTGCTCCATGATAATTATATCACCCAGTTAATTTCAGCGAGACTCAGACTGATGACATTGAAAAGCTTGATAAATTAGCTGAAATCCTTTGCAAGTTTATTTTATCCGCAGAAATCATTGATTTATCCTTGTAAATCCACTTTAATCCTCAACTTTCTGTCTAGAATTTGGTAAAGAGTATTTATCCTCATGAAATCTATCCTGTTGTTCAGTCCTTCAGAAAATGATATTTTCACCTTCTTTAAGTGTTCAAATTATCATGAAAATTTTTCCCATTTCCAAATCAGGAAATCATATGATTAGCTATGATTTATCATAGGTTAATGAAGCTTAATAATATTAACGCCATGATGATGATTTTCATCATTTTCATGGTGATGATTATTATTAACGATAATGATTTTATATGTACTATCAATATATATTATTATAGCTTTCAACTGATTAATAATAATCATATCCAATTGAATTAAAACAATAATATTATTTTATCAAAAAGAAAGAGTTTAAAATGAAAATTCTGGTTTCATGGTGATGGATTCAGGAAATGAAAATGTAAATTGAAAGACATCAACTTTATTTAATATAAAAGTTATCATCATTATCCAATCAGATGAAAATATATTATAATAAATGTATTTAAATCCTAAAATTATGAGTTTTCATGATAATCAATGAATAATCATGTTCCATGTGAATATCTCTGTTGGTCTATTGAATTTGGTTGACAAAAGTTTCCACCCAAGTAACAAAAAGGAAAAGGAAATGATGTTGAAAAGTTGAGTTTTCTTTTTCAATTTTTTCTGCTTCTCTTTTTTTTCTCCAATTCTTTTCATCCGATTTTCAAACTCAAACCAATTTCAATAATATACAATCATGGTAATATAATTCATTGGAATGACAATGATACTCTCACTAGATATTAAATACACTAGATTAAATGATATTACCATTGGAAGGTGGAAGTAGATGAAAAAAAGGTTCTCTTTTTCATTCATTTTCCTCCTTCTTTCAACATTTTCCTTTTCATTTCTATTTCTTTCTCTTTTTCAAATCATCATGAAATCCTCACCATGAACAACAACAACAACAACACTCAATTCATATGGATGAATTTGCAACTTCCATCCTCATCCTGAATCCTCTCTAACTAACTGACCAGACGAGAAAAAGCTTTAACCTTTTACAGATAATATTTCACTTCTCTGCTGTTGTCCAGTGGAAGAAAAAAAAGGAAAAGATATTAATCAAAGCATTTTTTTTCTTCATTTGCAATTCTATTCTTTTTTGCTTCTTCTTCATGATACTTTTCTGAAACTATCTGTTGGAATTTCCTCCTTCCCTCTTCATCTTTATTCTCATCTTTCTTTCCGCATCTTTATGCTAATATAAAGTAAACTGTTATAACTTGAAAGGAGGAGAATATAAAAAAATGCTTTTCCTCCTCATCTCAAGTTTGAATTTCTTTGACCACCAGAAAATGAGTATTGTTCATGGTCAATATTCATAGTGACCATGAAACCGACACTCTCTCTCTCTCTCTCTTATTTCATTTAGAATGTAACTTTTCATTGTCATCACTCTTCCTCCCTGTGAAAGTTAATATTATCAACTCTTGTGATGAATTGATGAAGAGTAGACGACGACAGAAAAAAAGAATGAGAAAAAAATCTCAAAAATCATCATGAGTAACTGACCTTTACGGTTGACAAAATTGAATGATATTTTTTTCAATCTCAATGTTCACCAATAAAATAATATTGACCATTCAATACAGAAGTAGAAAGTAATTTGTCCAGTCTGTCAAAACTCTACTGTTGACAATTTTCTTTCACTGGACCTAACTATGAAGAAGAAAAATAGATTCATGTATTAATATACATAAATCAAAGGAGAAAAGGATAAGGAAAGAAAAACTTTTTATTCTAAGTGAATGAAAAGTGAACTCAATCTGAACATCTCATCTTAAATCTCCACCTCAAAAACCAAGTGAACAATTTCATGATCATTTATATGCATAAACTTCTAGTCTAATGTATTTCCCACCCCACTCTTCATGAGAAAATCTTCTAATTTTGTTCCTTTTTTCTTCTTCTCCCACCGCCAACTATAAATACCCACAATTTACAGTACCTCCAAGCAAATTGACTATAACCAATGTAAATGGAATACCTTTCCGTAAGTTTGCTGGACCCTTTAACCAAGGTGAAACTGCATTGATAAAATGTTTTGCTTTCGGAGGTAAGTTCTGGTTTCAACTCCCACTTATCCTTAACCTGAGCATCCAATTAAGTATACTAACAAACTAATCAGATTTAAATCAATCAACAGCCAGAAAAAATAGACAAACTCAAAGAAAACATCAGGAGTATTATCATTATCATCAGCATATTTGCCTAATCCTTTCCTTTTCCTCTTCCTCCATCACTTATACATAAAAGGGATGATGGTGGTTACATTTATTACTATTCCTTGTCTTGCATTTTCCTTATTTACATCCTTTTCCACCTTGATAGTGAACTTTTTCCACCCTCCAAAGTTAATAGTTTGAATGTCCTTCTCCTTATAAACAGTTGTAATTGTCTACATCTTGCCTTCCTACTCATTTAATTGCTCAATATCACTTTACCTTATATCAAATAGTTTATGTTGAATAGAAATTAACAATAATCATAGGATAAGAAAAAGTTTGAATAAAGTGGGAAACTTTTCTCACCCACTCCCATAATCTATTAACAGGGAAATTGTGAAATTTTCACCGGTGACATTTTTCTTCAAGCGATTGAGTCAGAAAGAAAGAGAAAAAGAAAGAGAATCTCTGATCGATTCCGGATTTCCATTTATATTTATGTTTATTCAGTTATAATAGTTCCCTCTTCGATGAAATCATTTACCCACCGGTGTTGAATTCAGAATCATCAGATTATATATTTGAGATAATCATTTAGAAGATACAAATATAATCCATCACGTTTCATCATGAAACAGTGAGAGAGAGAGAGAGAGAGAGAAAATTTACTTGTATCTCTCCATGTAAAATATTTACTTCTAAAGGGTATTGATTAAATGGCGTGGATAAAGTTCAGATGATAAGATTTATCATCAACATGATGGGTTTCATGTTAAAAGAATAAGAAAAAGAAGAAATAGAAAAATTGAGAAGAAAAAAGAAAAGTTCTGATTCATAGGAATTCACCATGTATTAGATAATCATCATCATCATGCAATATAAATAATAACTTAATATTCACCTGCATCAAATTGATAGTAAGAAAAACAAGTTAATCTATTTTAACTAAATTAATGATTAACAATTTACAGTGAATAAATGATAGTTGATTGTTGGAAAAGGTTTCAATTTAAATTGTATTAGCGTGCCAACAATTTACTAATTTACCAAAAAGTTGATTATATAAATGTTACAATTGTTTTTTTGGTTCTCATCTAAAAAATTGATTGTTATTGTTAAATTAACCGATAGTTAATTTTTGTAAAGTTGAAAGTCACGATCGACAAACTTTTTCAATTACAATTAAACTTTTCTTTGTAATCATCTTGTTCATTTACTTGATGGATAATTAATTGGTTAAATCATGTTCATGACAATTGAAATATCATGAAAGTTTTCATTTTATTGTAATTGTTAAAAGTTAAATGATTGGTTTCGAGAGAGAGAGAGGAAGAGGGAGATCGAAACTAAAGAGAAAAGAAAGAAAGTTTTTTTTTCGAAAATTGGATAAAAAAGAAGACGAAAAGTTTTCCATTCGTAACTTTGTCTTGTAATCGATTTACATTATCGATGATGATGATGATGATGCAAGTGTTTCGAAATATCGAGTTCTGAACCAATCAGCATATTCTTCAATATTATTATCATGTTTATCATCATCCTTTCCTATCATCTTACTACTCGTTGTCTGAGTAAATATTTATATTCTTACCTTGATTGAAATGGAATAAGAATAAAGAACGAGAAGGAAGAAGAAGAAAAAAAAAGTTTCATGCTCTTTGACCTCGAAATAATCGATAAGAACCCACAGAATAAACAAAAGAAAATAATAGTGAACATGGAATGGAATAAGTGTGAAGAGGAAAGGAAATGTTAAGAATAACATGGTAATATTATATTATATTTTCTCTTGAAATGAAATCTCAAATTCTCACCATGTAAATTAGATTTCGCTCCAACGATTAAAACAGATTCTTTAATTATTCTCTACCTTTCATTATCATCATCTTCCAATTGATATTAATTTTTATCTCCTCAGTTCATGTTAACTTATATTAGCATTTAAGTTATGTAACAAGTATTATGCTATTCTCGGAAAGGATGTTTAGTTACCATGAGAAAAGTTCACCCAAGCAAATTGATTCATCTTCATGGTGTTCAAACTTATCGGTGAATAAGCAATCATAATTAATAGAAACTATTCTTAATTGAATGAATTAGATCAACAAGTTTTTGCGACTTTTACACAATGTATTTTTCCTAGACAATTAGAAATCTATCAAGAACTTTTCGAAATTATCGATATTCGATTCCGAGCTTGGATTCTACAAAAAAAATAATATTCGTATCTCGATTTTCACCAAAGAAATTTATTGCTAACCAATTGATTGTTTTGTCCATATCAACTTTTCCTTTGGTTCTAATTGAATGAAATTGATCTGATGAAAAAGCTTTCGATTGGAACTCAATGTTTGACCATTACTGTCGCTTGGTCAGTTATTTTTTCTTCTTCTGGTTCAACTTTTTGTATTAAAAAGAAAAATTAACTTTTCTTGATTACTATTGAATCAATTGGATGATGATAAGCTTTAGAATGATGAAAGATGATGATTATGAATGTTTTCTGTTGGGTCAATGTGTATTTGTGTCCAGTATTGTTATCTTAGTATTGATAAACTAATAGAAATCCCTTGACCACACATTTAATAAACTGGAGTAAAAAATATTGTATTAATAGTAATAGTCTGAGAATCGTTTTCATCATTATCATCATCATTATATCTTTTGGCATTATATTCTTACTCATCATCGATAGCTCAGAATTTTTTTTCTCTCTTTTGAACCGATTGAACCATAAAATCGTAAGATGATGATGATCATCATCATCATCATCATGTCCATTTTGTTTGTGTACAGATGAAAATGATGAGGATGTTGAGGATGCTGAGAGAGAGGAAAATGAAAATGCTGAAGATGATGGCTATTTCATAGAGACTCTAGAGGAAATAGTTGATATTAAATGTTCACTTTATGTTTCATGATAAGTTCAGAGTCAGGAATAACGGCTAAAGAGCGAGAAATAAAAGTGGTGAAGGTTAAAGAAGGAGAGAGAAAACGAAAAAAAATAAAGAAAGAATTTCTTTTTTTTCTCTTTTCCTTTGCACATGATATTCACTGTATTTTTCCCTGAATCATGGATAATAATAATAATTCAGTTCGCAAGAAAATATTTTCCACTTTCTCTCTCAGTTCTGAATCATCTTTAATTCCATACCTGTCACTTCGTTAGCTCATCTGATTGGTCTCACCATGAACTTTACCATCCAATTGAATCTCCCAGAATTTTTCTCACCCTCTATCACTTATTCACCCATGGATTAAACTAATCTAACTATGATTTATCCCTGATTGTCATGTTTGATTACCAATCAATTCTGTCAACCTTAATTGCCTTAAATCAAGATAACTTCACCAATTGATGTGTGATAAATATCAATTGATGATAACTGATAATCCAATTGTGATCTAACAAGATTATCTACTTCCTTTTCCGCTTTTGTGACAGTCCAACACCATCCTCAACCCATATAAACCCATTAACCTTTACATCAATTTAGAGGCAAACATTTTTGCTCAAAACTGTAATTTAAATTGAATGAAATGATAATACTCTTATGTATTATAATAACAATTAAACTTTAATAGTATTACGACAACAATTAAAAACTAAAAACTAATTAACTCTTAACCATTTTTTTCAATAATCTTCCAAAAAAAAGGTAAACCAACACCAAGTTTAATTTGGTATCAAGATGATAAAATTATTGACGATTCATTTAATTCAACGGATTCATCATCATCCTCATCATTAACTATCGTTGAAAATACTTTAATTATTAACAATTTACAACGAAATCATTTATTTCAAGATATTACATGTAAATCTCACCATGAAGCCTATGGATCATCAATGAGCTCAGTTTCCCTTGAAGTTAATTGTAAGTATTATCAAAAGTTAACAAACTTTTACTTCATTCAACTCAACCATGATTATCGTCATCATCATACAAATATTTACCTTTAATAATGTTAAATTAATAACATAATCAAATACACATATTAATATAAATATAAATAATTGTTTTATTATCTAATAACAATAACGTAATCATCATGATCATGGTTGTAGATATTGAAAATATTGAATCTTTTTAGTCTCTCTCTCTCTCTCTCTCTCTCTCTCTCTCTCTCTCTCTCTCTCTCTGTCATTTTGTTTGTTGACTGTTATTAGATTATCGTTATTATTATATTACGATATTAAATACAAGTTACAGGGTGACAAAGAATTGCTAAAGAAAATGTTCTCGTAATAATAATAAGGTATATCAAGGTTGATATAATAATAAGATTAGCGAACAGATAATTGACCAGAATTTATTGTTAATCTTGTTGTTGATTTTGATTATTATTACAAAGGAAAAAAGGTAAAACTTGTTGTACATTATTATTGCTGTTATTGTAACGATATTTATATTATCATCATCAAGGTAAATTGTTGATTCTCATTGACTTTTATACTTCCCATGGGAGATTCATTTTCTTTGCTATTATATTAATATCATCCTAATATATTGAACCAACTGAATATGTTTCATCAGGATATCAATAGGTTATCATGTTGGTGAAGGTAAAAAAAATATATATAAATAAGGGATAAGATTAAGATAGAGTATTGATAATGAAAAGGTTGTGGATGTGGATTTATTTTATTTGGTGATTAAACAACAGGCGATTCTCTGGTGGTTTCATGGGAAACCCGGAACTCAAGTTACTGGGAAGTAAGATAAAGCTGATAAGAGGAACATGGTTAAAGTTAAAATGTCTAAGATTCAATCAATTTTCAAGGATTTTCATTGTAATATCATGTTAGATATCATGATAACATGATGATGTCTTTTTTTCACTGTTGAACATTTCTGGTCAAACAAACAAACTGGACAACCAATTGTTTACTTTATCGTCCACCCTGTTGATTGGGTTATTCCTCCTACTTCTTGTTCAGTATCATGTTTACCTAAATGTTTACTGTTCATTGATATGTTTAATTCATTTCCTCAAATTCCAAATCAATTTTAAACAATTGGATCTCTCTCTCTCTCTCTCTCTCTCTCTCTCTCTCTCTCTCTCTCTCTCTCTCTCTCTCTCTCTCTCTCTCTCTCTCTCTCTCTCTCTCTCTCTCTCTGAGTCTCTTTTCGTTGACTTTGAGTTTTCCGTTGTACTTTTTTTCCTTTACGAACTTAATTGTTACCAAATTAACTGATTAAGAATTGTTCTATCGGGTGACCGAAAATGAGTGAGCATCTCACGAACCTTAAGTTCTGGACCCACGTTTCTATACATTTTAAGAAAGTAAATTTGATGAGTCCAAAATGTTCGGCTTTTTCTAGGACGCACGGTTCTCGAGAAATCGAGTGGCCTGACAAAGCGAACGGTTGACTTTTGACTCAAATTTTTGACCTATTATCTCATATATCTAAGCTCATCATTATCTGAAGTAAGGTTATTGAGATCTAACATTGAAATCAACGAATTGCTCTAACTTTCATTATAAATTTCTCATAGAAAATCTGATTACCTTTAAATGAACTTGCACTTGAACTTCGAATTCTGAATTCACGATTTATATTTGATCGATGCTTTCAATGGCGTTTGAAATTTTATTCTAGGACCTACCATTCTTGAGATGCTCACTCAGTGATATGTGAGATAATTCAATTATTCAATTAGAAAAACTGCTCATTGGTTGAATTTAAAAGTTCTTAATGAACTTCTACAGGGAGTTGAAATTCACCGGTAGAAATTAAAGTTTTGTCGAATTGTCGATTATGAAACTTTTTCGATTTTTTTTGTTTCTATTCGTTCTCATTTCTCCTTAATCATCAGATTCTCATCACGTTTTATATCATCTCTTTAACTCACTGATCATGACAATAACCCACCGGTGGTTCATAATAGAAATGAATTAATAATAATAATAATCAAATTTAATTCTTTTGCTACTTAAGCTCTTAAACTATTCATGATTCAATTTCTTTTCCTTGTTTATTTACATTTAATTGTTCTGATTATTATCATGTAATATCAGAAATGAAGTTGATAATAAGATAATCTGAGAAAATTTCTATTTTCTTGTAACAAATATTCATTGTTCTCACCTTTATATATATTTTACTCTCGGCGGGTAAGTTTAAGAGGTGGAAAACTTTATTACATAACCTTCATGATGATGAATAATAACTCAGCATGATAATGAGACACAGTTTTAAGCTGATGTGTATAATTTGAATGGATGTCGGTGTATCATAATCATGAATAACTTTGAGTTCTATTACGTTAGATGTTATTTTCTTTTTTCATATTTTTCTACACCTTCCATGATAACCTTTCCATGGAGCAAAAAAAAATTTCCTTCAACAACAATGAGGCAAACAATAAGTTCAGTGATTACATTCAGATGATGATGATTATAACGCGGAGAGTGAGTTATGTTAATGGTGCTAATGATTATCACTTTTGTTATGATTTTAGAGGTTTATTCAGTTCAGAAGAGTTTTTTTTTCTTCGCTTTTAATTACCCATTGAGTGAATTTTTCCTCTCCCCTTTTCATGGGATAACTTTTGCTATTGACCTCAAACTTTTCTGTGTATTTTTGGCAAAGTTTTTTTCAAGGTAATTCTGTTGGTGAAATCTCAGCATGACGGTGATGATGAATCCTAGAAAAGACTCATGATGATTAAGGTTAATTTCTCCCCGTCTATTAAGCAGTTTATTCACATGGAAACTCAGCATTGGAAAGTTGGGATAAGTTTAATGAGTGTTGACAAAAATTCTGATGGAAATCAGTTGATACGAACAAACTATTCTCTCTCATGAAGAAGAAAAAAAACTATTCCTCTTGTGTAGATGAGAGAGAAAGACTGAATAATATCAACAGAATTTACCATTCCCATTGTAAAAATGAGCAAAAAAAGTTCTGAATTGAACAGGGAAAGACATGATAATAAAGGAGATTAGATTGAGTTGAAAACAAAATTCCAAATGAACTTTTTTTCCCTCCTCAATCATTTCCAGTTAATCTAATTTCATTGATAAGTAGATAGATTTTTTTCCAACAGCAATTAAATATCATCATCAACAATTTGATTAGCAATTAAAGTGAAACTTGCTACTTAATTACCATCATTATTGTAACAATTTAAAAGCCATTTGATTGATTGGGATGATAAAAGTTTTTGCTAAACAAAATATTCAATCAAAACATGATAACAACTTTTGATGATTGGTTGAACTTTAATTACAATCTAATTGATTAAGGTTATAATTGTTAATCATTTCCTTTCAAAATGATAGCAATCATTATCCTTTGATCGTTATCTATTAATTGTTGTTCTTAATCAACATCAGTATAAACTATTATTACATGGAATTGATAAATTGATGATATTAATTAGGTTGATAAGATTAAGCAAAGTGATTTAATGAAAGGTTAACGAGTTAATTAATCTTAATCTTGACAAAAGTAGGAGGATAAGGAGGTTAATCAAAGGTCTTAGATCAGAATAGATCGAAGATAAAAGAAGAGAAAACAATAGAGAGAGAGAGAGAGAGAGAGAGAGAGAGAGAGAGAGAGAGAGAGAAGTTCTAATCGAAAATCAAGTTTCACATATTCGAAGCTAAAAATAATCTTAATCAAATTTACTAATTACTGTGTTCAGTTAATTCTTTCTACTAATTTTCTCATTGTTTCTTCTTCTTTTTTCTGTTTTCTTCATCACCTTATCCTCCACTACCCACCATCACCATTATCATCATTTTATCCTCCACCCACTTCACCCACTTTTATTAATTGCTTCATCTTCTTCTTGATTGTTTTTATTTACCTTCTTCTCTCTATACCTAACATCTTAACATCATCTTCCACCTTCATGATTTTATCTTCTCATCACCATCATCTCAATGGATTAATTTACGTATCAACTTTTACTTTCTCGAAAATTCTGGTTACATGGTTTTTTCTATCTCTTTTTCTTTACCATCACCATCCATGATCATCATCTCCTTCACTCTTTCTCTCTAATTATCTTGATTGTATTTTCATCGTTTTTACCTGGAATCATTTCTCTCTCTCTCTCTCTCAGTAAAACCGTTATCAGTAATGATCACCAGCCTTCAATCAACTCATGTAGTTGGCCTTAAATCTAAGTTTACCTGTACTACCCATGGCTCAAGACCTCCACCAATTATCTCATGGTATTTGAATAACAGAACTCTTGCCTACTCAAGGTAATCAGAATATGGTGGCGAAAAATATAAGATAAAAACTATTTCATATTCTTAAAATTTTCTCGTTTTTTGTTTACCTCTATCTCTCTCTATCTCTTTCCAGAGAAAGTTATTCTGAAGATGGTAACTATTCAAGTAGCACCTTAGAACTGACCAATTCAAGGTCAATGGATGGATCAGTCTTAATCTGTCGAGCTGTCAATAAACGTATTCCTGGTTCAGGTCTACAATATGAACTTAAACTTGATATCAAATGTAAGGACAAACATACAATCAAAAAACGATTCTTTTGTAAAGAGTCAAGAATTCATAGTTTATGTTTTTTTCTCTAAAACACTCAGAACTTATCGATTTATCTCATATTCCAGAACTCAAGCCAGGGATTTTCATAAACAAATAAAATTCTGCAAAGAAAGTTCTCTCAAGAACATAAAAAGTTGTTTTTTAGAAAAAAATTTTATGCTCAGAAAGTTTATCGTTGCTGAAAAGGATATGGACCTAAGATTTCAACTTCGAATGCGATTTTCTTGTAAACTACTGATTAGATCAGAAACAATATAGTCTTCATTTTAATTGTTTTAACCAATTGTGATTCGTGACAATAATCATTATCATCTTATTTATATAATAACATTGTGAATGTCCAATTGTATTGTTCATTTAAATTCCCAAAGTTAATTAACCTTAATTACTTCAAGTGTTTAAATTGACTATCTTTTTGTTTTGTTTTTATTTTTACACACCATAAGTATTATCATCATGGTCTGTTCATCATCATCATCTCTCTCTCTCTTTATCTCTCATTAACTTTTCAGATTCTCCCATTTGTAAGGACAATCAACGAGTTAATTATCCCGCCTCAATTGGTGAACTAATTGATATTACCTGTGAAATAATTGCCAATCCAAATGAAGTGACCTTTACCTGGACCAAAAATTACAACGAAACAGTTGATTCAACCCTAAAACAATCAACAACCCAATACCAAACAACGTTACCAACAATTGTCCAATCGTTAGCACCAATATCAACCACCGTCATTCCCAAAATCCCCACTGGCACCGAAACAATTATCAGTACAATCTCATCCAGTAATCTAATTAAAAGTGTATTAAAGGTTAATGTTGAATCAACAAGTGACTTTGCTGTTTACTCATGTAAAGCTGAAAACACCATAGGAATCACATTGGAACCCTGTTCGTATACAATTGAACCTCAAGGTAAACAATTAAATAGAAAGTTAGAAGCAAAAAAAACAATTAAATCTAATTGATCATCAAATAATGATGAAACTAATCAATCATGTATATATGAATCTCTTCAATTTCAATGAATTGATAGATATTAACGTTTACTTCATGATGGTCGATAAGATTACATTTATGATAGTATTACATGAATTTAGAATTGAAATTTTCAAAGGAAAAACTTTTTCTATTCATCTGATTAGAAAGGGAAAATGTATCAATCCTCTGAATCTATCAGAACTTTTTGTCTTCTTCCATGAAAGAAACATGTAAATAAGAGTATGTGAGTATTTATCATGGGAATTTCTTCAATTTCAATAGATGATATTCAGGTGAACAATGGATTATATGAGAGAGAGAATATATATATTTATATGTATAAAAAGATGAAGATAAATTCATGATGATTTAGGAATCAGAATCAAAAGAATCAAATCGATTCTGATTGTTGTTCATATTGAAAAAGAAACTTTTTTCTTCTTCTTCTTGGTTCATCATGATTTCAGTCCATCGATTCCCCATGTAAAGTGAGTGGTGGAAAAAAATTCTTTCAATGATTTTCTCATTCAGATTATCCTTTTGAATAATAAAACTATTATCATTATTTACTAATATCATTAGACTATTGTATAAGTAAAAAAAACATTATCAACAATAAAGTTGATTAAAGTTGATCGATTATATTGGTTTGATTATGAATATAACATGATAAAAGAATCAGAATCATTAACATGATAGATTCAAGTTTCATTATCAGATAATCATTCATATTCATTTATCATTTAACTTTTCACCTAATCCATGATGACGATTGTGATACTTTGTTCAGTTTCATCATGATATTTATTCAGCATTCAAATTGGGTTATTCATCTTGGTGAATATTTCATTCCAATTAGCTGATCATTTTTATCATAAAGATTAACAGTTAACATGATTAATTTTATTTGTTACCTTTTGTTTTCTTTCATCATCTTTATCGTCTTGATGATAATCAACATGATGAAGATAAACTTGAGATAGTTGACATTGACTGTCAAAGAGATTCGGTTATAAATCTTATCTTTTCATCTTCATGGTGCTGATCAATTCAGAATCTTTTCTCTCTCTATCTCTCTCTCTTTTCATTTTCTTATTTCATCTCCTTTGAATTATTTGCTTACTCATCTTGAGATTGTTGTTTTTGTTTGGTTTATTTGTTTCATGTATTCAGAGTCAGAATTATTTGTCCACTATTGGGTCACAATAACAGAAGAAACATCAAAATCTTTTGGTTCATAAGCATCATCATGAAAAAAGAAATGGTTAAATTACAATAGAAATCAGAATTATCTAATACATTGAATCGTTTTCAATTCTCATGAATAGTTTCAACATTTCCTCTCCGATTTTCTCACTCTCAATTTCATCCTTCTCAATTTCCCATGAATGTGAAACATATATTGTATTATGATTCTGTCAAGTTCTAGAGAATGGATTTAGATTTCATCTTTTCGTCAGAAAATCAGATGCGAACCGATTTACTGAAAGGTGAAGGTTTAAAAGGGAAACAAGGTGATAATTTGGTGGTTACATGATGATTTTTTTATTCTGTTTGCCTTTTAATTCTGTATGAATGAGTTTTTAGGAAATTCTGTCAACAGATTTTGGAGAAAAAAATTGGATCGTAAAAGATTCAGTTCAGAAATTTCAGTTTTCTCTGTGTTTATCGTTCGAGGAAGAAAATGATCATGAGAGTGAGAGATAATTACTCAAGGAAGTTCAGTGGTAAATAGACTCAGATAAAATTTGAGAACAACAGAATCTCAGCAAGAGGTAAAAGAAAGAAAGAGAGAGTAAGGAAGACCTCATTTTGATGATTACCATGAATGAACACCAAAGGTTGATTATAATTCAAAATTCATATTCCAATAACATTCACTCCAGGAAATAATCAGCTACAAGACAAATAAGAGGGAGAAATGTTGTAGCATGGAAGAAAAAAAGTTCTATCTGAAAAATAAGAAAGAGATAACTCGATATTTTCTTCGTCTTCGAACCTGAACTTTTCCATTTCCATCACTAATCATCCTGAATAAAGAAATCTCCTTATCTTTGAATAATAACAATCAAATAATAACAATAATAATCTATAATCTTGCTAATACCAAAAGAAAGAGAATCAAAGTTATGACATAGAATCGGAAAAATTTTGTGTTCTCATCGAATATCTTATCGAATTTTCTCTCTCACTCATTTTATTTATCTTCTCATTATCCATGATATTAGATCCACCATCAAGGCCTAAATATTGTTCCATTATGGAACATGGAGTTTACCTTTCCATTGATTGTATTCCAGATGAATCATCACCTCCAGTTGATTATTACATCTTAGAAGCTTATGAATATGATAATAATAATCACCATAATCATCTTAACCATGATGGCGATGATGAGGTTGGTTTATTTGGTAGTGATGGTCAAGAGCCAGTGGACAAAGCAAATGAAACAAATTTACCTGTTTTCCAATTGTCCAAACTTGAGCCAAATGCTTCCTACATATTGGTCACTTATGCTGTTAACAGAATTGGAAAAAGTTCTGACCTGATTATCCCATTGAGAAAAGCGAAATCAACTTCATCTCATCTCCATGTACCTCGAGTGAAAGGTAATTATCACAATCTCGACCTTTAAGAATAATTTTATTCCAAGAAAAAACAGAGAACAGAAAATTTCGAACAAGTTTCAAAAATTGAACCTTCTCTTTATGTAATTAGTTAATTGTTACAATAACTAATTTAATATTCTTTTGATTAATGAATCGGACAATCAACATTAATTGACCAGTTCTAATCTTAATCAACGTCAAATTTCCAATTCTCAGTTGATTGTTGATGTTATAATAATTTTTTGTTCTATCAAATTATAAGAATTCTCATGATAATAGTAAAAGAAACGATAAATATTCAATTCTCTCGAGATAATAATAAGAAAGTTCTAATGAATCTTATGGAACTTTTTTTTCCTCTTCCTCTCAACAGAAGTTCAATTAAAAGATTCCGATCCAATCAGTCCGATGTTTGGTACAATTTCATTAATATTAATTTTTACCTGTTCGATAATCTTATCAATTCTGTGCCTTTTAATTATTCTGATCCGATGGAAATTAAATAAGAAACATGAAGCAAGAGTAAAGAGTAAACAAAATGATTCAAGGTAAGACAGAATTTACATCAACAATTAAGGTTTACAATCAGATTGATTAGTTAATTTCCATCCTGATTAACTGATTAAATAATCAGGGAAAAAGAAAACAAAATGATTAAATTTAATCTATAAATATAATATCATTAATTTCCGGTAATCAGCATCATGATTATCATATCATTAAATATAATTTGTAATTGTGATGATGAAAATGATAATAATAATTGACTGAGAAAATTACATTATGTTTAAAAGTTAATTAACTTACATATTAGATAACAATTTGTGATAATGTTTAATTGTCAACCTCTTTAACAATCTGATTAATTTGATCCAATTTCTTTTGATTCCTAATTGTTGTTGATTTTTGTTTGATTTTTTTTTGTTGGTTTTCTTGTCTCAGGATTAATGTTGAAAATGATCAATCTGATAATCATATTAATGATGATCAGAATGATGATAATAATTGTCAGGGTGGAGATGGAATCGTTGATGATATTAATCATGATGTTCATGGTGAGGATTCTGTTAATGTTGCCATGGTCGTTGATTATCAGCTTAATTGTTGTGATCTGGAAAATAAATTATCCGCTTGTGAATCAAATCGTAATCCTGATGTTATACCATTCAAAGAACCAGGTTAGTTTAGTTGATTAACATTTTCTTGAACATAATTAGTTAATATTATTTACTAATTGCTTCTAGATTTAGATGATATCAAGGAGAGTTTCAAATCAGGAGCAATTGTAATTCCAGAGGCTTTTCTTACACAGGCTTATATTCAATTTAATGGTGAAATTATTGAGACAATTAATTGTTCACCATCAAGAAAATTGGAAATTATTGGTGAAAATATTGCTGTAAGTTAATTAATTGGTTTACTAATTGATTTTCAATACTTAATTACTTTTCTATTTGATTAATAGATTACCAATTGTGCCCAGGAAAGTTATCGTTCAACTCCAGTTTAAATTGTGATTAAGATCATATTTGTTGGTTAACCAATTGAGATAATAATTTATAAATCACAATTGCCTTAATCTTTATTATGCCTTTAAGTTAATTGTTGACAGTTAATTACAAAAAGTATTTGATATTGTTTGTATTATGATAGATAATCTTAATTGCTGTGATATATTTTATATAATACAATTTCGTGGTTTTTTAATATGAATTTTCAATAAAGTTTTATAACAATTAGAATATGAATTATTAACAATTTAAGTTGATTTGGAATTGGAAAGCAAAAAAATGTAATAACTACAATGGTTAAGGTCATTTGTTAATTGTAATCAAATGATGTTTTCAAATCTATGGTTAATTATATGTCGACGACAAGCTTGATACATTGATGGTAAAAATTTATCTAATTGTTGGGATAATTTGGATTCTGATTCGTTGATTATGTTTGCAAATGCGTACATTTTAACCATTGCATAAGAGCCTCGAGCGATATTCAAACAATCGGTGTGAAATTTGGTCACAATTAAATGGTAAATGTCATGATTAAGCAATCGGCTTGAGCTGGACAATATATGGGTGACATTTGAACAATAACCAGCCCAACAAAGGTCATCAATGAGTCGGTAAAAGGCTCGATCAAATGATCTTCGTAAATTGATAATTTCCAATAATGACTCTTCTTTTGAGGTCACTTTCAACATTTCGAGGGGAACATCAATTGTTGATAATTGATCTCTGATTGTTGATAACTGTTCAACTTTTATACTCTCATTGGAGCCCATAAATTGTCCAATCGGAAGATGAACCAAACTAAGGTCACCATATTGCCGGGGAGTTAATGGTTTAGATTGTGAGTGTCCAATGGATCGGACAATGGCCTGAAATTGTTGGGATAATGTTACATTGCTTAGTGAAAATTTGGATCCTGAATATGATAACCATGCAGATGAAAATGAATTAGCTAAACACGTTGAAGGAATTAGCTGATTGTTACAATAACAGGCAACGTTCAATTGATTAGCTGATGCTGATGATAAACTGTAAACACTAATATTTTCAGGTAACATTGAGTCAAACATTGAACCTGAATAATCAGTATCAAGGTAAACTGTTAGGTGGGAAAATTTTTGATTAATCTTCAAGTTAATCAATGCTTCATTAAATGATTTAGATGTTAAAATATCATTTGGGAAGGAAATTAATCCGGTTGAACCAAGAGACGAGATATAAATGAAAACATTATCATTTGAATTAGATTTTAACACTTTGGGTAATTCAAGTGATGATGAACCATTTAAAATGTTTAGAAAGTTAATTGGTGTAACTTGATTACCAGAATAATCAATTTTCAATCCAGAATAAACATCATTACCATGCGGCGAATTGAACAATTTACCCTTAATAGGATTTTTCTCATTATGAGCGATATCATCAGTCGACATTACGATAATATTTTCCTTCGGAATCCCATGAGATCGGAGGATTTGATAACCATGAGCAATATTGGCCTGATGTCGATAATTAATCCAACCCGAAGTACCAGCAATTAAAATGGCATGAGTATTAACAGGTGACTGTTGTTGGTGGTGATTAATTGATGGATAACTAATAACGAGTGAAACTTTTGATAAGATTAACAGGTAAATAAAAGGTAACATAAAATTAAGAGTTAATTGTTGTTCCATGTTAATTGTGGTTGTGATTGTGGTTTTTGATTAACTGCTTGGTCCATGATTGATTGGTACTACTTTATATATATATGGATAATTTATTGGGCCTCTTTAATTGTTGATCGTCATCTATTAGATTATCTTGATTATTGTTTTCCGATCAATTGATTATCTTGAAATCAATGCTTATCCTTTTGTCATCATTCAGGCCTTGTTATTATTTAAACAGTAATGATTAAGATTAGGTTAATTCCCGAGATAAATATCAAGGGCATCCCAGTGAATTTGTTGATTGTTAACAATTAATTGATATTCTGTTGGATGAAAACAAAAACAAAAGAAAACAATTATTATCCCAATGAATATGATCAAGATTTGTTTTGGTAAAATTTGATAATCTTAATGAGATAATCTTCCAGTGGTGGGATTAATTAATATGGTAAACAATATAATAATTACCTTATATTTGATTCTCTTAAAAAAAAGCATGATTACAATCATTAGTTTGATCGTGATTTTAACAGATAAAACCAATCAATTGATACAAATTAACTTGTCATTAAGCCAAATGATGACGATTATCAACTGATGATTTACATTGTTAACAATTAGATGTTAATCATTTGAGATTAACTACCAAGTCTCGTGGATTCCCTTTGAAATCTGGTGGAAATCCATAGATAAATCAATTGTTGGAATAAATTATAAATGACTAACACCATGTTAATCAATTTCGACTCAAATCAAATCAATAAATTACAGTAAACACTTAATTTAACTGTTAATCTAATTGAAAAACTTGAAGAAAAAACAACAACATTAAGATTATGAATTATTGTTCACTCATCTCAATTAGAGAGACAAAAGGTAATCAACAGTTAATTTCACTATTAAAGTAACAATTTAACCTTGGAATATTTAAATTACTATCACAGCAATTAAAATGGAAATTAATTAAATTGTTAAAATGAAAGAAAACAGAAAATGATGAAAAAGAAATAAAAATTAACCGGTTAACAGCTGATCGATCACCTTAGTTACTAAATGGAAGCCGTTGGTTACCAAGGTTGTTTCATGTTCTGCTTTTAATTTACATTAATTAATCATCTCTTTTAATTGTATCTTAATCATTTACTCAGTTAATTAATCTTTAAGATAATCATGAACCCGTAGGTAAGAAGTAACAACAATTTAATTTCTATTCTTTTCTGTTTATTTTTCTCTTTTTTTCATTTTCTTTTTTTAGAATTTCACTTTTTTCTAATCTTTGTTTCTATTTGTAAATCTTATTTCTTAATTGTAGTTATTTAAGTTTGATTTTTTTTCTTTCGCCAATTGTTTTGCTATTTTTTCGTTGGTTAAATTATGGTTAATTGTTCCCAATTACTACGGCCTTTTCTTACCAACAAGATATTGGTTGATTCTTGTCGAGTGAATCAAGTGATTAGATTTACATCAAGACGATCTTATTGTCATAATAATAATAATAGTGAACAACATGGTTATCAACAATATGGATTAAAACGTAATCAAATTAAGAGGATTTTAATTGCTTCTTCATTAAGTGTTACCACAATTGGTTTGATTGTCCATCGGAATAAATTGAAAGCAAAGGTTAATGAAATTCCTGGTAAAGAGTTTGAAGCTGGTAATCGACTTGATGGATTAAAAGAGTTTACCAAAGATGAAGTTAATCTTCATAATAATCTAGATAAAGGCATTTGGATTATCTATCGTAATGGTGTTTATGATATTACCCGATTCGTTGAACAACATCCTGGTGGAGATAAAATACTTTTAGGTGCTGGTCAAGATATTGAACCTTTTTGGAATCTGTATGCTGTTCATAAACATCCCGATGTATTTAAATTGTTAGAGTCTCATCGTATTGGTAATTTATGTCCAGAAGATGTAAACAAAGACACTGTTGACCAGTCCAATGATCCATATCAAGATGACCCTAAAAGGCCTGGTTATTTTTCCGTTCGTTCGGCTAAGCCTTTCAATGCTGAGCCTCCGTTGAATATTTTATCAGACTCATGGATAACACCAAAGTAATTATGACCCAGATATTAATTGTGATTGACACTTTGGGAGTAATTTTTTTATTCGATTCTGTTTCTCTCTCTCTCTCTCTCTCTCTCTCTCTCTCTCTCTCTCGTAGTGATATTTTCTACATTCGTAATCATCTTCCAGTTCCTGATATTGTACCGGATGAGTATGAATTGGAGATTGAAGGATTTGGATTGAAGAAAGAGTTTAAATTAACTCTTGATGAATTGAAAAACAAATTCCCTAAATATACCGTTTATGCTACTATTCAATGTGCTGGTAATCGGCGGTCAGAAATGACCAAAGTAAAAGAGGTCAGAGGTTTATTTTGGGGAGGAGCAGCGATTAGTAATGCTAAATGGTCAGGGGCGAGATTGGTTGATGTTTTAGATTATCTTGGTGCCGATCTTAAAGATGCTCGAATTAAACATGTCCAATTTGACGGCGCTGATACCGATGCTACTGGAACCTCTTATGGTGCTTCAGTTCCAGCGGAAACTGTGAGTGGTAAACTAATGTCCACTTCTTAGATTTAATTTTTTTTTGTTTATACTCTTTGTTTGTTTGTACCTTTTAGGCTTTGAATGATAAGAATGATTTCATTTTGGCCTATGAAATGAACGACGTTGAAATACCTCGAGATCATGGTTATCCTGTTCGTCTTATTGCTCCAGGAATTGCTGGTGCTCGGAATGTTAAATGGTTAAATAAGATCACTCTTTCCGATGAGGAAAGTCATAGTCACTGGCAGCGAAAAGATTATAAAGGATTCTCACCAAATGTCGATTGGGATACAGTTAATTTTGACGAATCACCTTCCATTCAAGAGATGCCAATTCAATCAGCGATTTGTGATCCAATCGATGGGTCAACAGTTACTCCCGACCTGGAAGGTTATATTACCGTTAAAGGTTATGCTTGGAGTGGAGGTGGACGGAAGGTTGTTCGAGTTGATGTTTCTCCTGATGGTGGGAAAATTGGATAACTGCTGATCTTGAGCAAGAAAATTCTCCACTAAATCGAACATACTCTTGGACTATTTGGAAGGTAAATATTAATAATATTTATTCATTTTTGATTCAAATTTGAATCGTTTGAGTTTCTGTTTCTAATAACTTTTCGTTTCTCTAATTTTCCTTTCCCTTCTTCTTTGTTTTATAAATATTTTCTCTCGAACCAAAGGCTCGTCTACCTGTTGGCTCTCTGGCTAAAGATGAATCTTTCCAAGTTGTGGCTAAAGCAATCGACTCATCCTACAACAATCAGCCCGAAAATGTTGAACCAATTTGGAATCTACGAGGTGTACTAACCAATTGTTGGAGTCGAGTTAATTTGAAAGTCTCCTGATCAAATCAATGGAAACTGAGAAACATTTTCACTCTCAATATTACAAAATTTCCACTCCAATCAAGACTGATTATTGCAATTCTACAATTTTTAAATTTTCTATTTATACTCAAACAATTAATTGGATTAATTTATTTACTCACTTTCAAAGTTACCGGTTGTAAATTTAGTTCCATCTATTGAAGGTTAGGTGGCGTTGGCTTCGTGTAAACAATAACAAAAAAAATTCAAAATTTTGATTAACTGTTTTTGTTTTTTAAATTGAATTAAAAGTCTAATTTTTATTGAATTTATTTAATTGTTTTCTTTTGAATCAACTTATTGTTTCTCTAATCATGTCGTCGGAAGAAAGTGATAAGATTCGGAAAGAATTGTTGGATTTACAGAAGAAAAGATCTGACATTGAAGATGAGATTTTGGTTTTTCAAGATGTTCTGAAAACGGTAAAAATTTCAATCAATTGAGTTTCTTTTATTTAATTATTTTAATTGTTTGCAATATTTTTCTAATTTTATATTAGCAAGGTGTTGGTATGAATGAACCTCTGGTTGATTCTGAAGGTTTTCCAAGGAGTGACATTGACATTTTCCAAGTGAGACTCGCCAGGAACAAGATCGTTTGTAAGAATAAATTTCCTATCGTTTTTATATTAATAATTTAGATGAAATCTTAATTTTGGAATATTAATTTTACCTTTTTTCCATTTTCACAAATCAGGTTTGCTCAATGACTGCAAAGAATTGACCAAAACATTGGAACAAAAGCTTCACCAATTCCATGAGTTAAATCGACCAAGTTAATTGTTATCCAAATTATTGAAAGGTTTGTATGAATAATAAAAACAAATCATTTCTATTTTATATTCTGAAAATCAATGACCAATCAATCATTTTTTTACAACGAAGAGTATAAGATGTTTGTGATTTTCAATCAATCATCTCATAGTCAATTTAACAATATCACATATTCAATCAATACCCAGTGAATTACATTCATTGACTCACAAAATTTTTAATCTTATTTGATTTCTCCTAATTTAGATTAATTTATAACAGTTTCAATCAAGGGAATTGAAAATCACTTTTCTTATCCACCCGAGGAAAAAAAAACAAATCATGAAATTGAAAAATCTGATTACATTTACCAATTGTATTAAAACAATTTGTATCATTGGAAGTTTCATCCAAATTAAATATATTTTTACTCGTTACTATGAATTTGATTACACAACTTTAACCTCATTTGATATTCCAAATCAAACAATATTGGCCGATTTGGTTATCTCAGTGAACCCCATGCAATTTATTAATCACTCCAAACTAATGGAAACATTTCCCAAATTCAGCTCATCATTTCAACCCTACAAATCCATAAAAGGACTTAATCCAATCAACCTAAAGAATCGTGAAAATTTACAACGAGAATTAAAAAATGGATCATATATCTGGGAATTGGCGAAATTATTTTCCAAGTTAAAAGTTAATCAAGTCGCTGAGATACTTTATCAGCCTCAAGAGTTGGTTCGACAAATTTTGGTTCGCTCGGTGGAAGAGACGGAAAAAGATGTACCGAACTTTGACTTTACCGATCGATGCCAATTACGATCATTTTTCAAATCGATCTATTTCTACATAGTAATCGCTTGTACTCCCTTCTCAGATAAGCCCATAGTTGGAAGTTCAATTGTCAGTGAATTGAGTCCAGGTCAGTCAGATTTTTTCGCTCTTCTGCTTAACCATGAAATCTTAGCTGACTTGGAGACAATCAGGATCGCCTTTATCAAGCCAAACAGTTCACCAAATCTGCGAAAAATTAAATGGATAAGCTTCAGAGTCGATTTGAAGCCCGCAATTTACATGGTCCAATATTATGGCATTAAGATTTCTCGACTTTCTTCCCCTTACACCGATTGTGTTAATTACCAAGACGAAGGTTATGAAAATCAAGTCTCGAAATTGGATTCATGTTTGAACAATTTGTCGTTAACTATATTGGGTCGGCCGTTTCACGCGTGTGTTTTACCTTCGTCCATTAATACAACTTTCGTTAGTTTTGACGCTTATCTAGGAATTAGAAATAATCTAACTTATCGTCAACTTGTCGATAAAATTTTGTCCATTTGTGAAGCTCGAACTTCTCATCATGATTGTTTAACTGTAAATTACATTTCAGGTCATCTTATTCAGTTAGCAGTCTCTCACCATTAACGGCAATTATCACTGATTTAACTCGATTCCCTAACCTGTCAATCATTTATCGACCTAAATGGACTGCGATTGATTCTCTCATTTCTGTTGGTGGTATTCTTGGTTTCTGGTTCGGATTTGCGTTCAATATTCATTTACCGAAACTGACCTCATCCCTCTTGACCAAAATAAACCAACGCAATAAAAAAAACCAACACCAGGACCAAGAAAATTTCAAAACGTTCCAAATGGTGAAAACAAACTACCAAACAAAACAATAACAATTCTTGATTAAAACCATTAACTAATCTTCACAAGCACTCACTAAATCGACACTTGGACAATCAGGCCAATCGTTCAATACAATTTCGTACCGATCTAGTTGATAAAAAGAGCCAAAAATGAACTTAAATCTACCTGAACACTTTGACTGATTATAACCCTTTAATTATCAACAATTATAATTTCCTAATTAAATGAACTTCCTAAATGTCCATTCATGAATAATTCTTCAATTAAAAACGGCGAAAATTTGAATTTTGATGATAATTCACTTGTATTTTATTGTTCTGTATTCAATTAATCATTGGAAGTTAATTGAATTCTTATTCATAACTTATCTAAATATAATAGATTTAAAAAATATCTCATCCCACTAATAACATTCAATATAAATTTAATGATCTAAATACTAACCAAATGTAAATTCTTATCAACTGGTAATATTGATGAGATGGAATTGAATTTCCTTAGATTACTTTAAGAATGGTAAATTCATTATTGAATTGGAATCAATATCTTAATATCTCAAAGTTTACTTTAAATGTGCAAGTGAAAGTATAAGTTATGATCCAAATTCGAGTCGGTATTTCCAACTATTACCCGTTGTGGACTCCAAGGTCACAAACTATTGATGGTATTTTAGGTCGGTTCTTATTGGAGGTAATATCATCGACTCTGAATGGTGTTAATGTAACATTTATTCCAGTTGAACCGCCATTCAAATCGAGATGCTTTTCGAATGGCTTATGTACACACTCCTTACACGATCTTCAAGTCGGCAATATTGACTTTATCCTCCCACCGCCTCTCAGTACCCTAGAAAGTATTGGAACTAATCTGACCACCGGTTCGATTGAAAGTGAAGACGGTTGTTATTTGGGCTACAAGAAGAAGTTAAAAGTCAATGTTGATTATTCAACTTTCTTTGGATTCATATTTGAACTTGGCCTGTGGTTCTGGTTAACATTATTGTCACTCTTAAGTGTTTTCTCCATTATCTTTTACGTGGCCTTAAAAGTACAATCGCCGTCAAGAAAAATGATTGACATTATCTGGATTCAAATCGAATGCATTTTGTGTCAAAATTTCAACTCCTTGTTAATCACTTCGAATCGATTCAGATTAACGCTACTTATGATATGCATGCTTCTCAAACTCCAATAACAATTAACTATCTGATGATTCCAATTAGTTCATTGTTTTCAATATTATTAGCCCTCTCTCTAATTATTAATATGATACCAGTTTTGTTTAAAATACCATTCCGAGAGTTTAATTGTGATAAAATGGGAATTTATTGTTAGATGAACATTTTCTTTGTCATAAACAATAACTGGGCAAATTTCAATCTAAATCTACAATTCTAATGATCACATGGTTATCCCTTTAAGTTTAACACTAATTGTAAACAATCAACCAGATTAAACAATTCACCTGACCAAGAATATAATCAAGATCAACTTTTCAATAAAATACATAATATATAGTATAATCATCTCTCTATTATCATAATCATTTGAACATTAAACAAATCAGTAAATTAAATTATCTCAACTGTAAACAGCGAGCAGCAATTAAATTCAGTAAACACAGTTAACATCATGATCGAAATTGAATTCATGTTTGTTCCGTTGGTGGTATTCTTGGTTTCTGGTTCGGATTTGCGTTCAATATTCATTTACCGAAACTGACCTCATCCCTCTTGACCAAAATAAACCAACGCAAGAAAAAAACCAACACCAGGACCAAGAAAATTTCAAAACGTTCCAAATGGTGAAAACAAACTACAAAACAAAACTATAACAATTCTTGATCAAAACCATTAAATAATCTTCACAAGCAATAATTAAATCAATTGCGCATAAAGAGATAATTTAATAAAAACGAAAAGTAAAATTGAATTGATTTAGATTGGGAAGTAATAGAAAAATGTAAGCACAGTTAAAAATTACCTCTATGTGCATAAGTCAAAATTTTTGTTCTCATCTCATTTTTCGTGACTGTACAATATTGAGTAGATCAAAAAGTTTTGCACGAAAAAATGTAAAAACATCGTTTTTACCATTGAGCCTATGGAAAAGCCTTGACTTTTTTGAAAAAAGATACAATTTAGATTTAAATTTTCTCGGTAATTATTGTAACGTTACCGAGCGAACTTAGTTGAAAACAAACACAATGATAGTAGTAAAGGTAAACTAAAGGCACATTAGGGCGGGGCCTAATATTTTTTTTCTCAGAATGGAATAAAAAGGGGTGGGGGAGATTAAGTGGGAAAATTCAAATATTTTGAAACAAAAATTGGCGCGAAAAGTGTATTAACTTAATGATGGCTAACAATACATGATGAAATGTTTGAACATAATGAATAAGACAATAAATGAAGATTTCATCATTATGATTTACAGGAGTACCTATAGAATGAAGTACCAAAGGTCAAACTCAGATAAGTCTCTTATTCTTTAATCCTCTTAACTTTTTTACTTCTGAAATGACTTGGGGATACGCCAAATGATCGTTAATGAACCAGATAAATTTTAACCTCTAACGTAGCTTCGGGGCGATGATATTCCCTCCAGCAATAACTTTAAGGACAATAGAAAAGGTTTATGAGGCTCCATCTCATACAATCGAATCAGTATAAATAAAGAGCGATTGTCAATGTTAAAGTCATTCATCCTCAGTCAGTCTTCAAGTTAACATCTCCTTTATTCTCAAAGTGAACAACTTCATCAACTTCAACAACAAGTCAACATGTCCTCCGGAACTGTTTCATTAAGTTAATACACTTTTCGCGCCAATTTTTGTTTCAAAATATTTGAATTTTCCCACTTAATCTTCCCCACCCCTTTTTATTCCATTCTGAGAAAAAAATATTAGGCCCCGCCCTAATGTGCCTTTAGTTTACCTTTACTACTGATGATATAATTTTAAGGTTGTATTTATTAATGATGAATTCAATAAGTTGATTGTTACAATTAAATGTTTATTAACACTGATAATTATGTTGATACTGTTGATCCTGATGAACTGAATTAATTCTATTACATTGGTTCGGTATTTATACCGGATGATAGGGAGCTATGAGTGAATCGGGAGATAAACGTTGATTCACCTTTTGTTGGTTATTAATGAGAAAAGGAATAGTCTAAATATGGTGTTGACCATATTTAGTTAATTAACAAAGGAAAAGAAATCAATGGTAATTAATAAAAGGAAGTGTTCTAAATAAGGGTTTGACAGGATGTTAATATATCGGAACTTGATTAAATGATGAAGAGGTAAAATTTATCGTTAATTATAATTAGTTAATTGTTGAATTTGGTGCAAATTGAAGAAAAATATTGAATTTTAGATCAGTGTGATCAAACCAACCAAAAAATGATGAAAGATCATTTTCGGCCCTTTCAAAACACGAAGAAAAAAATCTCGAATTTAGTCCATTTTAAGCGCTTTTTAGCTTGATTTGAATATAAATAATTAGAATTTTTTTCATCTATTTACATTTGGATGTACAAAAAACTATAAATTTTATATTCTCTAGAAATTTTATTCATGAAAATTAAAGAATATCTCGTCCCACGTGGGACGAGATATTTACATTAGTACTAATATAAATTTAATGATCTAAGAACTAAACAAACATAAATTCTAATCGACTGAAAATATCGATGAGATGGAATTAAATCTCTTTAAAAACGATAAATTCATTGTTGAATTGGAATCAATATCTTAATATCTCAAAGTTTACTTTAAATGTGAAAGTGAAAGTATAAGTTATGATCCAAATTCGAGTCGGTATTTCCAACTTTTATCCGTTGTGGACTCCAAGGTCACAAACTATTGATGGTATTTTAGGTCGGTTCTTATTGGAAATAGTATCATCAACTTTTCATGGGCTTAATGTAACATTCCTTCCAGTAGAAACTTCATTCGAAGAACGATGCTTTTCGAATGGCTCATGTACACACTCCTTATACGATCTTCAAGTCGGCAATGTTGACTATATCCGCCTACCGCCTCTTATTTCCCTAGAAAGTATTGGCCCTAATCTGACCACCGGTTCAGTTGAAAGTGAACTGGGTTGTTATTTGGGCTACAAGAAGAAGTTAAAAGTCAATGTTGATTATTCAACTTTCTTTGGATTCATATTTGAATTCGGCCCGTGGTTCTGGTTAACATTATTGTCGTTCCTAAGTGTTTTCTCTATTATCCTTTACGTGGCCTTAAAAGTACAATCGCCGTCAAGAAAAATGATTGACATTATCTGGATTCAAATCGAATGCATTTTGTGCCAAAATTTGGATTCCTCGTTAATCACTTTGAATCGATTCAGATTAACGCTACTTATGATATTCTTATTATTATCGAATATCTTATCATCAAATTCGTTGCGAACTGGACTAGTTTCTAATATCGAATATCTTAAATTAGAAACACTTCAAGATGCTTTCGAAAATAATTACGAACCAGTTGTCCAGGAAACTTCTCAGTGTCTTTCGTACCTTATAAAAGATATCCAATTAAAATCGAAATTAAAAGTTCTAAAATTACAAGGTGGAGGACTCTATGATGTTTATCAAAACACTGAGAAGACAATATTGTCGAAATAAATTTTCGTCCATTAATTGAACTTCTCAAAAGTTTTGGCTGTACTTTTGGTCGTGAGAAACAAAATTCGGAACCTTATGATATATCATCGAAAGCGATATTTAAAGTATCGACCGTTTTTCTCATTAACAAGAAAAATCCAACAAAACGTAAACTCATCTTCAAACGAAGTTATCGATCATTCGAAGCAGGACTTCTGAACAATCCGATCGTCTATAAAACTCGAGTGAAATGTTTAAGTCTTGATCGAGCACCATTATCATGTTTAAATCGAGATTTTGAAATTCATGCTTCTCAAACTCCAGTAACAATTAACTATCTGATGATTCCAATTAGTTCATTATTTTCAATGTTATTAGCCCTCTCTCTAATTATGATACCAGTTTTGTTTAAATTACAACCATTCCGAGTGTTTAATTGTGATAATATGGGAATTTATTGTTAGATGAACATTTTTTCCATAAACAATTAACTGGAAAAATAATCAATTACTTTTGAATGGAAAAATGAAAAATTAATAACAACCATTTTCATTTGAAAAGCTTCGCAGTTGATCAAGTTAATTGCTGAGAATTTGGAGTCTGCTCATGATGTGATTAACCAATGATGCTCATTGGAAAATAATTTCTCTGGTTCATGGAATCATCTTCATCATCATCTTCATCTTCTTTCTCGTTCTCTTTATCCTCTTTCTTTTCCTCTGTCTATTTATATTCTGTTCATCTTTCTTTTCCCTTAACGGTTCTCATTTTGTCTGTAATTCATGTAACTCTCAATATCTCAACAAATTGTTACAATTGTTAACCTTTTCTCTCTAATTGTTTATATCCATTGATCACAATTATAAGTTAATCAAATCATTCTCAACCTTGATCATTGACTAATGGAGATTAATCAACTTTCCAAAAGAAAAGGTTAACTCAATGATTACGATTAGTTAAATTTTCTGTTTATACTTGTTTCAATCATTTTGTTATTGTTGCTCAATTGTTCACACACCGGGTAAACATTTCAATCAAAATCTACAATTTAAATGATCATATAGTTATCCCTTTAAGTTTACCATTAATTGTAACTACTAATTGTAAACAATCAACCAGGTTAAACAATTCAATTGACCACGAATATAATCAAGATCAACTGTTCAATAAAATATCATCATCGCCACAATCATCATCTTTATATTATCATAATCATTTGAATATTAAACAAATCAGTAAATTAAATCATCTCAACTGTAAACAACGAGTAGCAATTAAATTAAATTCAGTAAACACAGTTAACACCATGATCGATGCTGCAGAGGATTTATTGTTATCGTATGGAGCTGATCCATCAACACCCTCACCACCACCACCACCACAAGCACCGAACCACAATCCAACCCAAGTTCCACCTCCACCAACATCAACATCCCCACCAACGACGACGACAACAACAGCCCTTGAGGGCGGACATGGGATCAACTTGTCAATCTCCTCGTCGTTACTAAATATCAACCATAATAATAATAGTTCCGGTTCGAGTTCAGGGCTGATTACACTTGGTAAACGTATCAATAAACGTCGGGTTCGAGGTGAAACTATTAACGGCGGTGGCGGTGGTGGTGGGGAAACACAGGGTGACTCCCTGTTAGCGTGCCTTGTTTGTGGTAAAAATTTTGTCTCTTTTGGAAGGTTGAAATCCCATGAAAAAACTCATTCCAAATCGCGACCTTTCAAGTGTATCGATTGTGGTAAAACATTTACCGTTCGTTATTCGTTGATCTGTCACACTCGTGTTCACACCCGTGAACGTCCCTATGGTTGCTCATATTGTGGTTCGAGGTTTTCTCAGGCCTCATCATTGAAAACTCATCAAATCTACAAACACACCAAAGAGTTTCCTTACCTTTGTAAATACTGTGGACGCGGTTTCATCTCTCCAGGTCAAAAACACGAGCACATCCAACGAACTCACCTTAAATCATCATTCTCATCAACCGTTTCAACATCTTCTTCACTCTCTTCCTCTTCACCTTCCTCTTCCTCTTCATCTTCATCATCTTCATCATCTACTCATGTTGATTGTCACCTTTCTCGGTTAAAATCATGTCGTCCACTGATCGTTGAACCTTCATTGTTAATCCAACGTTCACATGGACCCAAAATGGCGACGACTTCCGTTCAAACGGACATACGATTACCACCAGATCTAATTTACTAATTGTTAATATTATCAAAGCAAAGAAAATGAAATTTTAATTTTGTTTCTCTTTTCTAATTGTTGATTAATTTAGACACTCAACAGACACACACAGGGTTGTATTTACACCGAATCATTGGAATTGTTTTTATTTCGATAAGATCACTTACCGATTATCACAATTAAGTCTCTCATGTTTTTCTGTTTTAATTTGCTTCTTTTTTTTTGATTACATAGACTTGTAATTAATTGTTGTTTTCTCTTGATAAAATTAAATTGCTAACAATTAATTGTTTTGCAAAATACCAAGAAACCAACACACAATTCAATTGATTTTAATTTCTCTTTCAATAATTTACTAACTTTCACAATTAGTAATGATTATGATTATAAATAGATTTATATTTTTTTTTGTTGAGATTTTGCTCACATTAATATATTAATATTAATAGTTACATGTTGAGGTGTTTAGATGATTAAGATTCATTAAAGTGAATTTGTTAGTGATGATTATCAGATGACGATGATTAATGTAATAAGAAGATGAGAAAAAAATAAAACAGATTCACCAATTTAAATACATTTAAGTTACAATTAAATTATGATGAGGAAATGATTGAAATTAAAGTGGAGGAGAAAATTTGATCAATATAATCTTCTGTTGGAATTGAATAAAATTTGATATATATTGTTAAACGATATTGCGATGATGGTGTTGAATGTAGCTCCAGATTGTTGATTAAATGTTGGAAAAATTTTTGGTAAATAATAACAACAATTAAAACGCAAAAATGACGATAACATTGATTAATCAAATCAAATGGTCGATTGATTTTTTTTAGCTGAGATTTGGAAAGTGAGTGAACGGTTGATTAGATGTGTGCATGTTTGTGTGTGCAGAGGAAGATAATTAAATCTCAATTAGATTTTGATAGAATGTTGATTGAGGCGCTGATTATGTAGATCAATTTAATTGCCATCTTAAAATTGCATTAAGATTCAACAGGTAACCTTACAGGGTGGAATCCAACCTCCGAAAGTTTTTTCAATCTCATTTGCCATTGCAATAGTGTAATGGTCATTGTAAGGGGCAGCGGCAACTTGAATACCTAATGGAAGACCCTCTGAGCTTAATCCCATGGGACAGGCGGTTACAGGAACACCAAGAACATTGAAAATGGACATATAGCAAACATTGGCTACTTTAAGGATTGTGGTTCCATGTTTGGTGGCTGGTTCAGGGAAAGAAGGGAATAAAAAGATTCCATCATCACCCAAGGTTGAGATGAATTCTTTTTTCAATGATTCCGCTACGGCCAAGTTACCCTGTTGAATTGGTGTGTCCAATTTGGGTGTAATCTTTTCACTAATGGCAACAATGATAGCAGCCAATGAGTGAGTTGAATATTTAAAGAGATATTTAATCAGCTCCCAGAAAGGATTGAGAACTGATTTACGATTGGTCATCTCAATGGTAAATGGTACTGGTTTGGTTTGCATGAGACAAGCTTTAAACATGGACATGGTGTAATTAAATTTCTTGAAATTAACTTTGGTACATTCAATGGAATAAGTTTCCTCCAAATGTTTGACCACTTTTTTAAGAGCATTTCTCATCTCGGGATTAAGTGGACTAGCCATTGGAGGATCAGCACCTTCCATGTAAAATACTCGTAATCGGGAAAGTTCAACAGGCTCATCGATTTTGGGTAGATTTACAATATCTTTACCAGCCATTGATTTTAACATTGGAATCAGGTCACTTGCATACCGAGTCATTGGACCAAATGAGAAAAGAGATTCTTTCTCTAGGGTGATTGGTGGATATTTTCCCTTATAAGAGATAATACCAGCGGTTGTTTTATGACCAAAGACACCACAATGGAAAGCGGGTATACGATTAGAACCACCAATGTCTGAGGCAACTGCGATGATTGATGCACCCGAAGCTAAAGAGGAAGCATCACCTCCTCCCGAACCTCCAGGTATTCGAGATAAATCGTAAGGATTGTTGGTTCGTCCATAGACCTGATTGTGAGCGTCCCACCACATCAAAAGTTCGGGCACATTACACAAGGCCAATGGTATTGCCCCCGAATGTCGGAGATTGGCAATTACTGGAGCATCTTCAAGGGAGATTATTCCTTTTCTTTCAGTTAAACCAACAACCAAATGCATACCTTCAATCATTACTGAGTCTTTACAAGTAAATGGTACACCGAGAAGTGGAAAATCTTTAATTGAACGACCATCCTCACCGATAATACCTTCATTCAATTCCTTTTCAACTCTCTGGTCAATTTTAACAGCATCTTCAAAAGCTTCCTTACGAAGTTCAATAATGGAATTGATTAACGGGTTAACAATCTCAATCCTTTTGAAATAAGCTTCAACAACAGCTTTTGCCTTCAGTTTACCTTGTCTAATTTTTTCACTAATTTCACTTGCAGTTAATAATAAAATTGGATCAGTAATATCAGGAATCATTCCTTTTTTGGTTGGATGGAAAAAAGATCCATAGAAAGCAGCAATAGATTGTAGGACATAGTGAACCAATTTTTGAAAGAAATTCATCTTTTTTTCTCAGTTTGTTTGCCCAGAATTTAACTCCAATTGAAAGAAATCAAATATTCATTGATTTGGGTGAAAGGGAAGCAACAAAAAAAAAGGTAACACAAGATGAATATATGAAGATCTGGTGATGAGTAAAATTTGAGGTAAAGTTGTCAGGCCAAATGATGGAGAATAAAACAAAAAATAGAAGAGATCACAAGAAAAATCACCCAAGATTATGAAGTAACTTCCAAATCATCAAAAAGAAACAGCAACTACTATACATCCAAAAGGGAAGAAAATATCAATTGATAGAATTAAGTGATATATCCAGCAAATAGACAGAATATTAATTAATTACAGGTAGAAAATACTTGATTACCACGTCTCGAGAATCAGTATTTACTCATTAATTCCACCACAAAAAAAAAACAACGAAGAGCAGGTAAAAACAATAGAATATAAATAATAAAGATTTTCTTCTTGAGGTGAGAAGAGAGAAAGAGAGAAAAAAAAAATCAATTGATTACAAAAAGATTCATTAAGTTTGAGATGATTTACTTGAGATTCGGTGGGTTCAACTTGATTCAAATTAAATCAACTGATTAACTTGTTGGTTAGAGATAATTAAATGATTAGAAAAAGAATTAAAAATTACCAAAGAATTGAAATTGGTACAATTAAAGTGGAAGAGAAAAAGGTAAACTTATTTCATCACAACAAATGGAACAAACTGATTTTCTATTCACTTTCTTGTTCTTTTCTAAAATTTTCTCTTTCTTTTTCTCTGTCTTCGTTTTTCTTCTTCTCTTTCTTGTCTCAACTTGTCTTCTATTCTGTTGTTGTTGTTAAGCAGTTTTTTCGTGTTTATCTTTTTTTCACAATTAATCAGTTAATTATCTCTATTGACACCAACTGTTGTTTCTATTTAAGTTAATCAACTGTTTCTAAATCATTTAATTGTATAAAAGTTAATTATGATTGATTGATTATCGAGGAAGAACATGGAAACAGATGAGAAATTATTTTCTTTATGGTGACCACTTACCTTTTGGAGATTTATATGGATTTTATTTGTTCCAGCAATTAGTTGATTGTTGTAGATTTAATCACAATCAATGGTGTTTTCCTTGTAACATATTTCCTTTTAGGAAATTAAATTTAATTCAGGTAAGTTGATTACTTGGATTGTCACCGAAAACATTAACAATTATGTTCTGATAACCAGAATTTTTGTTGTTCTGGTCAATCTTCACTTGTCTCTTTCATTCAATTATTTAATTGTCTTAATTTTTTCACATTTAATTACTTTTGAATCAGTTAATTAGACAGGTTAATTGTTGGGATATTGTTTTTGTTTTTTTTGACATTTTCAATTCAAATTTAGCTCTTTGGAAAATAGTTTTTTAACTCAGCACTTTTTTTTTCTTCGCTTCTTCCAGACAACAATTTAAATAACAATTTAAACTTCACTAATTACATCAACTAATTCCTCGATTGTTTACCAGATTAAGAGAACATAATTTATGGATTATTTATGTTCAGTTTAATGTTCGTGTTGATTGATTAGTACTTTTTTTGTATTTACTTTATATCTTCAAATGGTTATGCTACTTAATTTGTTTACTTTTCTACCTTTGGTCATTTATTTACTTACCATTTTCATTGTGTCCACTTCCCATGAAACAATTTCATCTGCTGTTAATTTAGAGACTATTAACCAGAATTATGATGATAATGGTGATGATGATTATGATCATTACCACGAAAAAGCAAAATATTACCAACCCGATGAGTGGATCGATTACATGAGATTAATTAAAGAAGTTGAAACAATTAATGGATATCAATGTGATCCTAAATCGTCACTTGATTGTTTTTCACCTCAAATTGAATCAGATTTATCTTATTGGATGGAAAAAGGAATTACCTTTGATGATATCGAATCAGCAAAACCTCATGGTGTCCATTACCAAATAATTGACCATCAACTTTACCGACAACCTGATTGTATGTTTCCAACTCGATGTGAAGGAATTGAACATTTTCTACTTCAAATAATTAACAAATTACCCGATATTGAGATGATTATTAACGTTCGTGATTGGCCAGTCACAAGTAAAAGAGACACTCGATTACCGATATTTTCCTTTTCCCGTGACGACAGTTACAATAACGATATCCTTTATCCAGCCTGGAGTTTTTGGTCTGGCGGACCAGCCATTGAACAATATCCAACTGGAATCGGCCGATTTGACCTATTGACCCGGTCAATTGTTTCTTCATCACCTAATTGGGAATCAAAGGAAGATAAGTGTTTCTTTCGAGGATCACGAACCTCGTCCGACCGAGATTGGTTAATACTATTATCTCAATCACACCCTGATCTCATAGATGCTCAATACACCAAAAATCAGGCCTGGAGATCACCTCAAGATACCCTTGGTTTCCAACCCTCACCTACAGTTACATTTGAAGATCATTGTAATTATAAGTATTTAATTAATCTTCGAGGTGTGGCCGCTTCATTCCGTTATAAACACTTATTCCTTTGTCAATCATTGGTGTTTAATGTCCAATCCAATTGGATTGAATTTTTTTACCATTCGCTGGTTCCCTGGTACCATTATGTTCCCGTTAATCAATCAAATTTCTTGTCGATTTTAACCTTTTTCATTGAACATCAATCAGAAGCTTCAACCATTGCCTCTAATGGATTTAAATTTATCAACAAACATTTAAATCTGATTACAATTGAATCGTATTGGCATAAATTGTTAACCGATTACTCTACAGCTTTAAAGTACAAACCCAAGTTGATTCAATCAAACAGAAAAATAATCAATAGTAAGAGAAAATCTTAATTGTGCCTTTTGTTTACAAATGTTTATAATTAAACACTTTTTATAATTTTGTTTAAAATCATTTTTGATTTAAATTTGTATTCGGTAAAAAACGAAGAAACCATTTATTTGGTGGAAAATAATTTTGTTTAAATTTTTTGTGTTGTTGTCTTGTTGATCATCTTCGCATGGTTAACAGAATTAGTTGATTGCAAGTTGATTGTTGGATGATGTTATAAACAAAAATTCACTTCATGTCATAAACACAGAAAGAGGAAAAGATTATTTAACAGTTGAAAGTGCGAACAATTATATAATTTGCCTTGGTTATCTCACTTTGTAGACGCAATGATCAATTGTTGATCGATCAATCAATGAATCAATTATGTTCGATGTTCGTAAAACTTTACTTAAATAATCAAAGGCCATTTTAGCTGCTTTTGGACCAAATAGTTCACGAACAACTAGATTCGCGGGTTTAACTGATACAAAGCACCAATAGACTATGTTGACATCACCATTAACCTTAAAACTATAAACGAATGTAAAATATTTAAGCAAAACTTGTTCAACTTGAATCCGTCGATCTTTACTTCGAGTGACCACATTGATCATAAATATGGAAGACTTTGGATTCATCAATTTTACTACTTGTTCGACAAATTCATCGTCGACAAAAGGTTCAGGTGGACAACTTAGACCAGAAAGTTGATTATCACTATTTACATCGAGCATGATAACTGAGTAAACCTTTAATTGTGATTCAGCGAGACTTCGGATCACGTCCAGTCCATCGGCTATAATCAGTTTCGTTGGAAAATAATTTTTTTCATCGTCCAGGAACAAATTAAACCATTCTCGTGATATACGTTCAGTGGCTGAATCAATATCAACCACTTCTAATTCAGTTGAACCAGGAAGTCGAAGGTTATACAAAAGGTAATTAACAAAACATCCACCGCCCAATCCGATTAAAATCATATTATGTTGACAATCGGACGGGTTCTCGGTTAATTCATGGTAACATGCGATTCCAAGTAACATTGCATGATGATGTTTACAAGATAAATAACTGTTATCAATGACCCACGTTTGATCACGAACATGTCGCAATTTAGCCTCTGATTGGATTAAATTTTGTGATGATAAGAAAACTAATCGACGGTACCATTCATTGTTTATGGTTACATCTTCGATTAGATAATCACCACTAATTGAACTATGACCAGTGGACATTAATTGACGCTGACCAGTTTCTTCATTAACAGTTAAAAAAGGTATTTTTTTATCTTTCAATGATTGAACAACCCGTTCTTGAGGAAAGTAAAGGCAAATAGCACCAAGCTCAGCCTTAATCCTTTCAATTCCACCAGGATAAATATGATGTCGAGATAAATGACAAACAGCTAACCGGAAACACCTTGAATTATCACATAATTGCCGACGACCTTCCGGTGTACCAAAAAGCCACTCAGTTTCCCGACCTTCAGGTACAATGAAAATTGCAAAATCTTGAGGTATCCTAACCTCAGGTGCATCACAAATGTAAATATAATAACGAGGAAAATCCCGATTACCGGCTGAAAAAACTTCGACCAAAATTTCACCATCATTAATAGTTTGATTTCTCAAGTAAGAAGAAAGTGTCATTAACCGATGTAAACTGTCCACCGCCTCGAAAATTTCAATTAAACAATCTTCATATGTAAATCTAACAGGTTCAATTATCTTCTCGGTTAAAGTGAAAGTTGTTTCAACAAGTAGTTTATCTTTAGCTGATGGTAATTTAATTGCAACCACAGCGAAAACGGGAAGTACCAAGTGAGTTGACCCTTTCTCTTTCTGGTAAGATTCTTCAACACGAACTAACCGGTGAAATCTTACAATCCAAGCAAATTCACTAACATGTCGAAACCAAGTAACCAAAAATTGAAGCATAGTATCAGGTAATCGGGTGAGAAACAATAGACGACCAAAATTTTTCAACAACCTTGATTCTACCTCAAGACGTCCACCCACCAAGGTTAGCGCTTTTTCCAATGATTTTCCCATATCAAAATTGTTATAATAAATTTCATCGATACCCGTTCTATCAATAAGAACGGAACATGTTGGCTCGGGAGATTCAATTTCCATAACATCTTTTGGTATCACTTTAAGGTTAACTTTTTGCTTCTGCTTTCGGCTTGAAGGTGCAAGGGATGTTGTCGATTTGTCCCAAATAACGATATCATTAATTTCGTTTAAAGTTAACCAATCACCAATTGGAGCATTGTTGGCACCAAGTATACAAATGGTATCTTTTGATTTGATATACTTTTTAAGGAGAAATTTTAAATGAGTATAATCACCATAAGCATCTAAATCAAAAGTAAATTTTTCTCTCCAAAAATTTTCCAATGAAAAATTGGTTGTTATTCGGGTTAAAATTGAGTCAACACAACAACGGGTCTCAATTGGATGTGGTGGTTGATCACATTGTAAACCGGTTGAAGTTGATGCAATTGGTTGGTCTTCATGACACTTTTCACCTTCACCATGTGAATGACCACCACCAACACCACCATGAGAGTGACCATGAGAATGTCCGTGAGAATGTCCATGTCCATGTGACATTGTTATAATTTTCAAGAATTAAACACCAATGGAAAAAAAGATAGAATATGAAGAGAAAATTTTACAATAGAAGGAAAAAAAATCGTTCTTCTGTTTGATTCTTCTGAGGAAGGATTGATAAAAGATACTTTCTATTTCCAGGTAACAAATAAAAATAACGAGATAAGAGGAAAATTCAATAATCAATTGTTAATTTTTAGACCAGAAATTTGATCACCAATAAAAATAATCTGTAATTAGAGAGGCAATTAAAAATCAAATTAGAAAAAAAACGTTTAACAATTAAACTCAAGTTGGGCGGTTAATTAAAGTGAAAGGAATACATGAGTCTTACCTTTGTGGATTAGATTAAAAAACAGATTATCTATTGTGACTAAGTGGTGATTAAAGAAAATCTTGGAATACACAATTACATCTAAATTAGAAACGACATTTTTTTCTTAATTCTTTTCAGTAGTTCTAAGAGAGAATTAACCAAATTAGAGTTGTGGAAAAGAATAGAAAAAATATTCACCATGTTTCCTGAGTGAAAATAAACAAAGCGAAAAAAAAGGAAAAAGGGGAAAAGAATAATCAATTAATGCGGGAAATCTAAAATTAGATTGTCATGATTAGAAGCTGATTAAAATTAGAAAAAGAACAAGAAAAGAATTGAATAATTACCTTGAAATTCTATGGAGAACAATAAATAACAATTAATTCACAAGAGCTTGAAATAAGAATCTTAATTGTTCCAACATGGTTTCCATCTTTTCACCAACTGAAACAATATTAATACAGTTAATTATTATCCACCAAACACTTAACACAATTTAATATGTAACTAAATTAACGAGTCTAATCTTGAACAATTAGTTGATGATTTAAAAGTAACCAAACAATTAACAAATACATGTATAGACTTTTTTTTCTTGTTTCCAATTAATGACCAACAGCAAAGAGACCAAGAGACCAACAAAGTGATGGAGATAAAGTGATAAGAATCCAAAGGTAAATAGAAGAAACTTTTTCTCCAACTCAAAGTGTCGAGAATTTTACAAATCGATCATTAATTACTAATCTCTAATTCTAAACAATTAAATTAATCAAAAATGGAGAAGATTAAGTTAATTGTGAGAGAGAGAAAAGAAAATTTTTTTTTCGAAAGTAAAAACTTGACCCTACATTCGGTAGATGGCGTAGTCGTTTCTTAGAATGAAAAGAAAATAACCGATTCCGGATTAGATTCGAATACAAGTATCACTTGAGATTCTTTTCAATTTTCCTCTGTCTATTTATCGATTTTTTTCTTTCTTTTTCTCTCCCTCTTATCGGATACAATTTGGATCTTATCTTTTCTTATTTTTACCGAAAACCGAAAATTTCTCAAGTCGGTTTGAAATTTTTTCTCTTAAAAATTATTTTCTATTTACTTTTTAATTGTTAATCTTTTTTGTTTTTTCTTTGGAAATTTAATTGTGACACTTTTGATTATTTAGTTAATCTGTTCTTTCAACAAAATTATTTTCTCATGAGAACGTTAAGATTAAATTAGATTGGATGGATTTCATTTCTTCTTCTTCTTCTTCTTCATCTTCCTCTGGTTCTTTAATAACAACAACTTCATCATTCCTGACAACAACAATGGGATCCATTTTTAATTCCCACCTTTTGTTTTCTTTCATTTTGACGAATATAATTGTTTTAAGAGCTAGTCACCTTGTATCTACAGCTGAATTATATCCAGAATCTCGACCTAAATGTGAGGAAATAGTTGTCCCCATGTGCCGAGGAATTGGTTATAATATGACTTCCATGCCAAATCAATTTCACCATGAGAAACAAGATGAAGCGGGTTTGGAAGCTCATCAATTTTGGCCATTGGTAGAAATTAATTGTTCAGATGATTTAAGATTTTTTCTATGTTCCATGTATACACCAATATGTATGGAAGACTATCATTCAAGATTACCTGCCTGTCGATCAGTTTGTGAAAGAGCTAAATCTGGTTGTGCAACAATTATGTTACAATATGGTTTCCCTTGGCCCGAATCTATGGATTGTAATAATTTTCCTCCTTATGGTTCACCTAATCAACTTTGTATGGATCAAAAGGAAGGTGCATCACCTTCAATTTCATCTTCTCCACCATCTTTGCCACCATCAGTATTTGTACCCTCCGTTACTCTTTCACCTCCTTTAGTACCAACAACTTCATCTTCCAAATCAACCAACAAAACCTCTCCTTCTAATATTGGTAAGTATTCACTATCTTCTTATTATTTTCTCTACCTTTTTGTTTCATCTTAAAATCTCAATTATTTTAAGTAATAGAACTTCTTTGACAAAACAATCTTTCATCTTAATCATTTTCCATTTTATCTTCTTATGATATTGCTAATATGTTTTCTCCTCCCTCTCCCTCTCTTTCTGAGAGATGAGATATTTTTCGGCTTCTCCCTTTTATCTTATGAGAAAAAGCATCTCAATGATACTCTTCCCACAGCCAATTCACCTTCATCGGAGTTTTATTCACTTTTAGAAATAACCGATTACAATTATGATTGATTTTAACTGTTCTTTTTGTCCTTTTAATTATCTGTTCACTTTTCATAGGTCCGACCAAATTTTCTGATTTATTTAATGGAAAATCTTTTGATAAATCTAGAAATGGATGTAATTGTCAATGTCGCTATCCATTGATCACTATTCATGAACCAACGGATCCTTTCAGAATAATTTCTACTGGTGGTGTAGTTAATTGTGCTCAATCTTGTGATTCGAGTCCATTTTTCTCGCAACAAGATCAATCAAAATCACTTCTTTTCATTTCTTTAACGGCTTTTCTTTGTCTGATATGCTCCCTTTTGGTTGTTTGTACCTATTTTAGCGATCGAAGTCGATTCTGTTACCCCGAACGGGCAATAATCTTTCTCTCCGGTTGTTACATTATGATTTCCATTGGATTTCTCCTTAGATACCATCTTGGTCATTCGGCTATTGCCTGTGATGGTGGTATATTACGTTACCCTGGAATTGGAATTCAGTCCATAAATTGTATCACCGTTTTCATATTCATCTACTTTTTTGGTATGGCTGCATCTCTTTGGTGGGTCATTTTGACCTTAGCTTGGGTTTTAGCTGCTAGTCTCAAATGGTCAACGGAAGCAATTGAAACTTACTCATGGAATTTTCATATTTTCGCTTGGGGTCTTCCAGCAATTAAATCATTCTTTGCTATTTCTTATATGGCTGTAGATTCTGAACCATTGGCTGGTATCTGTACGGTGGGAAATCTTAATCCTAAATATCTAATGTACTTCATAATTGCTCCTCTTTTAGCCTACTTAACTTTAGGAATTTTATTCCTACTTTTTGGTCTTTTTTCACTAATGCGATTACGTCGATCAATAAGGAAACATGTTCGCCAAGTTACCGATAAAACGGGTCTAGTTAAACTGATGGTTCGAATAATCATCTTTTCAATTTTATACATTGTACCAACAATTGTGGTCATTATTTGTAACATTTACTTATACACAAACTCATCATCCTGGGAGGTGAACCATAACTGTCCATGTAACAGCGCTTCATTGGAAACACCTTATGTTACCATTCATCTGTTCAAATATGTGATGACCCTTGTGGTGGGTATAACTACATGCTTTTGGATACTCTCATGGAAAACCATCAAATCTTGGTGGTATTGTACAGCGGGGAAACTTTGCTGTTGTTGTCGTAAAGAAGCACCAATACCTCGAGATCCATTGATGGGATCAACAGGAGGTGGAAGTAGCCAATATATTGTAAATAGTCAACGAAGTTACAAACAGATCAAGTAAGTTTAGTGTATAAATCAAATGTAGAGGAAAAATTAACTTTTCTGCGTAAATCATATGATTATAAAAATGAATCAGTTGATTGTTTTATTACGTTTTTCTTATTTAGGAGAGACCTTTATGTCACGTTAATTATTCAAATTATAGTGAAAAGTAATTAAGATACTTAATTAGGTGTCACACCTAATATTTGCTGTAAGTTTTAGGTTAATTTTGATGATTCCGGTTTACTTATGAATCTTTTATATTATTACACTGATTGATTCATTTCAATATAGATTGATTAGCAATAATTAGCTTATAACTAATTTCTTTTTTTTCCTTTTTAGTCAAATTGCTCACTCATCAGTAAGTGGAGGACAACCTCACCGGAAGATTTAAATTTTTGTCAAGTTTAATTAATGTATTTCTGGTCTCATCATCATCGCCATCTTCATCTTCATCACTGCCATCATCTCAGGATCTCAAGAAATATTAGACTGAAACATTTTCTTTCCAAGGTTCTAATCATTCCAATATTCATCTATGGGCCAGGAATTAACTTCATCAACGAATTAAACAAAATGGATGGAAAAATCAAATTAGAGCAATTAATTCATTTTTCAAATACAGTATCAACTGTAGCTCTATCTAAATTTTGTCATCCATGTACTCATCATCATCATCATCATCATTATCATCAATTTTGGCTTTTATCTTAAACACTCGACACACGAACATTTCCAATTTCCATTATTATCTATGTGTAGCTTTGGAATCCAATTTATTTCTAAATTGTGTAAATCTTAATTTATCCATTCATTTTTCATCAATTCCACAATTAACAAATTCTATTATCAAAAAGATACTTTAAAATCACCTTGATTAGCAAATTATATTCGGTTAACTTGTCTTCCCATCACCACAAATAAGTTACAATGAAAGAAAAAATCACAATCGAACACAATTTAATTAATGAAAGTCGATTACCAGGCGGAAAACAATCTACTATTAATAATTTGTAACAATCAAATTAAATGTGATCCAAGTTAATCCATGAAAATATTATTATAAACAATATAAACTTTAATTATAATAGTTGATATAATACAAATGACGAAACGTGAAAAAAACATCGTAATGATTAATGATGATAATTATTCATGATTAATATCAGGTAATTTGATTAACCAGAAATTATGAACGAGAAAAAAAAATAGAAAGCAGAAAATAAAAATTGATAGAAAAGTAGAATCAACTTAATGGTAAACAATTAGTAACAATCAAGGTTTATGGTTACCAAGCTATCGTTTAAATTGATTATCACCACTTAGTGTGTGTTCCTTAATCAACAATTTAACAATAATCAACAGTATTTAATTGTTTCCTGTGTAAATCGAGAAAAAAACAAAGAATCCATGTAATGTTAAAGACTAAATTGTAATCACAATCAGTGATTAATTGTTTTACTATCCAGAAAGTTAATCTTTTCAGTTAATTTATAATCTTGTATCAACTGTTGTTGTTGTTGTTGCTTTGGGTAATGAATTAATTGATGATGATGATAATGATGGTTGATTAAGGTGATGATTAGATTGATTCTGATGATGTCCAAATGTTTCAGTTGATGAGGTTTTGATATCATTATGATAACGGTCAGTATAAGGTACAACTGACCCTTCAAGGAACCGATAGCCAGTTGATTGTGTGGTTGATTCATTTAAATCACTTTGATCAAATCCACTATTAACATTACCTTGCCATTGATAAAATCGGCCATCTTTAATTGTATCAAATTCAATGCTTCCTCCACCGGTGGGAAAATGATTACTATTAACTTGAGGAATCTGTTAATTGTGAAAATGAAACGTAAAAGTAACAATTAATTTTTTTTATAAGAAAAAAGTTATTGAAGATGGAAGAACAATTAAATTAACTAATTGATTGGTAATCAATTATTTTGCGTGATTTGTTTTTTCAGAGTTTTTCTCAACAATAATCTATTGATTGTTAGCTATTAACAGTTAATTCTTAGCAATTTAAGTTTCTCGTGTGATTAAATTTGATTGTTTTGTGAAATAAATCATGAGAAAGTAAAAAAAATGTCAACCAATTGATTGTGAATATGAACAAAAATGATTTAGTCATCATACGGAAGCAACTAAATTAACTATTAACAATTTATTGATTACTATTAATATTATGATGATGATGATGATTAACTTTGATTGTAATTATTATTATCAGGATGATTTGTCATCATTGGATTGACAGGATTTCCAGAGGAAAAGTTTTCCTACTTTTTTTTACTCATAATCAAATAATCAACTGATTGTTATTGTTGTTGTTGTGGGTTGTCAATCAGTTAATTGTTCAACTTCTTACCTTAATTGTCCTCTCTCGAGTTAATTTACGGAAAATGTAAACAACCAGAATTAAAACAATTAAAATTAACAAGCAACATAATCCTAATAGGATCATTGTGAGGAGGAAAAACTTTTTAGCTTCGTAATGGTCAATAGTTAATCGTTGATTAGAGTGGTCAGCAATTTGATTGTTATTTGAATCACAAATTGTTTCATTACTTTTATCAATAAGTAAATCAGTTGTTACATTATTTGCTTGGTTAATTGTAGTTGTTGTTGAATTAATTGTTGTATCATTATTTTCATTATCAATCATGTCGATGGTTAAAGTTGTTGTTGTTGATTCTGAATCAATTGTCAATGTTTCTGATGATAGATTTAAGTTAATTGTTGTTGTTGGTGGTGGTGGTGATGTTTCATTATCCTTAATTGTATTGGTCAGTGTAGATGGTGATTTAAATATAACATTGGGATTAATTGTTGGTGATGATGAATTACTTATCTCATTACTTGTAATTGATTCTGAATCAATTAAATTGTTGTTGTTACCATTTGATTTAATTGTTGATGGTAAAGTATTTACTTCATCATCACCATCAAGAAATACAGTTACATGACTTGGGTTGATTGTGGTTGTTGGCTTAATTGTTACTCTTGTTTCATTTTGATTAACTTTATTATTGGTTAAATTATTGTAATCATTAATTGTGGTGGTTGTTAAATCAACGGTTAAAGTTGATTCTGTGATTTCAGATGAATGATTTACCAATGTAATTGGATTTAAAAAGCTGTAGCTTGTTGTTAAATCATCAGAATCAATTAAGTTAATTGGTGTTGTTGTTGTCAACAATTTTGTAGTTAAATTTAATTCACTTTCAACGGAATAAGTTAATAATGATAATATCAATAAACAGTGAAACACAAATTGATTAACATGTTGATAAACAATTAACACTGATGGTGATACTTGATTGTTACTGTTGATAAAATAGTGATGATACCGGTTGATGGACAATCTAATCATGATTATGATGAATTTAAGTTAATCATTAGAGATTAATGATTGAGGGAAAATTGTCAAAGAAAACTAATAATATCAATGTAAAAGTTAATTGTAATTTCTATCAGAGGATCAGGAATTAAAGTTAATTGTTGAAGGCGGTTTCATGTGTAAACGGAAAATTTTTCAACACAATTCAATGAGTGAGTCGATGATGATGATGGTGAGAGGGAGATGAGGGAGAGGAGGAGGAGGAGGTGGGTTACCATGCTGGAGGAAAAGCTTTTCCTCCACCACCACCGAGAAAAAGTCTATGAGAAAATAGGAAGCGGAAGGAAAGTTGATAGAAAAAAGAATAAGAATTTTTTTTTTCAACTTCGAAATCAATTCAATCAGAATCAGAATCAAATTCGTGGTGCAAATCACCATCACGAGAGAGTGGGCAGTCGAAGGTGGGATGATAATGATGATAAAAGGAGAAATACAATGTAACAATTTCAATCTCTCACTCTCGTTAATTGTAGTCTAGGTAATCAAAAGTTAATTGTTACTCCAATGAGAACGTGATTTAATTGTAATGAGCCTTAAAGTAAATTTATCAGTTGGATTAACAAAAAGATGTTGATTTGGTTGGTTTACAATTTAAATCAACCTGAGATTTAATTTTCGTTATATTTGAATTGTTCCCATTTACTTTCATTACATTAGTTTATTTATAAATTGTTGTTGTTGTTTAAAACTAAATGATTACTAACAATTTAGTTGGTTATTTGTTTTTCATAATTACAATTAACTTCCAATGGTGATTTTGATTGTGGTGGCGGTGGAAACTCACCCACCCAGACTTCATCCATCTTCCCACTTCTCATCTAAATCATCATCATCTCTCTGATGGTTTCCATCTGTTTATCCCCAAAAGAAATTATCAAATATCATCAAGTTTATTATTACTAATTGTTGACAATTAATTGTTAATTGTTACCAACAATTAACAAAGATTTAACTTCCTAGTAAAATACAATGATAGATATTTATGTTTATGTTATTTTTTTACCAGGTAACCGGAAGTATTTTGGTTAATTCAAAAGGATTCAGTTACCATTGAATTAGTTAATTGTTACAATTAGAATTGTAAAAAATTGTCTTGTTTGATTTACACAATAGTAGATTTTAATTTAAATTGATTATCATAATTAGAAGAGTTTAATTGTATTGATATAATAGAGTTTCAGATGAATGGAAGATTCGATGAGGGGAAAAAAGTTCTAATTCCCGGTTGACGTTTCAATGTCGAACTTTTCTCTTGTAATGTTCGTAACTTTTGAATTGTGTTCTAATCACAATTAACAGGGAATTAACATCTTAATTTGTTATTCTTACAGGAAGATGATGATGATAATTGTGATGAGAAGAGAAAAATATAAAATAATTACTGCGAAGCTGATAAACAAAAAGTAGATCGAAAAAAAAAAAAATTGTTTTTTCTTTCGATCGATAAAGTTACTTGTTGGTTCTATGGGTACAATTCATGCGTCGAAAGTGATATAAGATGAGAGAGAATTGAAAGAGGAAAATGATGATGAGGATGAGGATGAGAAGATGATGAAGATGATAGAAAGATGATGAATTTTGAATGCATGTGTTTTCCTTCATCTCTTCAATAGACTTGCTTAGAATTCACGTCATTTATTACCTTGACTTCAATGCGATATCATCATCATCATCATCTCTCTCTCTCTCATACACACACTTTCTCTCATCTTATCATCCTCATCCTTTCTTATCATTTCTCTCTCTCTCTCTCTCTCTCTCATCTTCTTCCTCATTTTCACAATCCAAATAACCAATAGTGATTCATTCAACTGTTGTTGATTCCAACAAGTTGATCATCTTTAAGTTTGTTTATCATTAGTTTTGATTATTTCTCCTCATCATCTGCTTATCATCATTAATGTCCAATAATTATAACCCTTTAATGATGATCAAATGAATGATCCCTTTAATTGTAATCGATCAATAATCAAATTATCAACAGAAAAGAAAACATTAACTTAATTTATCATTGAAAAGGTTAACCTCCTAAATGGAAACCATAAAGTAAAACTTGGATATATTTTCACCTTGGGAATTAATCAATTGATCAAATTTTTCTCTCTCTTTATTTCATATCATAAAAATAAGTTGGTTAATAAGTTGATCATCATCATCATTAAACTTTCATCAGTCAGTTAATTTGTGACACTCTTTTTGTATTATATTATCATCGTCATCTTCATCACTCCATCAATCATAATTCATTCATCATTCACACTGTTGAGATTTCCATCAATCCTGAGTTCTTGAAAACAACAACAAAAACAACAGAAAATGCCTCCAATGTCCACTCATGTCCGTTCAGTTCGAAGTGTTGGTCCAAGTTCATCGGCGAAAAATTCATCAACTGATCAGATCGTAAATAATTTGTCTCAATCTTTCATCGAAAACACCACAGAATCAACATCACCAAGTTTCGGAGAGACATCAACATTTCAATTATCATCAGATGAACCATCAGATTGGCCAATTGCGGTAAATGAGACACCAGGTACACTTGAACCTAAATTGATGGGTATATTTGAATTATCAGCATCTCCATCATTTACAACTACAAATCGACCAGCACCGGTTATAACTACTCCGTCACAGATATCATTTCCTCCGCCAATCTCATCATATTCAAATAAAACCCACAAAATGGCCCAGGGTGGTAATAGTAAAGGTTTAGAGTTAGGTGGTGGTCAGTCTTTGAATAGCAGATATAATGTTCAGGATAATTCTGATCCTGAATACATGGGAAAGGGTAGAGAATTTGTTGATGATATTTCCTCGGCATCTCATATGCCCGTTTGGAGTGTCCTTTTCGTCCTAATGGTCAGCGGTGGTGTTTGTGTGCTAATTTTTTACTGTTGTCTTCATAAATGGTGGAAACGGTGGAGGCCATCGGTGGCATTGGTGATAAGGGTAAAGGGTTAATACCTGGAAAGGTTGACCTCAAATCGGTTCAACTATTGGGACAAACTTACAAAGAAAAGGTAAATTCAAAGTCAATTCATTAATTCAACTTACAAATCTAATCAAATCAATTTCTATCATCTCTCTCTCTCTCTCTCCTCATTTTGCAAATTTAAATTAATCAATTACTGTAATTGATTAGCTATTTACCTACATAACAATCAAACTTTCCTTTGACTTTAATCATTTCAATCAATATGACTGATTGTTTGTTTACAACAATCAAAATCAATCAAATGATTTGTGTGTTTATTTTTTGTTTCCTTTGACTTTTAAATTAATTGATTAACTTTCAAGTTAATTGTTGGATTGATTTGAAAAGGTTTCAAATTAATATAAGTCTTCAGATGATATAATCTGATTGCTAATTTCAAACTTTAATCAACTTTGGCTTCAATTTGGTAAAAGTAAACAATCAATTTTAAATATTACAATTTATTGATTCATTTTTAACGATATGACAATTTATTGATTTATATTATTGAAAATCAATGATTTCTATATTATGATTCAAATGATATAATGATCAAGATAATTAACTTATGTAAATTGACAATTTGATTAGCGAGTTACTTTTAATTACAATTAACTTTTTTTTCTTCTCATATAATTGTCACATTTTCTTATCATTTGATTGATAATTAATTTCAAATTATATGAACTTGAAAATTGAATTAACTAATTACATTGTAATCCACTCAATCAATGTAATTACCTAATTAATTGACTATATTTAAACTTAATTAGTTGATTAACGAAATAGTTATACCAATTTTTAAATTTTTAGTCGAAAACAAAAAGTTAAATCAAATCAATTGATTGATTTTTTTTGTTCATCTCATGAAAGTGATTCTAATTGTAAATTTCAATATTGATCAACTAATTGTTTACCAATATAATAACAATTTATGCCCAACAATCAACAAAACAATTAACATTTCTCACCATTAACCTTTGATAATCGTTAATGACAATGAAAATATCCAAATAAAAGTAACATTAGTTAATATAATTAAATTTGATTGTGACATTCTGACTGGTTAATTAAGGTCAAAATTAATTAATAACAATTAGTAAATAGTTGGAAATAGTGAATTAATTATAAATGATTACATCTTGACAATTAACCAAATGATTACCTAATTGTTTAGTTAATTCCTGTTGTTGCTCAGAGAATCATTAATTTTCATGATAAACAATTGAACTTTTATTTTATTTTTTCATCTTCATCTTCATCTATAAATATATATTGTTTGGTGAATCTTCATCTCGAGTATTCTGAACTGTTCAGAACATTTTTATCGATCGATTTGTAGTTTAAGAGCAAGATAAACTTTTATGTTCTAAGACAAAAATATTCGAGGACTTTTCTGGATTCTACTTGATGAGATTGACTTGTTGCTTGTTCTCGTCATCATAATAAATAATCATCATGATGATGATCATTTGGAAGATGATGGATGATAGAGATTCAGATTATTCTGATTATTCTGGTTAATTTAGTTCTTCTAATTCAATGATTAACTTTTGCTTTTCCGAAAAGAAAACTTTCTCATACAACCTTAATTGTGATTCCGATATTTTCACACTTTTCTCATTCTAATCTAAAGGTAAAGGTAACAATCTAAATCTATGTTAATTGAATAATATGATAATCAGAGTTAATTGTTGTTTACTTTTATTTAGTTGACGATAATTTAATTTGATTGTAATCACTTTGATTCTCTCATTTGATTTAACATAAGTTTTTTTGCTTCTCTTCCTAATCTATTGTTTCCTAGGAAATTATTTCTATTTTAAATTGATTGTTACAATTTAATTTTCTATCAATAGATTTGATAGTCTTTTCTTTGTGTGAATTAGGGTTGGACATCGATGGGTCAGTAGACATAATTGTTTGTAATTATCATGAAAACTTCGTATCGATTGAACTTCGATTATTATGACAAGGAAAGAAAAGTTCTAATGACGAAAAGGAAGTAATTCAATTTGGACATTTAATTGTTTTCTTCAATCAATATAATTCACAGAGAGATAATTAAAATTGATTGTTAAGTGAGAGAGAGAGAGAGAGAAACTTAAAGAGAAAATAATTTTTGTTTCTTATCGTCTGTGAAATTATTTGATTGAAACTTCTTGATTCAGTTGATTAACATGATAACCAAATTGTTGTGATCAAAATTTGACAGTTTATCAAATGAAAATGTTACCTTTAAGTACAACTGAGCTAACTAATGCTCAAAATGGTGAATTAACTGACCCTTCAAGGGTAAAAGATGATGATTGGTCAAATTACCGTTACAATCAGTTTAATCAGCAACAATTAACTTGTTCAGCTAAACATTCAATGGTTAATTATCATCGATACAGTGGATTACAAGTTAGTGGTAATAATTATCATCGAACACCATCTTATATAATGAAAGGGCCTAATCGATATGGTCAACGAGTTATCAGATCATTTAATCGAGGTGCTCCTAGAACAGGTCACGAGAACGAGTCAGCTGAACCACGACACCGACGAATCTCAATGGTTTTCAGCTATATGGGGGGTTTCATTTTCGCTCTACTTATAACTCGTTCATTTTTACACTTCGAAACAACGACCAACGTTTACATTCAAAATCCTCAGAGTTCTGAACTTCCGGCGACCTCATTTTGTTTCTTTTACGATCTAAAAGATCACCTTCATTTTACTCAGCAACATGTAAAGGGAAAAGATGTCGATGGTTATGTTAATCTAACGAATAAAAATTTGGACCAAATTAACCAAGAGTTACCCAAATTCAGTGAATTCGTGAAAAGCTGCGAGGTCCTTGTCGATAACGATAAGTACCAAACATGTTTATCGGTCAATCGACAGCCTGTTGTCAAATATTTGAGCTTATACTCGAAATGTTATACAATGTTCGAGTTTATTAATCCACCGAGAAAATATCAAAACGTGAGATTGGTTCGAATTGGCTACTTAGTGTTACCCTTAATGTTTCACGAATTTCGACTGGAAAAGTAGGAATTTTTCTGACCCATTCAACGGAAGAGCTCGATGAGTCTCTGGGTAACCCGTCATTCCTTCAGTTCGATATTAAGGATAATAATAGAGCGACCGTAACCTATGAACGAACCGTTATTTATAAACTTCCACCGCCTTACAATTCAAATTGTTTCGATTATGAATCATTGCCATGCAAAAATCGAGCGACTTGTATTCGAAGGTGCATTAGGGAAAAATCTTTCGAAGGTTCTAAGGCTTGGGTTAATCGAAGATACGTTCAGCTAGATGAGTTCTATTATTCTGGCCGATTTGGAATTGAAGATGAAACAAATTATACCGAATATTGTTTTCGAAAGTTTCCCAGTGAACCTTGTATCGATTATCTTTACAACGCTATTATGGCCTCACAATTTCTTTCACCTTTTGCCGATAATCAAACGTTCCAGATTAATGTGGCCTATCCCCTTGGAATGGAGACAATTGTTGAATATAAAGAGTTTCAATCGCTTATGGATTATATTTGCTTTGTTTCAAGTATCGTTAGTCTCTGGACGGAAGCCTCAATGATACGAATCTCTGAGTCCCTGTTGGACATTTGTACTCGACTTTTACTTAGATTCTTACAAGCCGAGCACATTAATGGCTATGCAATCGGCTCAAGTGGTGCTAACGATGCTAATCCAAAGTCAGCTCATATCAACACTTTAATTATATCAAACAACACAAATAACGACGGTGACAGTGGAGGTGAGGGTAGGGCGGGAATAGTTAATACACCCAATCGACTGACGGTTAAAAGTAGCCGGGAAGTTAGAAATGCTAACGACGATTCGACCATTGGTCTTACTGGTATCGAAAATGAAGTTGATCAAACTATCCAAGACAAAATGGTCAAAATCCGAAATTCATGATATTTACAGGTCGTTTTCTGTCCAATCTCACAGACCAAATTACTTTAGATGAGAAATTCTTTTAATTAGTTAATGACATTAAATCTAATTCGTCTTTACCGTTATTTCAAACTCGTAAATAATAATAAATTAACTTGTATTTTCGACACAAAGAATATTATTGTTTACAAAAACTGAATAAATTCTTGAAATCGACTATTATATCTTCGAGGATTTTAATTGTTCATCTTGTCGCGTTTTCGATTAATATTAGAACATTTTCCTCTTCTAAATCTTTGATGGGAATTTTTCCTCATTTCAAGAAATTTAATTATCGATATTAAAGTAATTAGATAATAATAAGAAAAATATTTTTCGTTGACTATTTTCACCTTGACAACAATTGAATTGGTAGCTTTTACTTGGACATTTCCGTTCCCAGTAACAGGATACAATTATATCGACCCACTAAGATGGGAAAATAAGTTAATTGTTGTTAAGTTGATTGTCATTCCAACCATTACAATCAACTAATCATTTGAAAAGTTTAACAACAAGTGAAAAGGTTGCATTTCTTATATATCTAAGTGTTATTTTAGCGTAAACATGAAACTCAGGCCATTTCGAGATTTGAATGACCATAGATTGTCCAATGATGAGAACTTTGAAAATATTCGAGCAACGGGAAACAATTGGTCGAAACTTAGATATTACACTTTAAATCGTCAATACCTTCGACATCGAAATCCGTCACCTCGACACTCGATTAGTTTACCAGCTCGATATTCGGTCGGTGTTGCTCCTAATCTTCCGCTTGGTCGGCAATCAATGCCAGTGATATCGTTGCAAGATCGTAGACAAATCAAACGTTTACGAAGAAATCCTCGACATCGGCTTATTGCAACCACTTTCAGTTATATCGGCGGTTTCATTTTCGCTCTTGTAATCACCAGATCATTTTTACAGTTCGATACAACCACCAATGTTTTCATTCGTATGCCTCCAGTATCTGAACTTCCAGCGACCTCATTTTGTTTCTTCTATTCACTTGAAAATCTTCACTTCGAACCTGCCAGTAAATTTGATAGTAAAGCGACTACCGGAAGATTGACCAACATGAACCTCGCAGAGATAAACAAACATTTACCTTCTTTCCAAGAGTTTGTCGTCGACTGTAAAGTTCTAGTAGATAACTCTGAATATCGAACTTGCCTTTCAGTTAATCGACAACCAGTGGTCAAGTATTTAAGTCTCTTCAGTAAGTGTTACACAATGTTTGAGAGTTTAGACCCACCGGTAACTTATGATCGAATCGGTATCGGTTCTAATTGGATATTAGATGTAATTCTTAATGTTTCTCGAATTTCAACCAACCGGGTGGGAATTTTTCTAACCCACACCACCGAGGAACTTGATGAGTCCCTAGGTAATCCGTCATTTCTACAATTTAACACGGAAGTAAATAACCAAGCGATAGTGACCTATGAACGAACCGTTATAAAGAAACTTCCACCGCCTTTTGATTCTAAATGTTTCAATTATGATCTATTATCATGTAAGAATCGAGCAACATGTATTCGAAGGTGTATCATGGAAAAATCTTTCGAAGGTTCTAAAGCTTGGGTTAGTCGAAGATACGTTCGACTTGATGACATTTACTTACCAGGTCGATTTGGAATTGAAGATGAAAGCAATTATACAGAATTTTGCGCGAAAAAATTTTCGTCTGAACCCTGTACCGATTATCTCTACAACGCGAATATGGCCTCACAATTTTTCTCACCTTTTCGAGACAACAGTACCTTCCAAATTAATGTGGCCTATCCCATCGGTATGGAGACAACCGTTGAATACGTTCAACTGCAAACTTTAATGGACTTTTTCTGCCTGGTGTCGAGTATCATTAGCCTTTGGACGGAAGCTTCAATGATCCGAATCTCGAGGACAACTTTGAACATTAGCTCCAAGTTGATCTTACGATTGGTCCATTCACACCTAGAGGATGAAATTGACGAGGAAAATGAATCAAATCATCATGTCCATCAACAAATTTCCATGGTTACCCAAGGTGTGGGTGGAAGAGATCATCTCATACGAGGTGAAAGTGATGAAGAAAAAGTGAATTATCAAATTCCTGATGTTTCCAGAAGATTTTCAGTTCGAAATAACTTGAAACCAGTTTATTTACGTTGATGAACATTTCGAATAGTTATATAATTATTAATTACTATAAGAAAAGAAAACAATCCATTACGAATTGTCAAAATGCTGAGAATTCAATTTATTTTTTATTCAACAGATTTTATTATTATCATGATATAAAATTAAATGATTGATTGATTACCATCAATTGGTAAGAAATTGTTTACTTTTCACATAAATGATTATCACCAATTGGTCAGTATTGATTGTTGATTGTGTCCAGTTTAATACTGTGAAGGTCAAATGATTTTCAATCAATAACAATTAGATTGAAATCTAAACAATTTATATCGTTTCTTTTATCGAGAACAACATTTCCATCAGTTGGTGTTTCGATTTTAACTTAATTTGTTTAGAACTTTTTTTTCCATCCTCTTCGATATGTATGGTCGACCTCGAATTGGTAAATATTCAAAGAATAATTCTTTAAGTCGTTTGAGAATAATTAATGAGCCAATAATTACCAATTATAGTGCCGAAATTAATCAAAGTTTATCATTAACATCACAGGAAAATGGACAATCAAGTAAACTTTTATTTAGATTATCAAAGGGATGGTCAATATTAAAGAAGTTGTGGTCATTTTGTGTAAAACTATTCGTGTTACTTGGTGGTGCATTTGGAATCATCATTTTTACAGTGATTTTCCTTCAATTTAGAACCAAAATTAGTGTTAATATCGAAACACCCGATAAGTATCAACTTCCCTCGATTTCGTTGTGTTTTATTTACAATAGTCAAATGGCAACTCTAAAGTCATCTTCTCGAACAGACAAAAAATCAACCATCAATAATCTGACAGAATTGAATTTACGAGAAATCGATCAGCATTTACCTTCATATTCAGAGTTTGTCCATAATTGCGAGGTTCTAATTAGTAATGATACCTATCGAAATTGTTCAATTGCCAATAATAAAACAGTCAGAGCATTTTTAAGTTTTCGCTCAAAGTGTTACACATTATTTGATTTTCACGATTCTTCAATTGAATATGATAAACATGAAATCTCTTTAGATGGTATTATACGAGTTGATCTTAACACTTCACGAATTTCGAGCAAAAAGTGGGTATCTTCTTAAGCCACCCCACTGAAGAGCTCGACCGATTCTCGTGGCAACCATCATTTATACACTTTGATACGAAAAGTGAATACCCAAATCAAATTGTGACCTTCAAACGTACCAGTATTCAAAAACTTCCTCCACCTTATAATTCAGATTGTTTCAACTACGAAACATTAGAATGTAAAAGTCGAGTGACTTGCCTTCAACAATGTATCATTAATGAGACACAGAGAGCGTCAAAATATTGGAATATTGAAAGATACATTCCTCTAAATGAGAAGTCTCTCTCAGGTCACTTTGGAACGGTAAACGAGACGACCCATGTCAAGAACTGTACCAGTTTATATCCAAAAGATCCTTGTATCAGTTATATTTACACGACACAATCAACGTCCAATTATTATAAAACCAAAGGTCCAAGTGAAATATTTCACATAAGAATCGCTTATCCCAATAGACTACAGACCATTATAAAGTACGAACCTGACCCAAACCCGGTCGAGTTTATTAGCGCAATATTTAGTATAACCAGTCTATGGGTGAGCCTTTCGGTGCACCAACTTTTCACCAGAATTTGTAAGAGAAATTGTCGAAATTGATTCAGCCAATCAGATGGACGAAATTAAGTTATTCCTGTTGATTACTATTTGGAATGGTCATCAAGTGTATTCATGTCCATGTAAATTCATTCAAAAGTTCATTATGATAAATACTGTTATTCATTTCTCACTCAGATAACTATCAGAACTGAATTAAACATAACCTATCTTAAAGTAAATAATATAAATCTCAGATTTCAGTTGTGTGAGTAAAAAAATGATAAATTCAGTAAACATGAATCTTATTATTATAATCATCAGATTACATTATTGTTATTACTTGGGAATGAATTATAATCATGATGATTTCAAACAAACTGCTTTTTAAAATCCAAGGACGTGAATCCAGAGGGTATTCATCATCTGATATAATACAAAATAACAACAACAGCAAGAAAAAAAAGGTTCAGGGTATTAACTGAATCCATTGTTAGTTGATAATCTGAATTCTGTGTTCAGATTATCAGAACTATTCCCCAACTCATGGCTTTTTTACTCCTTCAAAAGGATGAAAAGTTTTCTTTTCATTTGAGAATTTTTGTTCCTCATCATCATGAAATTGAAATGATTTCTAAAATTTAAATGGTTCATGGTGATTCTCAGTTCTGTCTAACCAATTGTTTGATTCATGATTGTTGAAGGTGTTATTGTTATCCCAATGATTCCAATCAATTCCAAGTAAATTGTAAGTTTCACCGAAAGCAAAAAAAGCCTTTGGGTGGGAAGTACTTCTAGTTATGGTGGTTGTGAATCGTTTCCATGGTGGTATTGGATAAAAAAGTTCTAATACAAAATCCCGAGAGAAAAAGATGAAGAACAAAAAAAGAAAAGAAAAACTTTCTCTTTTTCTTTCTCTCTCTTCATTTAGAGTTACATATTGTTCATGATTCTTTCATGTGAATCATTATCATCATGCTCAAGGTAAATTCATCTAATTAGTCAAAGCTAATCAATCATTAGAAGACAAGAGAGAAAATAATAACCGAATTAAATATTTCACCTTCTTAATCCAGTTCACCTTAAGGATAATCGTCTAGATGACTGATGAGTTTCATCGTGAAATATAATCATCATGAGAATTGATAGTTTCCATATTTAGGAATTACTTGTTACCATGATTACCATTCAATTGATTCACATTCATCATTTCCGATCGATGGTTAAATATATAATTTATATTAAGATGTAATAATAATAATAATAATAATAGTTCTGGTTCATGGAAACATTATTATTATCATGATGAAATAAAAAGTTCATGATAAATAAATTGCTAGGATATCATTTTCAATCTGAATCAGTTTCAACACCACAACTTATTTTTATCCTAGTTCTGAGTATCATGGTTATCGTTAATTGTCATCATGAGTCTGATCATTTAATGATAGAAATGATCAAGATTTCACTGAACGAAAGGTCAAAGCTTAAAATTAACTGTTGGAATTTAATTATGTCCTAATTACTGACCAGTAAAAAAAATCTCAAGACGAGTTCAAAGGACTCGAACCTGAATGAATATGAAAAATTCAAATGATTCATTCAAATTGTTCATTGGAATTGAATATCTTGTAATATATTAAATTTGAATGGAAAATTGGGAAATTTGATATTTTCCATCTCTTCAGGTTGTAATCTGATTTGATTTGATTCTTTTTGTTGGAAAATCTTGTAACAATTTAATTGTTGTTTTAAATTTTTTACTCTTTCGCAATCAATTAACTAATTAGATTCAACCTGATCAGGAAGAGTTAACAACAAACATGGAGGAACAAGCAGAAGACAAAGATTCAACTCGAAGTGAAGTTAAATTGGGCCGATTACAATTTAAAATTGATTATGATTTTAATCAAAATAATGTAAGTTAATCTTGGGGATAGTTAATTGTGTTGATTAGCTAATTAACTTTTCCCTTGTATTCATTAGCTTTCAGTTACTGTAATTCAAGCTGAGGAGCTTCCAGGATTAGATCTGAGTGGAACCAGTGATCCTTATGTAAAGGTTGGTACGACAATTAAATCAATTGATTAACAATCAGCTAATTAATTTACATAAAAATATAATATCTCAATCAATCGTTGAATAAACAATTGCTAATCTATTCAGTAATCAAGAAAATTGTTCATCAACATGATTATTACTATTAGTATGTCGAAATCAATATTGAACAATTAAATCCTTAATCAAGGTGAAAACATGACGATGATAATTGAACAATGATTAGCATCGTCATCAGGGATAATCTAACGGGAAATACAATCCAATGATTTAGTATTTTCATTCAGGATTAGTGAGATTAGAAAAAAAATTCACATTAATCGGAAATACTTTAAAGATTATCAGTTAATCATCATCATCATTTTGTATAACATGTTTCATATATCATGGTGATCTGAACTCACGATAATCATGAACATTTTGTGATTCTATTAATAATATTGATTCAGTTGAGATGAGATTTTGTTTTTATTGTCTCTTAATCATGAGAATCGGTTATTACCCTGAATTCATGGTAAATGAATACACATCCAACCAAACAAACACAATTGATGATTCTGTCAATAAAATCAAAATATTTACATGGAAATAATTTATTACCATGAAATTATCATATGATAATATCTGAACCTCTGAAATGAACAGTATATATTAAATCAATTGGCTGAATTGTTAAAAAAAGGAATCACCTTAACTCACTTATTAATTGCGATATCATGTTGATTAACTTGAAACTTTTTTCTCCCTGTAAAAATGATACTAAACTCAATGGGAAATTGATTGGACTCATAATTTTCATGGCGTTGGCAATAAAAATAAACAAATGCTTAGGTTTATCTACTTCCGGATAAGAAGAAAAAATTTGAAACTAAAGTTCATCGGAAAACATTGAACCCAGTTTTCAATGAGACTTTTGTTTTTAAGGTAACTGACCACTTCCTTTTCACACTTGACCATTCATTTACTTTTTAATAACAGAGATAATCCCTTTTCTCTCTGCATGATAACAGTTGAATGAGAATCATGAATAATTTTCAGAATGAAAAATAGTAAAACTTTGATATTTATTGACCATTTAAATCAGTAATCTGATTGATGGAAATGAAGATATTTGAGTTTCCATGAAGATGAATCTGTAAATGGTTGATTATCTCATGATAAAAAGATATCATGAGTTTATCATGTTGATCATTTTCTCAGTTGGAATTGATGATTTCTCTCTGTGGTCAATAATGTTGATATAAAAATAGAAATTTTCTCATGATAATCTCTTTCTTTCCCACTCATTGACCACAGGTCACCTATTCAGAGATAACCAGTAAAACTTTGGTATTTGCAGCCTATGATTTTGACAGGTAAGTTCATTGAATATGTTTTAAAACTTTTCTCCATGAAAATCCCCCATTGAATTATTATCATGTGAAGAGCTAGAGGTTTCATGGAAATCTAATACAATCTAATGTAATATTAGTTGATCACTAAATTGATAATCTTTGGTGATATAATCAATATAATCATCATGAATTTTCATGAGAAAATTTTTCTCATCACAAAATTCTTGCTGATGGAACTGATTTATCAGAGGAACTTTTCCCCTCTCTCCATTATGATGAAAATCAATTAGTTGTACTAAAGGTGGGGAAAGCTAATCAATATTCACTCCCAGGTAAACATCATGTTCATTAGGATGATAAGATTAATTAGATTTATCGTCTTGAGTCAACAGAATTTTTTTTCTCTCTTCTTCAGATCAAATTTCAAGTTCGAAATGATATCGATTTTCTCTCTCTCTCTCGGTAATCTTTATGTACTCTTGTTGCTAACTAACAGTTCTAGAATTCACTTGGCTCAGAATTACTCATCTTAGAATTTGCTTCTTAGAGATAAAATTGAGTTAATTTAATTGCCATAGTTATTATTGATCACCAACTGATTCCCATCGAAACTAATGATGAAATTTCAAGTCTCATGGAAACCATGATAATCTAATGTGACTCGTTTGAATGATCAAGTGAAATTGAAACTGTATCAATAACAAATCGATCACAAATTTAAAGGTAATCGTAACAATTAGATAAGTTGATTGAGAATCAATTTGACTTGTTGATTGGCGTAAAATTGAAAGAGTTAATCATTGAGATATTTAATTTTCCATCTAAATTGTGACTGATGAATTTTCCAGTTACAATGTTGACTTTTCACCTTCTTCAGTGGGTGTAGGATGAAAGTGGGTGTAAATTTTACATGATGATGACAAGATAACAGGGGGAAATATGATGTTGTTGAAAATTCTGAGAGAAGTTTTTTTTTTCCTCAATGAAACCATTACATGCTAATGGCGAAGCATTTTTGTCAACCCTTTCAGCTCTTCTATCATCAGCATCATCATGTATTTATATTCATTTTCATTCCAAATTAATGAACTTACATGAAAACATGAAAAGAGGATGAAAGAGAAAAACAAGATTCCAACTAAATTGAATTTTCCATTAAACAATATATACGGTGAAAAAGTAAACAAACAACAAGTTGAAATTCTGATTGAAAATGAATATTTCATCAGAATCCTCATGAACTTTTTTTTCTCGACTTTTCTTTTCCTTCTAAGGATATTATTGTTTGCTCTTGATTGAATACACACCAAGAACATAAAGTCATCACTTCCTACTTTTCATTATCTATCATCATCAACGATTCTCTACTTTTTTTTTGTTCTAAGAATATTTTTCGAATATTAGTTTTTTCTTCTCGAGAAAAAAAGTTTCGAACAATCAAAATTTTCTAAGTGTAAACAAGGTTAGACATGTTATCATGATGATGACGATGATTACTAGGATTTCATCATGTTCCATGATGAAATCTCTTGAAACTCTAATCTCATGGTAATTTGTCTATCAAAGAGAGAGAGAGACATCATTTCGAAAAAGTTTTTTTCGAGCTTAAAAATTGTTCCAAAATCTTAATTACCTGAAGATTTAATACTTTGATTCATTCTCAGAACTTCTAGAACTTTGAGAAGATTTTTCTTCTACTTGAGAATCGAAACTTATTTCAGATTCTTTGAGATTAAATAAAAGTTGTATAATCAAAATTAGTTATTGAAAATTGTTCGATATTCAATTGAGTTTTTTATCGATTTTTCCCCATTAATTGAACATTTGAAACTCTTTCTTGTCAACAAATTTGAAAAAATCTCAGCTTTAAACTCATTAATTAAGATAATTAAATATCCCATTAAAGACTAATGACATTTTAATTACTTAATCTTGTTTCTAATCTTAATTGTTGGAAACAATTAGGATATGATTGAGAGTTTGAGTTGAATATTGAAATTTTCAATGTAATTGATTTAAAGTACGTTAAGTTCAATGGTTGAGAGTTCAATAGTTTATAACTGATTCATCATGAAAGAACCTTGGATCAGCATGTTGATTGTACCTTGGAACTTTCATTTCCAATATGAATGATAATCAAACATTTTGGAAGAAAATTTTTCTTCTCATTCTTTTCAAGAACAAGATATTATTCATTTAACACACGCTCATGGAGAACGATAAAAAGCTCAGTGAGAAAAGATAAAGAATAAAAAAGTTCTGACAATTATCATGATAACAAGAAAATGAAAAGTTCTCATAATTCTTAAAGTGGAGATTCTATTTTCTTCTTGATAGTTTCATATTCAGTTGTAAAGAGATAACAATAAGTTTCGTGCGAATAAATTTCATTCATTTTATTCACTCCCTGAAATAGAATTACAACTTTGCTGAATCAGAACTTTTCTTCACCTTTCTCAGTTATTATAATCTTTATCTCTTGTTGAGAAATTTTCTATTCCATTTCAAGATTTTCGTTACAATTTTCAAGTACATTTCATGGTGATTATCAAGTTGATTATATTTCCAAAATGTTCAGAATTTATATATTTATATACAGAGAAAAGTTCTGAGTTTTTTTTTCTTTGCATTTTCTTTCCCAATTGAAATTCTCGTTTTCGAATAAGAAAACTTTGTCAACAATCTAATATTAAAATCGATAAGAAAATAAACAAATAACAAAGTTCATCACATTATCGTCATGATCATTTCTCCATGTAACAGATTCTCGAAACATGATCAGATTGGTGAGATACGAATACCATTGAATACCATTGATTTAGCACAGACCATTGAAGAATGGAGAGACTTGACCAGTGCAGAAGGTGAACAAGGACAGGTAAGGTCATTCCAAATCCGACCCTTTAAACTGACCAATAGAAAATTAGATCAATCGAAACTCGAAGAAAAATAAATCAACTCAACTCATTCAATTCCAAGTGAATTATATTATCAAATTTAAAACAAATAGAAATCAATTGTTATCATCATCATCTCATCTTGTAATTGTTTTCCAAACAATCAATTGATTTACTTTTCTATTTGTTTTCATTGTATTAAATTGATTCACCTCTTGATGACATTGATTGTCACTGTTTTCACCTAATAATCAAGTTGTTGATATATAAAATTGATCATCTGATGAGTTTTGTTTTCTAGGTCATTGAAAATCAAATGATCAACTTAATCACCTTTACTCCAGGTATATTGGCTGTTGATTATCAGGTTAAATTGTGATAAATAATGTCTATCAAGTGATAATTACCATGATTAAACTGTCAACTACATAGAGTGTTAAAAAATAAAGGTTGATCCTTTTTTCCCTTGGATATTTAAATCGAGGTCATTTTAATTGTTAAAATTAACTCGCAATCATTTATATGATCATTAAAGTGTTAATAATGTCAATGAATTTACACTTGGAAGCTTTTACCTTGTCATTTGATTAGCATAATTATGATTAAATCATTTTGATTATCTAATTAACTTTTTTTTCCCATTTTTCCAATGACATTTCCGGTCCCCGTTCACGAATCTAATATAATATCATGTAAGTATCGAAATCAGGATCATGATCATGATTGTTGAACTTTTATTTGGAGTAATTGAAGTTTTTCTTACCATTTCCATTATTATTCTTAGAGCTTGGTGATATTTGCTTCTCACTTCGTTATGTTCCCACGGCGGGTAAACTGACGGTGGTCATTTTAGAGGCCAAAAATCTTAAGAAAATGGATGTTGGCGGCCTTTCCGATCCCTATGTTAAAATCGCTCTCATGTTAAATGGTAAATTTGTTTTCGAAACTTTTTATTTCTTCTAACATACTTGTTTGTTTGTTTTTCGAAACGAAACAAATTCTGAGAACTTTCAATCCTCAATCTCTTTGATATTATTTCAAAGTAATCAGATTAAATTGAGATTAGATTGTGATTCTATTTCTCATTGTTACTTTCAACCTTTTCGATTCTTTTTCTCTGTCCATGGAAAAAAAACAAAATTCTCAATGAAATGTTATTTTCTTTTCTTTCCACCCACAATATCACCAATTCATCTTGAAATAACAATCGATAAACTCTACTGGACACTTGCTCTTTGATAACAATAACAACAATTCTAATTGATTGTCGATATTTATAAACAAAAAAACAATTCTATTCTAAAAGGAAAACGGATTAAGAAGAAAAAAACTTCCATTAAAAAGTGTACCCTTAATCCCTATTATAATGAATCATTTACCTTCGAGGTTCCTTTTGAACAGATTCAAAAGGTTTACCTGATCATTACTGTTGTCGATTATGATAGAATCGGAACTTCAGAACCAATTGGAAAGGTGAATCTTGGTTGTAACGCAACGGGTACTGAACTACGACATTGGATGGACATGTTGGCCTCACCTCGACGTCCGATAGCCCAATGGCATTCACTTAAAGACCCAGATGACATCGGTGGCAAAGAGTAAATGTAAATCATCAAATCTATCAGATAATTAAGATATTCTAATTGTAATCCCTTCCAAATTTTCATCAAATTTAATCATCATCATAATCGTAATCATATAATACTTAATGAAAGGAAACCAAACATTGAGCTTTTCCCATGGTGAGAAAAAAAAATTACCAATTACTAAATTGTTACTCTTTCTAAATAAATCACTAAATTGTTAATTGTTGGTTTCAACTAACAATTAACTCAATGGATGAGTTTTATTTTACCAGTTAGAAAGTGTGATTAGTGATTGATCAATTTATCAAGTGATATAATTAATTGTTAACCAATTTACTAATTGATCTCTAATCAATATCCAACTTCCATTGAGATTTGTCATTGAAATTGTCAATGATTAGTAAATCAAATTGTCCAGAAAAAAAAATTAATTCATTTGTTTCCTCCTTTCACAATGATATTTAATTGTCACCAGAATTTAATTGATTATCCCAATTTCATTTGATTCCATAATTTTCACATTAATTAGTTAACCTTTCTAATCAATCAACTAATTTAAATTCATCAATAGTTAACAATTAACCTCCTTCCAAGATATCGGACATTATTATGTCCACAATTATAAATTAGTAATGATGACCAAACCCTATTGATTAAGTTAATGAAAAGTGAAAGGTGTGATAATGAGCAATTGACACAATTAAATTACTATAATTATTAATATCAATTTCTAATTAACGATCACAATTCAATACTTGTTACCAATTGTAAACCTGTTGACCAATTGACCATTTGTTACCTTTGTCAATGCCTTTAAACTTGAATATATTAATCATCTTGTTACCTTTTCATTTGTCTATGTGTTAAATTAACTTAATTGTCTTAATTGTGAGAAAATGTCATTTTTCCTATTCTTATATTTGAATACAATTATAATAATAATCAACTCACAATTCGTAACGTAATTAAAATCCTCAATTAAACTCAGTTTTTGTTTTGCTCTGACTTGAGAAATTAAGTCTTTACTTGAAGCTAGTGATAAGTGGACCAAAGGTCTTGACCAAAGGAACCAAATGAAAACCCAACACTTTAATTGACCAGTTAATTACAATTATTGGTTAATTGTTTAAAAGTTTTCACGTTAAAAAGGTTGGAAGTGTCAATAAAAGGCCAACAATTAAACTCATACCCCCTAATCTATCAAAACTAATACGAAATGACCAATACACCGAATGGATATTTGGACATTTGGTGGAAAATTTATTAAGTATTAATTAATTAATTCTATCGATTGATTTGATTATGTTGTTTACTTTCAATTGTAATTATAATTTCAAATGCAAGAATCAATGTAAATGCAATGCATCATAATCCCAATATCTTATCCCTCTGGAAAATTGTATTAACCATTAGTGATTTAATTTAATTGCTAACAAATGAACCTTAATTAACTCATACATTAAATATTGTGTTTTTAAGTTTATCCAATTTTTTTTTCATTGAAATATATTAAATTGATCACAATTAAGTCTTAATTTGGTTGTACGGAAAACTTTCACTCAATGAGTTTCCTTGGTGTTAATCAATATTGAATTGGAATCGATTTTAAAATTAAATCAACAATTCGTAGTAATGATTTTTAAAGATGATTATCAATTATTCATTATTATTGTTTAATTATCGATAAGCAATTACCTTTATTGTCTTATTGTCGGAAAAAAAGTTTCAGTTGATTGTTTGGATTCGTAACAATTTTAAAATCAATTTCTCAATAGTTGATAACTTCAATTGTGTCATTCAATTAGTTGATTGTTTGATTATAAATGAGAAGCCAATATGATTTCTAGGTTAATTAATCTAATTAAGAATAATATTTACGATTTGTTGTTCGAACAAATTAAAGTTCTGTCCATCAAATGGTCATCAGATGAAGAGATCGAGAAAATTTTTCGAAACTTTGAAATCGAAGCGAAAAGATTTTTCATCTCTAGTTCGGGTTATTTGAATTGCGAGTTGACAAGGAATCAGATCTTAATTAATGTTTCGATAATTGTCTCAATATTTTCGATTTTTGTTCGAAATTTTATCTTCCTGTTAAATGATAACGTGAAAACAATTAAATGGATTCTCGGTGATCGAACGGACTTTTTACCAGCCAAAATGGCCGTTTATTTGTTGGCTCTTGGTTCGATAACGAGTATCGGTTTATTGAAGTTAAGTGTTTTTGTCAATCAAATGAAACAGAATTTCTCGATATTCAGTATTATCGATAAGGTTAAATCGAGTTCGAGCGATGAACGGAAATTATTTCTAAACGAAAAGAACGACTTTCGCTTTCGATACTCGATTCTAATTCTCAACTATTTGTACTATTTTCTCAGCCGAACGGTTATCTGTTTGGTGGCCTCTTTTTACTGCACGGTAATTGTGGCCTATTATTCATCGTTCTTAACGGCGGCCATTCAATTATTCTGGACTCTATTCGAAGGGGTCTCAGTATTTCTAGGCCTAAGTTGCTGTCTCTGGGCAACGACTCATCTAATAATGGGCTGGGTCTATTGCGTTTGTACACTTGACACTTCCATTGAAATCGGTCAGAAAGTGACACGACGGTCGGCTGATTGTAGGGAATCTTCATTACGAGCATTTTATTATCGACAAAATTATATTTACAATATGATTCAAACGCTGAATAAACAGTCCGCTGGACCGATAACAATGACTTATGTATTGGCCTCCGTTGTTAGTGTTTTCTGTTTCTTTTTCTCGGCCTATTATGATTTCGGTGCTAAATTTTATAACATTGCTTTCAATACGATTGCTTTGACCTGTTTCATAGGAATCAATTCCCTCAATACAACCGGAGCGAGAGTAGTAATCAAGGTCAATACGATCCATCGGCTAATCTACAAGTTGATTCTTTCAGTGCCTCATCCGTTGGCACTTCGATTAAAGGTAAATGCAATCACCTTATGATCTTAGAAATAAATTTCAATTCTTTCTTAGGCCTTATCCACATTGGATCGACTTTCCCAAGGCCAAATGGGCTTTTATATTGGTCCACTATTTTGTATGGATAATTATCACCTTCTTGTGGTAAATATTTTCTTAACGAATCTCGAATTTCAATCAATCAGTTAGAACTTTTTCTCAGTCGATCTTCTTGTAATTCTTGTTCGTCTCTTCTCTCGTTTTTATTATTAGTACATTTTGGAAGCGATCATGTTGTACATTCTGTTCGTAACCAACATAACGTTAACTGGAATTCAAATGTAATAAAAGAAACCGACGAAAAACATTCGAATAGGATCCAAATTTTCTTCTAAGAAATTCAGAGTTCTAATAAATGTACAAGTGATTTAAATCATTCAATTGGTTCAAAGTAAAATGATTACAAGTTCATTGATTGATCATGAAATTTGAGGAACAAATTTTGATATAAGTTCTTTGATCGGAAGTAAAGGCGACTAACAATCACCGAGGGTTAAACTTATATAGTTAACTTTTTCAATCGAGAACAACCAATCATTGGATCGAATACAATTATTATTGCAATTAAATTATTTCCATTGTGAAATTAATATTAGTTGATTGAATTTCTTACAATTATTTTACTAACAATGACAATTGTTAGATGGTAAATAGCCTGAGGCATATATTGATTATCGTTTGTTAGTTAATAATAAGATCAATACTCTTTTGATAAAATGGTCATCAGAAGATGAGACTGAGAAATTTTTTCGAAACTATGAAATCGAAGCTGAAAGTTTGTTCATCTTCGGGATTTTCGAACTCCAAGTTAACAAGGAATCAGATTATATACAGGGTTTCGACCTTCGATTTTCATCTCTCGAGGGTAATTTCTTCGGTATCAGTATTATATCTCACACTTATTACTGTCCACTGTCGTTAACAAAGGCTATCATTCAATTACTTTGGACGGTTCAGGTATTTTCGACAAAATTATGTTTACGATTTTATTCAAACGCTGAATAAATGTCAAACATTCTGATTGATCGACTGGCAAAAATTTGCACTAGTCATAAATTCTAGCTGCTTGTACCAATGTTGCAAATCTAGACCATTGGCGAGCCAGTGCTCTAGAATGACAAGTACACTTATGTACAAGACTTTTCGACAGCTCGATATCTTCACTTTTCAACTGATTTTTTTTCGGCTTAAAGTTCAAGCTACATATGAAAATGGACTTAATTGTTCAGTTAATTGTGTTTGTTTAAATTAGGTAGGGTCTTCGCTAATAAGGGTCAGTATGACCAAAGAAAGGCCCGGAGACAATCAAACGAACTTTAAGTCGAGAAAAAAAATCAGCTGAAAAGTGAAGATATCGAGCTGACGGACATATGGTGCTTGACAAAATTTCTTGTACACCAGTTTTTTGAATATAATTAAGAAGAGGGATGATTTATATTTAATTTTTTGTTTTTAATAGTGTATTAGGTAATAATGAATAAGTTTAATTGATAAAAATTTTGTCTGGAATCCAGTAATAGGATTTTTTGGAAATCGGGAAAAACAGAATTGGACAAAATTTCTTGTACACCCCCACCAAAATTTATTGAGGTGTTTTTTTGGTTTCGTTGTCAATCCAATTGATTGTTGATGTTATTACAATCAGTTTAAGACCCTTTTGATCAAAATCGGACCAGAGATAAAAAAGATTCACCAGATTGAATTTAACATGGGAGTACCTGAATTTTCATGACACTAACCTGCATGGTCTCTGAGTAACAGGCCAAATGCCGTCATGTCCATAGACTCCCATGTTAAATTCAATTGTGTTATTTTTATATTAATACCTTTGCATGTCTAGATATACTCCTGGATACGAACTCTTGGCTCTCATCATGTTGGTATTTCTGTCCGTTCTCAGCTTCTTAGCTGATCGCAATTAGCAAAGCCACAATTCGAGCAAGGACGTTGAGAGAGGATTACCAAATGTTACCATTGTCAATTCAGCAGTTCCTCTACGTACTCTTCAATCTCCTCTCAAAGGAGCTCTATTTCATCCAGGTATGTACATGTATTATTCAATGAAAATCTTTAATATTAATCATCTATCTCATTTTCAGGTAAAGAGAGAACCGAATGAATACAAATTCTAGCCGTGTTAAGCAAACAAAGGCAGAAATTCACAGACCGTCACAAACAGAAACAAGACATTATGTTGTATGATATCCGCTATCATTTCTGTATTAATGTTGACCTCAGTATTGAATATGTTTAAATGATCAGAATATGAATAACTCGAAACAATTAGATTAAAGTTGATCATATTGTGTTCATATCGTTTTTAACTTGAATGATTGAAATTCAATTTCTTCTTCATCATATTCTGTTCATCAACAATCAATTGATTCTAATTGTGATTTAAAATAAGATCAAAATATGATCAACTTGAATCGAATTGATTTCATTTCATAAACAAGCAACTAGTTTTATAATATGATCGAAATATTATCAACCAGAAACTAATTGTTTCTAGTTCATCATATTGTTAATCACCTATAGACTTGGTTGATTGATTAATCAAAAACAATCAGTTGGGTTGTTTCAATGGTACTTATATCTAATTATCAACCTAAGCTTATGCATAGTTTGCTCGTGGCACATAACGGGTATCTGCTATGGACATTTCCTGGTATCTACGCTTTTTCCATGGTTCTTTAATTAGAACTAGTGTTTAATTCTAGTCAATTTTTAACTTTGCCATTGAAAAACATTCTGTAGTCTTTATCGATTATCGCCTAAAATTTTCTTACACTTAACTGTCCATCTAATTTATTTCTTGTTCTATTTGGATGTGAACTTTTCTCACTAGAATTTGACAACCAAATAAAAACATTTGGCATCTAATCACGATAAAAAAAGCTGCAAAATAAAAACCTCTGGCATTATTAGATCTCTATCACCCAATAAATTGTTGATCCAGGCTGATAAGTCTAATCATTGGATGGACAATCGTATGCTAAATGTCAGATTAATTGATTTACTTTTGATGATGATGGTGGATCTTTTGAAAATAAAAAAGATTGTATCAGATTACATTGGAAGATTATGACTATCCCACTAGTAACCCAAGCTTGCATCTTTCAATCATTTGTCTCTCTGCATTCAAATTTAAAGTCAACCAGCTAATTTACAAGCTTCAGTTGAATCGTCTCAAGCGTCAAAAGATCCATCACCAATCACAATTAGATTCAAAATGATCATATTGTGATCATATTAAAATCACATTTCAGTATCAGAGAGGAGATATGCAAAATTCAAAAACATTTGAGCCAAAAACATTTTAAATTCAGAACAATTTATTTCTGCAGTTGTTCCCAATGTTTGAAGAAGCCTGTTGAGAAACGCTTCAAATCTGATTACACTTCCGGATTATCATCACACATGCATAGACGGTATAAAATAGTGTTTAAATGTCTAATTTGCAGCAAAACTCATAATCACAGCAGCAACTTAGCTAAGCATTTCGGTACACATTAATAAAATGACCTCGAAATCACCTTAATCAATGAATTAATTCAATCGTTATAAACCGATACACCTTGAATTATTTAAATTTCCATTGCTTTATTAGCAGTGAATTTGTCATGCGGTACATGAAAAATCCCAATCGACACCTTTAGGACACCATTGTTAAAGGTGTCCTAAAAGTGTTGTCTCAAATTCATTGTTTTCAGAATCGGTTAATCGAGTTAAATCGTATAGTTTAACCAAATTTTGGACATTCGGCGAGTTTTTGACTGATTCCATTACCTCTTGCAAGGTAAGTGGAACTAAGTGTCCTTCTCTTTCCGCTTCTTTTGCAATGATGCTTATCCAATTAACCAGTTTCGATTCATAATCGGCTCCTTTAGCGGGAGTTATTTTGACTTTTTTGTCTTGTTTGATTTATGCTCAGGATCTTGCGAGTCCACAATAGTTGGATGTTCTTTGATTAGCCTGACCTTGTAGGGTCAAACAGCACAGTGCTTTCGGATTGACGAAGTCATCCTCATTGGCTTTCCATAGGGAGTGCAATATAAAATTACACGGGCAACCCTTCTTGCGAAAAATTCTTGCGACTGAATTATGGTCCGAACGATGTCCTCCAACTATATTAAATTCAATTTTTTTGCGATGTAATGTTGTCGGACACAACAAGGAAATCATAAAATTTGTCGCGGCCCAAGTGATTTTTAAAAGTTGCTGGAAATTTGAGTGGAAGCAGTTGATTACTTTTAAAAACATACAAAAGTTTACGACTTATAGGTGTCGATTCACCTTGATTATAGTATATATTTTCAATGTTGAAATCGCCACCAATTATTACCGCATCTACTTTTTCTCTGTAAATGCCATCAGCATCAACTCCACCTGATTTAACTCGTTCGATGGAGGCTGAAAGTGTTGCCAAAAATTGATGAATCTGATGGACTTTCTTCTCCCTGAAATGGCAATTAATAAGCGCGAACCGGTGAGAGCTATTTTTCAATTTCAAATCCGCAATCGTGATCAAAATATCCTCGCGGCCACACCGAAATTTCGTAGTCAGATTGTTGGTGGTAGGTTGTGTTGGTGGTGTTTTACTAAAACAGGTTAGAATGTTAACTTTTTTTTGATAGAAAAGAAAGTTTCGATTGTTGTATCTCTCTAACAACTGGTTGTACAGCTGACCAGTTGTTCCTCCGATGTTACTTGAATCAGAAGGTGAAATTTCTTGAAAATGTAGAACCACGGGACAATTCTTGGCATAAACTTTATAAACTTCATCAATTGATGACCAAAGAAGGTCCTGCTTATGCAGATTATACGATAAAACGATGGAACACATTTTTAAATTTCAGTGGGCCGATAACAATGACCTACCTCGTGATAACGGTTGGTAGTGTTTTTTGGCTCTATATCTCGGCTTATTATGATTTCGATGCTAAGGTTTTCATCGTTTCTTTCAACATGGTCGCGTTGGTCTGTTTCATTGAGATCAATTTACTCAATACAATCGGTTCAAGAATAACTGGCGAGATGATCAACTTTCTCTAGATTTGATTGTTCAATTAGATTAACTTTTTTTCCTTCCGTCAACAGGTAAATTTAACCCATCGGTTCATTCACAAGCTAATTTATTCTTGGTCTATCTTCGTTTTCCTAACGGTATATCTTGGAAGCTATTTCGCTGTCAGTTCTGTTCGTAACTGATATCATCCTTGGCAGAATTAAAATATCAATAACAACGAGTCGAATATCATATGAGTTAGGAAAACATTCAAAGTCAATGATTAGATTGGTTAGTTGTTGTGTTGGTTAAATGTTGGAGATGATTATTGTGTATGTTTAAAAATGTACTTTTGAAAATTAATACTTTACTTTGTTTTTAATTGTAAAGATAATTTCCTACTGTAATTTGAATTGGAAGATTAAATCTTCTTCTGGTTCCTATATTAACGATAATCAATTACTTTACAGAGATTGCCAAAAAAAGAGATGGAAATTGAGTATGTGTTGACTTTTCTTCCTGTTTGCTCAGAGTTGGGAAATTTTCTTGATTGTGATAAAACATCTTTGATTTGTTGAAGTAAAATTTTAAATTTAATTTAAGATTTTTTATATTCAATTCTTTCCACTTTAACTTCATCATCAATCAATTGGTAAATGTAAATGACCACAGTAGCCGATTGAATGTCCATTAGAACGAAAGATGGAATAACTTTACTGTAACCATGAGAAAGAATAAAAGAAGCAAGACAATTAGAACAAAATTAAATATATATAATCAGAGTGATAATTTAACGTTAGATGATTGAAATGATTAAATTACCTATCAAGAGGTCCATAGGCTCCAGTAGCTGAACCAGGATTAATATAAAAACACCCATCACGTTCATAGGCTTCAAATTTATGGGAATGTCCGGTAATTAATATGTCAACATCAAGTTGCCTTTGTAAAAGGGCTAAACTTTTAGCATCGGACCAAGGGATTACTTGATGACCATGGCAAAGGCCAATACGAAACTGACCAACATTGACAACCTTTTGCTCCGGATAATTTAAACCAACATCATCAAAATCACCTCTAACAACATGTACATCTGAAGCCAATGTTTTCAGGTAATCATACAATTCCTTGGTACCCAAATTTCCAGTACACAGGATATGATGAATACGACCAGGGACTAACAATTTTTTAAATTTACTCGGAAGATTATGACACCGGTATGGAATGTGAGTATCTCCAATAACAAGAACCAACTATTGGTAATCCATAATAATCACCATCAAATGTAATCAATGAGAACCATAAATGATACCAAGACATATACACACAGAGAGGAGAACCACCAAGAAAAGGTAAAACATCAGGATGAAAATACGAGAAAAGAAGAAGAAAAGAAAAAGGATTGAAAATTCAATTACAGTATTAAGATTAATTAATAAAAAAAAGAAAATAACAAAATGAACAACTCAAATTTTGATAGAGAAAAAATCATCATAATATAAAAATCTCAGTTTGAATGGTAAGAGAAAACATTTTGGAATAACCAAAGAACAACTTAAAGAATTAACTTGACCGATCAGGCCACAATGTGTATTAAGAGGTTAACTACTCACCATGATTTAAGGTTAATTGTGAACAATTAAAGGGAACAATTAAAAAGGTCAATTTGACAGATATGAAAACGCCTCTGATTTAATAGAAATCAGAAAAAAAGAAAAAGAAGAAAACACAAAATCTCCTCCCCCCTTTTCGAACGAAAAACTCTACACTAGATGGCAGCAGTTTCTACGGAAAAAAAGTAAACAGAAATTTTTTTGTTCCAAACAAAAAGAACTGAATTAAAGTTACAAGGTAATTAAGTCGTTCCCCCGGTTGATTGTAATTTAAACCAGGTCGGCCGGTGGAATCTTCAGGTAAGTTGATCAATTTTCCTTCTCTGTTTCCCTTTCGCCGTTTAGAGAAAAAAAAAGTAAAACCTGATCTTCAGTTTGTCTCACATGTTGATTGATAAATTTCCATTCACTGTGGTGATTGTTTTTTCAGTTTTTTCCATTATGATTAACTTTTAATTGTTACATTTCTTTTCTTTTTTTTTGTTCTTATCATTGATGTTAAACTATTATCTTATCGTTGAACAGTCGATGTATAAAATCTACCATGATGAGAAATTTAGACTCTCTTATTCTAATGATTTCTATTCATCAACTTATGATATTATTTTATGGTTCATTTATAAGATATTCAAGCCTTTAATTATGTTTCGTTTTCTTTTCTTTGTAACAGTTACAAGTATTTGTTTTCTATATGGAATTTCAATATCTACAAATGTTGTCAAGTCTGACAATTCAACATTTCGAGCTGCCGTTTATGAGTATCAACGATATAACAATCTGTCGATCAATGGATTGGATTTGTTGCAAGTTAAAAGGATTAATCTAAATTCTTATTCTAAAGCGATTCAAGTTGCCTCTCAACATGGAGCAAATATCATCGTTTTCCCTGAATCTGGTCTATTTGGAGTAGCTAATCGTCTTTATGCCTTAGCTAATTATGAATATATTCCAAAAGCCAATGAATCGATAACTCCTTGTATCGATTGGCCTGAAGAATCAGTTGAATCAAGATTATCTTTCAGTGTCTATTCATTGAGTTGTCTTGCCAAGAATTTTAATATTTACATTGCCGCTATTTTGGGTGAGAAAATTGATTGCTCACCAATAATTGATACAAATTGTCCTGATGATGGTCACTATCTGTATAACACTCAGATACTTTTCGATTCAACTGGAAAATTGATCGCTAAATATCATAAAACTCATTTATTTTTCGAGGCTGCAAATAACATTCCCAGAGAACCTGAAATTGTAACGGTTTCAACTCCATTTGGAAAATTGGGTTTTCTCATTTGTTTTGATATTCACTTTGAACAACCAGCTCTCAGTTTAATTTATACTGAATCAGTTGATACAATTTTATTTGGCGCTCATTGGATCGACGAATCTCCCTTTCTTAATGCCCATAGAGTTCAATCTGGTTTCGCAATTGAACATAATGTTAACCTTTTAGCCGCTGGAATTAATGATTTGATTAACGGAGCAATGGGTTCGGGTATTTATGTCGCTGGTGAAGGTCCAATTATTTACACTGCTGATATAACTAAAAGTGGATCTAAACTATTAATTGCTGATATCCCTAAATCAAAAAGACTACCAATCAATGAAGATAATAGTTATTTCATTGAAAGGGAAGATAAATTTGTTAAATTGATTGAAAATGTTGGATCATTACACGAACAATCAATTAATACACCTTATGCACAATGGACATTGGAACTTGATCTATTCGATAGTACAAAATTATCTCAACAATCTGGAACAATTACATCTTGTACAGAGGAGTTAATTTGCTGTCAAGTTGATTATTCTCTTAAAAATCCAACATTCATATCAACTTATTATCTTTTAGTTAAACGATGGATCAGACCGACAACCAAAATTTGTGAACAATTTTGTGGATTAGTTGCTTATAACATAACCGATTATAGTTACACTTCAACTGATATATTTTCATATTTACGATTAACTGGTACATTTTCTGGTAATTTATCAATTCCAAGTGTAATCACCAACAATTTACAATTAATCTCAAAAACTGATTGGATTTACGCCCATAAAGATAATGTAGCAGTAATTACAATTAACAATTCTAATCAACCAATTGTAGCAGCTACACTTTATAGCCGTTACGAGAAAGACGATCAACCAATTGGATAAAAAGAAAACAATGGAAAAAACCTTCCACCCTAATCAAAACAAATTAATTAATTCCAAGTATAATTAATTAAAAAAGAAAATTAATTGCAATCAATCAAATAGATTTTCTAATTTTCCATACAAATTGAAAAACCCGCTCGTTCGGGTTTACCGGTTCATCCAATGAGAAATGTTAACGTGTAAACAGAAAAATGAAAATAGAGCAGAAAAATCAAATCTTATTGAAAATGATGTTACTCATTTATTCATCTTGTTAATGATCGTAATTAACTTAAATTGTTGTAATTATTTATTCTTGTTGTTGTTGTTCTTCTTCTTTAACCTATCAACTATCTTAAAGATCTAATCTTGATGTTACACCATGAATAATGTTCCAAAAGGGGTATCACGTCGATCGAAATCTGAGAAAAGCAGAAAATTTGATTCTCAAAAATTGATTTACTCTGAAGAAGGTGATTCAGATTCTAAATTAATGAATTTTAATTCTCCACTTACCGGTGATTATGGGTCAATATTTATTCTATTGGTTTTATATATTCTACAAGGGATACCATTGGGTCTATCGGGAAGTATACCTTTAATTTTACAAAATTACAAAGTCAGTTATTCACAACAAGCCGTTTTCAGCCTTTGTACTTGGCCTTTCAGGTGAGTGATTATAATTTTTTTTTGTTTCCATCTTGTAATTTGGTCTAATTGTTAAATTGTTTGCATCTATTGTTTTTTTTTCTGTTCTGTTTTACGTAGCTTGAAATTACTTTGGGCACCATTGGTTGATTCGGTTTATAGTCGTAAATTTGGTCGACGTAAATCTTGGCTTATTCCAATACAATATCTTATTGGATTAACTTTATTTCTACTCTCGTACAAAATAAGTGATCTTCTTGGTCCATTACCGAAAGATGCTACAAACAATCAGCCTGGTCAACCACCAGTGGAATCATCAGAAGCAATTATTTCATCTCCTTCTGTTTATGTTCTTGCTGGTGTTTTCTTTTTTCTCAATTTTCTCTGTGCAACTCAAGATATCGCTGTCGATGGTTGGGCTTTAACAATGTTATCAAAGCGAAATATTGTCTATGGGTCAACTTGTAATACTGTTGGTCAAACAGTTGGATTTTCCCTTGGGTATCTTGTTTTTCTTGCTCTTGAATCTCCGGAAGTTTGTAACAAATATTTAAGATCGATTCCATCAGATACTGGAATGATAACTTTACCAGGTAAATTTCATTTCTATCTCTTCTAATAGATTAATCATATTTCTTTTCTTCCATCATCAATCTTTCAATCCTTTTTATCATCTTTCTTGTTTTTTTTTCTTACATTTGTGTCTCCTTTAGGTTTTCTCTATTTTTGGTCAATTGTTTTTCTAATTACAACAAGTCTTGTTTGGATATTTAAACGAGAAAAACCCGAGAAAACCAATCAATCAGCGGAAGAGGAAACAATTCTAGGAACTTATCTTATGCTGATTAAAATATTAAAACTTAAAAGTATCCAATCATTTGCGATTATCCTGCTTACCTGTAAAGTAGCATTTGCTATAACCGATTCAGGGACACCCTTGAAACTCACCGAAGCCGGAATATCAAAGGAAACATTGGCCTTTCTCAGTGTACCCTTAATACCAATGCAGATAATTTTACCTTGGTACCTGAGTAAATATACCAAAGGTCCAAAACCTTTGAATATATTTATCAAAGCATATCCGTACAGGTGAGCAAAGAAAAATCTGAAACGTTGACTGTTAATCTATCTGAATATATATTTATGCTAATTTGTTTTCTAATTGATTTTCAACTTTCTCTTTAGGGTTATCTGTGGTGTTTTAAGCGCTCTATTATTGGTTTGGACTAAACAAGTTCACGATCCGGTTACTAAATCATTCCCTAGCTATTACTACATAATTGTTTTAATTTCTTCAACTTTCCACCAAATTACAATCTATTGTATTTACGTTGCACTTTTGTCTTTCCATGCACGAGTTAGTGATCCAACTATCGGTGGCACTTATATGACACTTCTCAACACGATCACCAATCTTGGTGGCAATTGGCCTTCATTCACTAGTCTATGGTTACTCGATTACTCTACATTTAAACATTGTTCCATCGATGGATTCTCATGTAACACCAAAGAGACTTTGGCCACATGCACTGCAGCGGGTGGACAGTGTAACACCACGATCGATGGTTATTACGTTGAGGTTATCGTTTTAACCTTTATCGGATTCTTATGGTTAAAATGGGCAAGGAAAAGAATCGAGAAAATTGAATCTCTACCTGCAGCTAATTGGAGATGCTCTTAACTTTAAAGAGAGAATTAATTAAACCCAAACAGATGATTAAACATAAAATCATCAAAACTTGAATGAGTCAATAACTCCAAACAATCAGACTAATTAACATCCATTATCTGAACATTCAAAAATTTGGAATCAACTGTACGATTGCTTGGTCTCTTCAACGAAAGTGCAATCTATTAACTCATTTTAAACATTGTAAATTATTCAAATTTCATCCCACTGATCAAATTCACAGTTAATTGCACTTCAATTATTAATATATAAATGGAGAAGAAAATATTTTACACTGATTGTCTCTAAATTGTAACAATCTCTCTAAATTATATTTACCGATTTAACCATTTGATCATGATGAAAATGACAAAGATGATCATTGAGATTAAACAAAAAAGTAAATGATTAAAAAATGATCCAAAAGTTTGACAATTTAATTAACATCTTGCTCGAGGAAAATGCATATTAGTAAATGACAAGGTTGACATTGAATCGGGATTAAAAGCAATTAAACAGTAAAACCATAAAGATAATTAGTAAATTTAAAAGGTATCACATTGTTTTAATTACAATTGTAATCGTTTTTCCTTCACTGATTAACCATTTAGTTGATTGATGTTTCTTTGTTCAACTTGTTTATGTTGATTTAAGTGAATTAACAATTAGATCTGGGTTCATGAGGGTGAGGATTAGTATCATGATAATTAACGATTTATTGAACATTACATGATAACAATTTGATTTGGTTCAGTTATTATTTGACTGGTTTATTTTTCTATCGATTCTGAATAAATCATCAGTGAAACGTTTACAGTTAAAATGGTTGAAGCTCATCTCGAATGGTCAGTTGATGAGGATAACTCGTTGACCGGTGATTATGGGTCAATTTTTATCCTACTTTTCCTTTATATTTTACAAGGTGTTCCATTGGGTCTATCGGCGAGTATCCCGTTAATTTTACAGAACTACAAGGTGACCTATTCTCAACAAGCGGTGTTCAGTTTATACTCATGGCCTTTTAGGTGAGTTTTGAATTGGTATCAGTTGTGAATATTTGATCAAGTGATTTAATCTTAATTGTGTCGTTAGTTTGAAGTTAATTTGGGCACCTTTGGTCGACTCTGTGTACAGTCGTAGGTTCGGTCATCGTAAATCTTGGCTTATCCCGACTCAATATCTAATTGGATTAGTTTTGTTTCTACTTTCGTTCAAAATTGACAATCTACTCGGTCCATTACCGAAAGATGAATCAATTGCTATGAGTAATCAATCAGTAGTTGATATCGATTTGATTCCGAGTTCAGGTCAAACACCATCGGTCAATATTCTTGCTGGTGTTTTCTTTTTTCTCAATTTTCTCTGTGCAACTCAAGATATCGCTGTTGACGGATGGGTTCTGACCATGTTATCGAAGCGAAATGTCGTCTATGGATCGACTTGCAATAAGGTTGGTCAAACGATCGGTCAATCTCTTGGTTATGTCATTTTCTTAGCACTTCAATCACCTGATCTTTTTAACAAGTACCTAAGATCAACTCCTTCTGATACTGGAATAGTAACTCTATCAGGTTAGAACTTTTTTTTCATCGAAATCTTTTCCATTCTTCTCATTCATAGTTTTTTTTATTCTTCGATTATTTTATTCATTTCATCAGGTTTCCTCTTCTTCTGGTCAATTGTCTTTCTAGTGACCAATACACTTGTATGGATATTTAAACAAGAGAAATCACAGAAAACTGACCATTCAACTGATTCAGGAACAATTCTAGGAACTTATCTCATGTTGATTAAAATTATGAAGCTCAAGAGTATTCAACTGTTCGTGTTCATCTTGTTAACTTGTCAAATTGCTTTTTCGATAACAACTTCAGCGACATCATTGAAACTCACTGAGGCCGGAATCCCGAAGGAGACATTGGCCTTTCTCAGTGTACCTTTAATACCAATGCAGATGATTTTACCCTGGTTCTTGAGTAAATACACCAAAGGTCCGAAACCATTGAATATATTTATTAAATCGTATGTATTCAGGTAAGAATTGAGAATTTGTTAATCACTTAGAACTTTTCGATTTATTCTTGGATTGATTTCGTCTTTTGTCAGAATAATTTGTGGCCTCATTTACGGGCTCGTATTGTTTTGGACTAAGCGTATCTACGATCCTGTTACCGATTCATTTCCAGTTTACTATTATATTGTGAACATCATTGTGTCCGCTCTTCATCAGGCTGCTGTCGATATAATCTTCGTGGCTTTGTTGGCCTTTCACGCGAGAATAAGTGACCCAACCATCGGTGGTACTTACATGACACTTCTTACAACAGTCACTAATCTTGGCACTAATTGGCCTTCAACGGTCAGTTTATGGCTACTCGATTACTCTACATTCAAACATTGTTCCATCGGCGATTCTAACTGTGATAACGAAGAGGCCATAACATTTTGTTCAGCATCGGGTGGAAAATGCAACACAACAATTGATGGTTACTATGTTCAATTGGTCATCTTGACCATTCTTGGATTGATATGGTTAAAATGGGCTAGAAAAAGGATCGATAAAATTCAAAATTTACCGCCAAAAGATTGGAAATGCACTTGACCACTAAAAAAATTGATTAATTTAATTGTTGTTTTTTTTACTGCATAATTAAAGGATACAATGTAAATGTAATCATTTAAAATTAACAATCAATATGATTGATAAACTGATGATCAATACAAAATCAAATACGCTGTATGTTGATAAGCTAATCAATTAAAGTTTTCCGTTATTCACGAGTGATTAGTTGATTAAATCAAACAGTTGGTCATCTAATGGTCAGTCTACCAAGATAATTCAGTTCGGTAACTTTTTCCATATTTATATTATTTTTTTCCTGTGTTTTCAGGTAATTAATGCTCCTCCAATGTCATCCTCATGCACTTTCCAACTCACCAATTTCACAATTAACGTCAACGTGAATGGTTCAGTGATTAACAGTACTTTTCAAAATTGTTATACTCCAGTGTCAAATTTGTGGAATGGAATCAATAAGATTCTTAGTTTAATTAATTTAATTTATTCGTGGGCAAACCATTAATCTTTCCAATGTGACTTTTTCCCATTTTTCCTTTTTTAAGTTCATTATCATTTCATCGTTTTCTTATTTTTTTAAAATAATTTCAACTTTCTCTCGCTCAATTTTCACAAAGATCTTAATATGATCATCTAACCACTTCACTGTCTCTTGCAATGACTATTAAAAGAAATAAAAAGGAAAAAATACTCGCTCTGATCACTTGTGATTTTTTATTCCAAAGAAAAAAAAATTTCGATTTTTCAACGCAACCATTTTCGATCATGTAATCGATCCGATGGTCACGTTTCACTTTGATCTTTAATGAATCATCTTTGCCACCTTTATGTAAGGATAATTTGCCAATTTGTGGGTCCAACGAGTTTGAATAAAAGTCTGCTTTACTACTTTTCCATCAGCTTTTCAACAATTTAGAATCTTAAAGTTTTCGATTTAAAATCGACCACAGAAATCATATGATCTTCACTTTCTTTTCCTTTCAGTCAAATTATCGAAAGTTGCAAAAGAAACAACCAGAGGTCACTAGTGATTCGAAAACCAGTCAATCAGTTGAAAAGAGAATCGGCTAAGAAGAAATGAGTTGAAAATCGACTGAGGGACATTTTCTTCTTTCTTTTTTCTTTCTTTTTATTTCTTTCCTTTTTTTTTCGGCTGAAAGAATTAGTAAAATTCGGCTCAGTTTACAGTTTTTTCGGTTGATTAATTTGGTGAACTTGGTTTTAATTTGTTTCTTTAATTGTTGTGATCTTTTTTCTTTCATTAATCAAATATTTTTACTTAATTTTCTTCTCTCTATTCAAATCTACCATTCTAATCTTATTTTTATCATTAAATGTGCAATTAGAATAAAAGAAATTACTATTATTTTTAGAGTGAAAATTAGGGTTGAGTCTCTCTTTTTCTCTACATACACATAAACAAGGATCTCTTTTCAATCCACATTTTCTTCTTGTCATCATCATCATCATTCCTATTTTTCTCCGTAATAACAATGGCTGATTTGGAATCTTTTGAGAAAATTGAAGATATTGATCCGGCAGCTGATTTCATTGCTAGAGAGCAAAGTGCTTTGGCTGAGATAAGTAATGATATGGAATTGAAAAGTGATCAAAATCATCAGGAAAATGGTGAAACTGGAGATGATATTGGCTCTGGTACCAGAGGTGATGCTGATGGGACTGATATGATCAATAATGTTTCCAATTCAGTTTCTGCTAATAATTTAACCAATAGTAGCCAAGTTAATGGTGGAGATAAAGAACCTATCAAGGAACCAGAGAAAATACGTAAATGGAGGGAAGAACAACAAACAATGTTGAAAGCAAAAGACGAAGAAGAGGTGAAAAAAAGGAAGGAATTAGGTGAACAGGCAAAGAAAGAATTAGATGAATGGTATGCTCGATACGAAGAACAATTGAATAAATCAAAAGTAATCAACAGGTAAGTCTTTTTAGTTGTCTGGTTTTGATTAACCATTAACAAACCATTACTACGACAATGACCATTTCCACTTTGGCTAATATTTCTTTCGGGTTAATCTGGTAACTTAACTAAAATAATTTTCTCTTTAAAATAACCAACTAACATTTTCACCTTTTTCTCTTTTTCTCATAAAATTATGCTGCCTACTGTAAAAAGAGAGGCTTGCAAGTAGGTACCCTTTATATATACACATAACAAATAATAGTAACAATAATTATCCAGTTCTGATTTGCTTTGATTTTCAATCAATTTTGTGATCTTTTTCTATTCAATATTTTATACTAATTATAATTTTTTTTTCGTTTCTTTTCCACAATCAACTTAAATTTTCTAAAATGAATCAATTTTCCAGAAACGCTGAGAAACAATGGATCGCTGAAAGAGATGCCGAATCTCCTGGACAAGAATGGGAAAAAATTGCTCGCATGTGCGATTTTAATCCGAAAGCTTCTCGTAATTCCAAGGATACCTCACGAATGCGATCAATTTTACTTCAATTGAAACAACAACAAGCTCAGGAAAAATCATCTTGAATCCTCTTTCCTTTTGTATGTTTATTATTTCATCTTAATAGAATATTGATTATCTTGATTGAGTAATTAGATAATCAGATGTCTTCTCCCACTTCTCTCTCTCTCTCTCTCTCTCTCTCTCTCTCTCTCTCTCTCTCTCTCTCTCTCTCTCTCTCTCTCTCTCTCTCTCTCTCTCTCTATTTCTATCAAAAAATTTATCATTATCCTTTCTCTCCCGGTCTTGTGTAGTTTTCAGTCCAATAGTAATTTATCATCACAATCAAGCCACTACAAAGGAAAAATCAACAAACAATTATCTTTAAATTGAGTGTCTTATTGTCAAGACTAACTGAAGTTTGAAAAATGGTGTAATAACTTGAACAATCAACATTTCACTTGGTATTAGATTCAACTGTAACCACAATCATAACCTGTGTTCAACTAAATCCTCTACATCATCTCCATCATCGTCACGTTAACAATTATTGCAGCAAAATCGTCGTCATCATCATCACATCTTGGTAGAGTTTGAAATTAACAGCACAAAAAGAAACAACCAAAACATTTCCAATTTTCTGGGTTACCCTGTGTTCAATGTTTAATCATCTGTCTTTTTTTTCTAAATTGTCGGTGAAGTGATAGAGAAAAAGAAAGAGAAAAACAAAACGATAATATTAATAATTTCACCAACAATTTAATAACAATGATAATGTTTAGAAATGCATTTAACTGAAATAAAAGAGAAAACAAAACACATACAGAATTTTACAATTAAAAGAACAGAAAAACTGATTTTCCTCAATTTTTTGCTCATCACTCTAATTAACATTCTAATCAACATCAAACTTAAAATTCTTTAAAATTTAATCATAATTTAAAGTGAAATTTACAATCAATTCCAATTCTAATTCTAATTCCAATTCTGATTTTCGTTGAATGGAGTTACGATAAACGTCCACCAGTTGTCGCCCCAAAAGCTCAAATTCTTTAATTGTTCAATCGACAGGCCAAAAGTCCGTTCGAAATTCAATTCGTAAGGAAATTAGAATTTTTTCTCGACCAACTTAGTCTACATATCTCACCAGAGATTTTTTTTCAACTTTGGCCTTTCATTAACGGACTTTTGGCCTGTCGAATTTCAATTTCAAACTTGAGGTCAAAAAAGTTCTCAAGACTCAACAAGTCCAACTTTGTGATCTATTCGTGTTTGCGACTATCCGTTCGTGATTTATTTCGAAAAAAATCTTTAGAACCAAATATCAGACTCGTGATAATTTTCGTCGGTTAAGTTTTCAGTTTTCTTCGTTGAGTTGTTCTTACTGTAGCTCATGTTAAGGTGATGGCGGTGGAAGTGATTGTCTATCATTGGAAAAGCATGAGGTTATTATTTTTTCTCAATCAACTAATCACAATCAAGAAACAATTAGTAATAATAATAAGAATCTCAACAAGTTTGAGTAGTTAACTAATCTAAACAATTAACGTTCAATATCATATCACATCAATTAACTTTTAATTGATCACTACTACTAACTGTTTCAATCAATCATCTAAGAAATAAGCAGTAATTGATTAATTTACAATTCAAATTGTAAATAAAACTTTTGAAACGTAAAAATATCAAAAAAAAATTAAAATGATTCATTAATTTATCACTGATGAGAATCTATTGATAATAATGAAAGAAATCATTTAATTAACCAAATTGCCTGAGGCAATTAAATCCAGTACCTCTGTTGTATGTATACAATTAATAGTAAACTTTTTGCACTCACCACAATTAAATTAAATCAATATTGAATTTGTAAGTAATTAAAAGTCCTTGCGATTAAAACAAATGATTAAGAAACTTTATTTAGTTAAAACAATTTAATCTTGACCAAGTTTCAATTGTTTCTAACAGTAAATTGTTGCTCTTTTTTTGTCTGTTGCTGTTAAGTTGATTACAATTAACGATTAATGAAATTACTGAGCATTTAATACAAATTAAATCAACAATTTGTTAATTTTTTTTTCTTTTTCTTCAATCATTTCTTATAATCAGGTTATTTGGGTGAGTTAATCATGTGCTTGTTACCAAGTGATTAACTTTAATCAACGATAATATTAAGTGTTAATACAAATTGTGTAGTTGATTAATTTGAACTTGATTTCATTTTGACTTTCAATTCAATCGGAAAATAATATTATTATTGATTCAGTTTCAGTAAAAGTTTTACAACTATGGGTGAAAATGGTAGCCAAAGGTCAGTTAATCGGGGCAGCTCATTGTCCGGTGATTATGGGTCAATATTTATTCTGGTCTTTCTTTACGCTATACAAGGGATTCCATTGGGTCTTTCAGCAAGTATACCGTTAATTTTACAGAACTACAAGGTGACCTATTCTCAGCAAGCGATCTTTAGTCTATGTTCATGGCCTTACAGGTGAGTTTTTTTTATTTTGGTTTTCGATTCGAGTAAGATTTACCTATTGTGTTTTCTTTTGATTGGTAGTTTGAAATTACTTTGGGCACCGATTGTCGATTCCTTGTATAGTCGGCGATTCGGTCGTCGTAAGTCTTGGCTCATTCCGACCCAATACTTTATCGGATTAACTTTGTTTCTACTTTCTCTCAAAATCGATGATCTACTTGGACCATTACCGAAAGATGTTTCCATTATTATCGAGAGAAATCAAACCCTTGAAATGACTACGATCTCTTCTGGTCAATCGCTAGTTGATTCTTATTCTAGGTCAGTTTTAAATGAATCGCCGTCGATTAAAATTTTGGCAGCAGTTTTTTTCTTCCTCAATTTTTTATGTGCAACTCAAGATATTGCAATCGATGGATGGGTTTTAACCATGTTATCAAAGGAAAACCTAGTCTATGGGTCAGTTTGTAATCCTATCGGTCAAACTATCGGTGTTACCCTTGGTTACATTGTCTTCCTTGCATTACTATCTCCTGACCTTTGTAACAAGTATCTAAGATCAATTCCAAGTGACACTGGAATGATAACATTACCAGGTAAGTATCTCGAAAACACTTCGAAACAATATCAACAATACTAATCAACTTAACCATTTTCTCCTTCAATTCTTATTAGGTTTTCTCTACTTTTGGTCAATTGTTTTTCTAATCACAACAAGTCTTGTTTGGATATTTAAACGAGAAAAACCCGAGAAAACCAATCAATCAGCGGAAGAGGAAACAATTCTAGGAACTTATCTTATGCTGATTAAAATATTAAAACTTAAAAGTATCCAATCATTTGCGATTATCCTGCTTACCTGTAAAGTAGCATTTGCTATAACCGATTCAGGGACACCCTTGAAACTCACCGAAGCCGGAATATCAAAGGAAACATTGGCCTTTCTCAGTGTACCCACGATTCCAATGCAGATAATTTTACCTTGGTACCTGAGTAGATACACAAAGGGTGCGAAGCCACTTCGAGTTTTCATCAAAACTTATCCATTTAGGTACTAATACGATTAGAACTTTTTCCTTCTCATTTTCGATATACTAATTTGTTGTAAAACTTTTCCCCTCTCTCAGAATAATTTGTGGCCTCACATTCATGGGACTATTGGCCTGGACTAAAAGCATCGGTGATCCCGTTTCAAAATCATTTCCAAGTTATTATTATATCGTTGTGATTATTGTTTTATACTTTCATCGATTTGTTCAAGATTGTTTTTTCGTTACACTTTTGGCCTTTTTCAATCGTGTCAGTGATCCCGTTATCGGTGGTACTTACATGACACTTTTAAACACAATCAACAATTTAGGCGGTGTTTGGCCTTCGTTCATTAGTTTGTGGTTACTTGATTACTCTACATTTAAACATTGTTCCGTCGATGGATTCTCGTGCAATACCAAAGAGACTATGGCCACTTGCTCGAAAGCGGGTGGACAATGTAACATTACCGTCGACGGTTATTATATTGAGATGATCATTTTAAGCTTAATTGGATTTATATGGTTAATATGGGCAAGGAAAAGGATCGAGAAAATTGAATCACTACCACCGACAAGTTGGAGATGCTCTCAGGCTGGATGAAGTTCATCTATTATCCCATTCAAAGCCAATCATCGCCATCCTCATCATCCTCATCATCTTTTCATCAAAAAGCCATGGGAATAAAAGTATCATCTTAAGCTGTTTCTTTAACTGGTATAACATGTTTTAACAATTACGATAAAGATAAAGGTTACATGGTGATAGATTTCAGGATAAAGCTTAAAGAAACAAAAGTGAGATTACTTTTTGTCCTCTCGAACACTGGACACAATCTGGACAAAGTCCCATGAACTTTAAACAGTAACTTTTACTCTGAATCTCTTGGTCTAACCTTTTATACACTTGATCCGAATCATTACTTGATAAAAGATTAAGATTAGAGAGGGAGAGAGGGAAAGGGAGATAAAGAGAGAGAGAGATAAATGGATAGCGGATTAAATCGAATGTATGGAAACAAAAGTTACACCGGATTGAATTAAGAAGAAGATGATAAAAAACAAGTCAGCTGATTGGGGGGCAGAAGAATGAAGATAATTTGATTGATGGAAAACATGATTGAGAGAATCAATGGAATTAAAAAATTGTGATTCCCTGTTGTTTTCTTCAAGTGTTCATCATGTTTCTTCATGAACGATTGACTGATCTAAAAGAGAGAGAGAGAGAGAGAGAAACGGGATGATAAGGAAGATGAAGATGACAATATGAAAGGAAAAAGAGTGAAAGATTGAAAGACAATCGGAAGGCAACTCTTCCCTTCGACATCGACAACATGGGAAGTCCATTTAAAGCATATGGAAATATTCCCATTCTTTTCTATGTATTTAATATAAATGAAAAAAGAGAAAAAAAAATTTCATCTTCATCATCTCTTCTCCCTCCCTCTCTCTTTCTCTCTTTCCTTTATCTTCATGTCCAGAACTCTTGTGAATGGACTTTTACACCTTTCCACTAATCTTTAAATCTATCAAAGGGAAAAGGTATTTGTATGCGATCACTTTTCCTCTTCCTCTTTCCACCCTCTTCATCCACTTCCTCTCTCTCTCCCTCTACCGAACTCACACTTATCCTAGTGAATTGTAAACAATTATTTTCCCTTCTCCAAAATCCTAAATCTCTCTCTCTCTCTCTCTCTCTCTCAAGATGAGAAGGCAAAAACGCCACTTCAACTCATACGCAGTGAAGCTCAAAGGCGACTGAGTAACGGTCATAACCCACCTTTACCTTATCCCCTCGATACACCCCAATGGTCAATGTGAATTAAAACTCAGTATTCCTGCTGATTTTTTTTTCATTCAATGAACAAATTAACTCATTAACAAACTTTAAAACTGTCAATCAATTAAATCGTTTACTTTTGTTATCCATTATTTGTTGTCAACATTTTCCACATTAAAATAATACATTGATTGTCCATCTAATTGTCTACCTTTAAGGTTGTAAAAAAAAAGAAGAAGAGAAAAAAGATTGATTAAACTAATCAATTCTCTTGGAATAATTTGCATTTAATTTACTCAAAACTAATTGACAGGCAAGAGAAAAAGGTGGACAGTGGACAGTTGAAGATTTTTTCTTCTTCTTCTCTATCCAGTGGGAGGTGGAATGAGAAAATGAAAGTTTACTTATCTCTCTCACCCTCACCCTCTCTCCATGTGTGTATTTGTATCATCAATTGATGAAGATGAAGATGACAGTGAAGGAGCAAAGTGTCAACAAGTGTCTCACTTCCCATGTGATGATAAGGATGATGAGCAAAAATGAAGATAAAGATGAAGGTGGAAGATGTTGAAACATTTTTAGCTTTCTCACTTTTCGATTTCATCTTCTATCGATAACTTATATTAGAACTTTTTTCTCTCTCTCTTCTCTTTTTTTCTATGATGGATATCGACCTATTTAAAGCTAATCTATTAGCTAATCATCTTAATCCAATTGGACATTCATCTTCAACCTCATCTTCATCTTCTTCATCAACCTCATCGGCTAATCAAAGTTCCGTTTGTTTGATTTGTGGAGATCGAGCCTCAGGTCGACACTACGGTGTACCAAGTTGCGATGGTTGCAGGTAATTGTTTTTCCAAAAGTTTCGATTTCCTCCTTACCCCAACTGATCAATTCTCACCTTTCGATTAAATTTTCACAGAGGTTTCTTTAAACGAAGTGTTCGTCGTGATCTGGTTTACAAGTGTAAAGATCGTGGACTTTGTGTGATCGATGTCGCTCGACGGAACCAGTGTCAATATTGTCGATTCAAGAAATGCCTCCAAGTGAACATGAGACGAGAAGGTAAGAAGTAATTACGAAATTAATTAAAAGTAATCAACCAAATCTCTGAGAAAAAGTTGAAAACCCTAAAAGTAATCAAATCAATTGATAGAATCAATTGTTTTCCAATTGAATAACAATCAGAGTAAAAAGTATTGTGTGTATACTTTGATTGTAACCAATCAATGGATACAATTTAATTGATTGTTATCTAATTTAATGTGAAATTAAGTAATTGTAAACATGTCATTACATTTTGATTCAACATTTCCGTTCAATTTGAGAGTCTTGAAAAACTTATATATAAGTGACCATAACCACTGACCATCAACAAATTGTTAAAATGATTTATTTAACTTTCACCTTTTCTCCTTGTGTATTAAGCTGTTCAACATGAGAGGATAAATTGTAACGGTAAAACTGATTGTAAATCAAGTAATCGACCTGAAAATTGGTCAAAAAATACTCGACCAGTTAAAACGACATCAACATCAACCCAACAACCAACAACCACAACAAACATTTTATCATCAACATCTTCAAATTTATCGTCTCCATCATCATCATCAACATTTCTCAGATCATCTAGATCACCTTTATCAAATAATAACAATAATCATCATCATCATCATCCCCACCTACAAACACCACATCTTCATCCTCTAATATCAACAATTTCCGGAAGTTCATACATTTCAAATTTAGTGACCACAGAAACAGTTTCATCCTCATCACTTGGACCAACAATTGAACCTTCACAAGTTATATCATCTCCTTCATCGTCCACTCACTCATCATCATCACCTTTAACCACATCCACAATACCATTAATTAGCCGATCATTTAATTCAGTTTCCCAATCATTATCATCTCAATCAACAACTGACCCATGGTCACAATGGTTCCTACCAACAGTAACAACGCCAATTATACCTCAACCATGTTACTCACCAACACCAATTACCGGAATCATCTTCACGGCTCGTAAGTAAATCATCATCATTAAGAAAAATTTAATTACAACAATTAACTTTTTCTCACCGAGTAGAAAGTAAAATTAACCACAAAATACGAAACATTAACAATTAACTTTTCCATTTTGTTTCTAATAACTTTTTCCTCTACTCTTTTCCTTTCTCTCTCTCTCTCTCTCTCTCTCTCTCTCTCTCTCTCTCTCTCTCTCTCTCTCTCTCTAATCATCAAATTAATCAACAATAAACCAAACAATTAAGTTAATTGGGCTTTAAGTATACCAGCATTTCAATCATTACGAAGATCAGATCAACAAATTTTATTAGATGAAACTTTGATTGATTTAATTCTGTTAACTGGTTTACAATATCGTTTAAATATCAACAATTTATCAACAACACCAACACCAATTAAATCAAGTTCATCAAACAATCAACAACAATCAGCAACAATTTCATCAACTGAAATAATTACAAACTTTTTAAATCAACACAACAATTATTTCAATCTAAATGATTCCTGGAGACTCAAAGATATCATTGATTACATTGATTCAATTAATTTAGATCACATTGAATACACTTGTCTAAAAGCACTGTTACTTTTCCGACCAGGTAAGTTGATCAGTGGCAATTTAATTATCACTGGTTAATCAAAATGAAAGATGAAAAAAAAGTGATACCTCTTAATCAACACAATTAGTTACTCTATTCAAGTTAAATTTGTTCATCTCTTTTCAGAGTTAACTGGATTGACGGATATAAATCAAATTGCAATGATTCAGGATCAAGCTCAATTGTTACTCTATCAACATACAACTTCATCATCATCATCATCATCATCATCATCTTCTTCCTCATCATCATCATCATCAATTCATAATAATGGTCATCTTTACACTTCGACTTGTCCACTTCGATTTGGTCGACTTTTACTTTTACTCTCAGCAATTAAGCGAATGAATAAAAATCATTTCACTTCCATTCAACCAACTCTATTCAATCCACTGATTCAATGATCAATTTGATTACATTAACAATCAACTGACAATCAGTTCACAATTTAGGATCTTCATCATCATTCAATCATCATCATAATCCATTGGTAACAAAAATCAATTTTTTCTTTCTATCAAATATTGATAATGATAAAAAGTTTTCTTCGTTCGGATAAATACAACAAAATATAATTTCGTTTTCTCAGACAATTAAGTAAATCATCAATTTGTATATAACAATTAGAATTTACAATTGATCGAGAATTTTTTCCCTTTAATTGTCACAATTTCGCTTTTCATTTTGTTTGCCAATATTTTCCCAATTAGAATTGGAAAATGTCTCCCCTGTTAATTGCAATTCTGTAATTAGGTTTAGTGTTGTAATTAGTGTGTTAATTTGTAAACAATTAACAAAAAAAACAATAAAACTTGACAATCTATTGGTAAATCAATGTGAATCGCAATTAAACACCAATGAATCGCGATTCAAGACTAAATTGTTCAACTGTTGTTGTTGTTTTTCATTGTAAATGATGAGAATCACTTTTTTTAATTAAGTTTGTATTATTGATATAGTTTACATTTATGCAAGAGGCACCGATTGATTTTTTTTCATGATTTTTTGTTTTCATTTTTTTATGCAAAAAAAAGGAAAGAAAATTTTTTTTTGTTTACTCTTTATGTTGATGGGATTGTGTGTGAGAGATAGATAGGGAAAGAGAGAGAGAGAGATTTGATGAGTTGTGAGTGTGAGTGTGAGTGAGTGTTTTGTGTGTGTGTTGTCCGTAAGATGCGTTCAATTCATTATAATGATTAATTACAATCACTGGTTTAAATTATTATCTTGATAAATTAATTTAGATGAAAATGGCTAATATCCAAGCCAGATGATGAACCTGGTGGACCATGATGATATCTTAATTGTGGATGAAGGTAAGGTGGTCCACCGTAAGGGTGACCCATAACGGGTGGATTCATTGCTCCAGGTCGGAAAATAGGGTGGTTTGGATCGAAGGGCATATGAGCACCAAATGGGCTATGGGCTGATGGATGTTGAAGGTAAGCTGATGAAAGATAATAACTGTTTGTAGGAGGTGGGGGTGGTCCAGTTGTCTCCATTGTTGGTTTAACACCTTCATTTTTATTCTGTTGTTGTTGTTGTTGTTGCTGCTGCTGCTGCTGTTGCTGATGGTGATGATGGTGGTGGTGGTGATGATGTTTATTTCTATCCTTATTATTATCATCATTGTTTGACTTATGATGATCTTTCTTTGAGGATGATGATGAAGAGGAAGAGTAAGACTCTTTAGAGGAACTAAAAGATGAATTTGTTGATGATGAAGGTGGTTGATGATGATGATGGGCTGCATTCTTAGGACTAGATATCGATGAAGAACTTGCGTTTGAAAGAGAAGACATCACAGAATTACTTGAGACAGACATTGGAATTTTACTGCCTTGTGGTATATTCAAAATGGAGGAGGAAGAGGATGATGATTTCATTGATGAATCCATCTTATTATCACGGTTTAAATGAGAATCATCTCTTTTCAATGGGGGTGGACCAGAATTACTACCACCACTACTTGAGGTATGGGATGATGATAATCCTGATAGAGATGGTACCCTGGGCGAAGGATCTTCATTCTTTGAATGGTCGACAACATAAAACCTTTTTATGTCATCTTTTGATTTATCATAAAGCGGATCGTAAAGTGAATTAGGATAGTTAGAAGTAGAGACCATCATTGATGGACCCACTAATGGACCACCTTTACTATTACTACTTTTAATTAATTGAGGTTCTACTGTTATATCATGATTATCTTTTAACATGGTTCCTCTATTACTAATATCAGAGTCCATCTTGTCTTTTGATGAAATATTGGTTATTAACATGGTATCAACTTTGGAAGTTGGTGTTATCCTAAGGTCTCCCGAATTTGTCCCTAAACCTGATGCTTTTGTCGCTAAATCAAGTCCCATAATTGAAGGAGATGATTGTCCTTTATCATTAGTTCCTAATTGTGATCCTTCTTTTAATTGATGGTCACCTTTTTCTATTAATTTCATATGCTGCTCCTTGTAAAGTCTCTCCTGTTCAACTGTAGCTCTCTCACATTGTTGCTTATAAAGTGGATCTGTTGCTAATAAGTGCATGTGATAAGCGGGATCCATTGAATATCCTGGATAACCACCAGGCATGAATCCATAGGGATAAGAGAAAGATCCTTGCATCGAGGGTGGTGCATATTCTTGACCAGTGGACATTGAAGGATTGGTGCTATTTGAGGGGATTGTTAAGGTTCCTTTTAAATTATTAGGCGGAGAGGAAGAAGAGGAAGAAGATGATGTTAAACTGTTTCGGGAAGAAGAATTTTATCATCTCTTTTTTTATCGGTTAAATCTACAGTGTCTCTGGGTCTTCTTGGATCGGTTGGACCAGAGGATCGGGATATTTCACTTTTCTTAATATCTGATGTGTTGACACTTTGCTGAGATGACACTGAAGAGCTTACAGATGATAATAATTGCTGATTTGATTGTGATTGTTGTGTTTGCGGTTGTTGAAGTGTATTTGTTATTTGTGGAGGTGATGGGTTGCGATTTTGTGGTTGAGAAGATTGCTGTGAAATAGATGTTGATTGAGAAGGTAACAATGTTGGTTGAGAGATTAACGATGTGGATGATGATGATGAAGATAATGATGATGGCTGCGTTGATAAAGTTGATGCGGATGGAGGAGAGGGTGACGAAGATGATGAAGATTTAGATGAATGAGATGAATTATTTGATGATGAAGGTGGTTGATTTGATGTAGATTGGGGTTGAGGTGACGGATCTTGATTTTGTTTTTCTCTGCAAAGAAAAAGATAAATTAATAGAGTTGAAACAATTAAAAATTTTCATTTATCATCAGACTCAAGATAAACTATAGAAATCACAAGAGATGCAAATATTTAAGATTGACTGATGATTGGCCATTGAAAAATAACCATCAAAGGTCATCAAATATCTCAATAGGTATATAAAAATCTTGGAGTAGAAATTTTTTAAATCGTTGAGTTTAATGATGATAGATGAATAGTGTTTTGGTTTCGCGGTGGTGTATCCAACTTACGAGTATGGCGGTTGTGATGCGGCAGTTTTGTCACCAGGAGATGATCCTACGGGAAGAATGAAGGAAGTTTGATTATAAAATGGATAAATTCCAAAATTATTTGAAGCTGATTTGGTGGAATTTTCAGAACTGGAAGTGTTTACTGAAGCTACTGGTTCTTCAGTTTTAACACTGGGTTTAACGCTAAGTTCAGTTTCCGTATCGTTGGCATCAGAAATGTCTGAATAAGCAGGGCTTCCAACATTTTCAATATTACACGCATCAGAATTTGAATTATCTACAGGAGATCCACATGAATTTCCTGACGGAGATGTATCCATTGGTACTTGTTCACTAGATGATTGGCCAGCACAATCAGCGTTCGTTCCCAAAGTATCCAATGAGTAACCAACAACTTTTACTTTGATTCCAGGGACTGGAAAGGACGGAAAACAACAAATTAAAGGAAATTAGCAAAGGAAAAACAAAACAATTAAAAGTCAGAATTTAAAAGACAAAATGATTCAATACAAACCTCCATCAGAAGAGCCTTCGTGCTTCGATTTTTTATCTTTATCTCTATCGCGTTCACGATCTTTGTCCTTTTTCTTTTTCTTATGTTTTGATTTTTTTCTCTTACCATTATCGGACTGCGAATTTACATAGTCCACTGACATTGGTTTACTTGGCAAATGCTTTAACGGGCCAGTATTTGATAAGTTACCTAATAAAAAGAATGAAAAGAAAATTGAAGAATAAAAAAATTCATTGAAAGATTAATGATAAATGAAAATCCTTCTCCCTACAACCCTAAGGTGGTTTAGTGAGGGTAAAATAGCTAATAAAATGAATAAATTAATGATGAGAAATTATTATTACCTTGCGAACCCGAAGATGGGACTAGGAATGTGGCACTAGGAGTACTACTTGTAGTATGAGATGTAGAAGAACTTGTAAGTCCTGAAGAGGTTGTTGTAGATGAGGTATTGTTGCTGGTTGATGCTGTGGTTGTGGTTGTTGTTGGTGGTGATGGTGATGTTGTTGGTATTACAGTGGATCCGTGAGAGGGAGATGAGGAAGAGGGTGAATATCTTGTATCCATTGGAGTATCATTTAGTTCATCACTCATTGGTGATCCAGCTGAAGTATTGGCAGTTTTAGGATCACAGATAGGCTGAAAAGTTACCGATGACTCTTGATTAGCACTTTCTGAACTATTATTATTATTCCGATTTGCCTCTTTTGGGTCACTGGTGGTACTCTCACTATTATTATTATCATTAGTTGTAGGTCCACTTTTGGGTGCATTTTTAGACGATGGACTAGGTGGTACACTTGAAGTTTCGGTTGTAGCTTCCTCACTATCCGAAGGCAACACTGAATCTTTAACTGATTCGGGGTCTGTTGAATCGGTTTCAGTTTTATTTGTTGATTCACTTAAACCACTATGGGCACGGGTTTGATGATATTTTAATCCATTGATATGCTTGTACTTTTTACTACAATTTGGCTCTGGACATTCAATTAAAGCCAGAGGAGGTGCATGCAAGGTTGGTGTTGTTGGTTCACTTGAAAACACATTGGGTGTAGGAGTATTCCGAGATTGGGAACGATTACGTTTACTACCATTTTTAGCTGATTCGGGGACTGGACTTAATTCCAGGTCTGGTCGAGATTTACGTTTACCATTTACACTTGTTGGTGCTTCACATTTTACTGGACTTGCGGGTACCGTAAAATTTGAATTTGCTGTTCTACGTCCTTTTCCATTACGTAATTTACTTTGAACACTACGTAAGTCAACTGAAGTTCTACCTCGTTTTGCTCTGCTATTTTTACTTGCTTTAGCTTCAATATCACTTGTCGGAGATTCACAGAAACGTGGTGGAGCCCAATCGTGTTTAGTACAGTCCAATAAAGTACCAACATAAGTTTTACCTCTCCATGTAACATTTACAACTAAGACACCTAAAGGAACAAAATTTAATCAAAAGAAAAAACAAATAAATTAGCAGAGGAAAAAAAGAGTAGACGTAAACTTTTTTTATCGCAGAAAAAAATATACACAATCAACATTTGGGATCTATTTTCTTCTCCATCAACAAAGAGGGAGGTAAAAGATAAATAAACATAGGAAAAGAGAGAGAGAGAGAGAGAGAGAAATAGAGAAAGATAAAGATAAATTATCAACTTTACCTCCTTCGGTTTCTTGCCAGACAATACCTTCCAAGGTAACACTGGTACCTGGTTCGCAGGGTCCAAGACAATCGGGTTCAGTTACAGTACCTACACTAGTACACGTCGACATGTGCCTCACTTCAGGCTGACTCGGTGTGTTTGCTTCCATTGGCTATAAGTGAGAAAAATAGAAATATTCAAAGAGAAAATAGAAAAACAACTATTAATACACAAGTAATAATATGTATTCGTCTTTTGCATGTTCTCAAAGTCTTAAAACTAAGAATAGGGAAGAAAATTGAGAAAAAAAGAACAGAATAAAAACTAGTAATAAAAATTTTCGAGTTAAACAAAAAAACTTAACCAGAAAAATTAGTTAAGACATTGTACATGATAACTCGAGTGGGGAAAATATATTATAAATACAAAGAGAGAGAGAGAGAGAGAGAGAGAGAGAGAGAGAGAGAGAGAGAGAGAGAGAGAGAGAGAGAGAGAGAGAATGAAATGTAATCAAGAGAAACTGTCACTTTGTTGTTAACAAGAAGAGATGAGAGAAAGAGAAAAAAGAAAGAAAGAGAAGGAAAAAAGACAGACAAAGACAGACAAAGAGTAAAAAGAGAACTAGAGAAAGAGATGGAGATGGAGAGAGAAAGAAAGAGAGAAAGAAAGAGAGGAAAAATAAAAGATATACTAGGTTTTGTATAGTAAAAATTGAGTGAAAAAGGAAGTTGTGTCAAAGTGAAGAAAAAAACACTCAGAATCAGCGAAAAAATTATCCAGACTAAATCCGATAAAGTGAATTGAGTTGTTGAAACAGGAAAATCCTACAAGTACTTTAAAGAAAGTGCTTTTGAAATAGTGCCTTTGATGTGTTTCTCTTTCCCTAACTGAGTATATGGCTGAGTGAATAAGGAGGAAAGAGGAGGTTTGATGGGGAAAAAAGCCTAAAGACCCAAAATGTTCACCATGAAGACAAAAAATGGTTTAATAAGAAGATTAAGATTAATGTTTTAGAAGAAAAAAACCAATCAAAAACCAGATTGGAAAGCAAATGAGAGAGATTAGTTGGAAAACGAAATGCTAATGATTGGTTAATTAGTCCAGCCATTCAAACATAATCGGAAGAGAGATCTAATTGATAAGTAAACAGCGAAAAAGTGAAACAACAAATGAACTATCAATGGATCTAATGGTGTGAATTCTGACTCTTTTTCTTCTTCATCTTCTTTTTTCCTCTTCTTCTTCTTGTAGCAATAGATTCTGAGAGTGTGTACAAGAGATGACTCCACATTCGCTGCACAAAGCGAGAGAGAGAGAGAGAATGATACTAGACACAGAAAATAGAGAGGGAGAAAGATAATGAGAAAACCTCTCAATGAGGGAGAGCTTGATGGGTACCACCTTTTTTTATGTTCTAACTAGAAAATTCAACATTGAACAGTTGAAGATTTGATAAGATGATACAAAGCAAGAGAAAAAAAAACAAGAATAACTCTAAGCCTGAAATTAACTTGTTTACTCAAAGGAGTGATCGGTAAAGCGAGAGAGAGAGAGAGAGAGAGAAAGATGTTGGGACATAATGCATAAATCTAAAATAATCCTTCGGTGGCAAATAATAAGACAGAAATGGATGGAGATACAAAAAGAATAGAAAATGAAGGCGAAAAAAAAGATGCTGATGAGAGAAAGACGATGGCAAATTAAGGTTTGAACGAATAAAATTGGCAACAATTAACACTAGTGGTGGTGAAAATGAAGAATTTTTGTTTAGAAAGAAAATATCCTGTTGAACGAGTCTATCTTTTCCTCTCTTTCTCTCTCAATGAGAGACAACAAACCACTAGAGATGCTGATTAACAAGAACATAGGGCATAGAAGAAGAAGAAGATTATGATGATGAGAGAAGAGAAAAAAAGAAGCAGAAAAATAAGGTATATGCTCTTCAAACAAAGAATCGATGATAATCACTTTTGGTATGTGTATTCTGCTGAACATTTATATCCAATTTTGAAACAAATTACTTTTCTCATTGTAGAATAAACATCAACTGTAAAAACAATGGAAACTATGTAAAAGACACTTCATTTAATCCAATAGGGCAATCGTATTAATAATGAAGATGATGTGTAAACTTGTTTTGCAGTTGTAGAGAGAGAGAGACAGAAAAGAAAACCAAGAATTTTGTTTTCTTTTTTTTTCTTCATCATTTTCTATTCCTTATAGCAAGAGGAAGAAGGCGAAAAAGAAGAAGATGATGTAGAGAAAAAAATAGAAGTAGAAGCAGCCATAAGACAAGGAGAACATCTTTGTTGAGAGAAAAGGTATATATATGTATGAGAGAATAGAGAGAAGAGAAAATGAAGAAGTAGAAGGAAAAGAAAAAGAAAAAAGAGAAAATCTTATACATAGAATATAATACATATTCTATTCTCTTATAGCATATATAATATTTTTTTTCTTCGTTTTTTCTCTTGATACTTTACCCTTGATATTTCTGATAAAGGCGAAGAAGATGCAGAACCGTTGGGTTGGCTATTGTTTTTCTCTATGTCTGCATCCAAGTCAATTATTAGATCACCAATACCCAAATCCCATTCATTATAATCTTCATCAAAATTGGTGGCAACACTTGAAGGTGCTGTGGTTGAGGAGGCAGTTGGTAACACAGATTTTGAGGCTGATGTTGGTGGAGTCGTTGTCCTTGTTGGTGGTGGTGAAGCAGATACGCTTGAGGATGTACTTTGTATTGATCCTGATGTCATGGCAATGACATGGCAATGATGGAAAAAAGGAACAGATGATTGTTACTAATTACCACCTCAGAAGAGAATAAAAAGAGAATAGGAATTAACAAAAATATTCTGATGTAATCCAGTGTTGTGTAAATAGAGAAGAAGAATTATAAGTGATAATAGAGAGAGAGAGAGAGAGAGAGGAAAAGATGCACACACACAGTCACACTAAAAAGAATATGAGATGATGTTATTGTTGAGATGATGAAGATCCAAATACACACAAAATTTAAAGATTAAAAATGTTAATCAATTGACTCTTTTTTTCTCTTATAATATTTAATTTTTTTTCACAGAAAAAAAAACACACACACAGAAATGGAGAAGATGGAGAAAGAGAAAGAGAGAAAAGTAAGAGAAGAAAAAAGTAGGAGAGAGAGAGAGAGAAAGGAAAAACACAGAGAAAGAAGCGAAGAGAGAAAAACACAGAGAAGATGAAGAAGAAGATGATGATGAGAAAGAAAGACACAGAAAAAAAGAGAGAGAGAAAGAGAAAAAGAGAGAAGGAAAGAAAAGTAAGAGAAGAAAAAAGGATGAGAGAGAAAAGAAAGACAATGTTGAGGCAACAACAAAGAAAGAAAGAAGAAAACCAAAAACTCTACCCAACACCAGGTGGCGTTCTATTCGAATTAGTGCCATCTTTTGGTGGAAAAAGGAACTAATAAGGATGAAATTTTTCCTCGAAAATGAAAGAGAACAAATTTTTTTCTTTCTCTCTCTTTTTTGCTCTTTCTTTTTTTTTTACCAGTAGACATATTTTGATGAGAAATGAGTAGAGAAAAGGTAAGAAGAGCAGGGTAACCATTAACCAGCCTGATAGGGTGTTTTTCCTTCCTTCAAGATGAAATGGACAAAAGGGATGAGAATGAGATCGAAAAACTTTTCTTTATTTTCGATATTTAAATGTAATTGTGACGCCATGTTGGTGTTTTTCCTTCGATAATTAACTTCAGTGTTAATGTGATGTATCTTTTTTCTGACTCGTTTTCAATTCTTTATGATGATAGTTATCATTTGCTACTACTACTCAATCTCAAAGGGAAAAAAGAGTGTAAAAAAAGAGGAGGAAGATGAGAAGAGAAAAGATTTTCTTTTTCTCATCTTTTCATCTTCATGGTGATGATGATGATGATGAAGAGTAAGAAGCAATAACAACAAAAACAGAAAAATGAGCAGAGAGAGAGAGAGAGAGAGAGAGAGAGAGAGAGAGAGAGAAAAGAAAGGGAGAAAAGGGAAGTAATGGAGAGAGAAAAGAGAGAAACGAAAGAGAAGATGGAGAAATTGATGGTAGTGATGAAGATGATAAGGATGATAGGATAAGAGGAAGAAGATGAAAAGTCGATGTTTAAAAAATGATGAGTAAAATGATACAAGGTAATCAAAGAGGAAGATGCTGAGACAACACAAACAAACCCAACATTTAAATTCAATGTTAACTAAATATCCGAATGCTCATTATCAATAAACTGTAACCTTTAAAAAGTAATTGTTGTAGGAAAAAAAAGATGATGTGAAGATTAAAGAAAAGAAAGAGAAAAAGAAAGGGAAAAGTCTGAAAAAAATTTTCTTCATCTTCTCAAAGTAACAGTCGAAAATGGGGCCAACATATAAACATTATTATTATTGTTATTATTTTGCACCAAGGAAGATGGAGAGAGAGAGAGAGAGATGAAAAGAAGGCTTGAAGAGGAGGGAGGGAGAGAAAGAGAGAAAGAAAGAGAGGAGATGAAGATAAAGAAAGAGAAGATAAAATAACAAAGAAAACAGTAGCTAAAGTTTAAGCTTCACCAGCAAAGCGGCCATGATGTTGATACTACATCAACGTGACCTGACCTGACCTGGTCTTAGGTTAGATTCGGGCTTCAACAATAGACCTTCAACAAGAGCTCAATTTTTACGAACCTCAGAGAAGGAGAAAGAAGAAGAGAGAGAAAAAAAGAAAGAAAGAAAGAAAGAAAGAAAAAGAGAGAGAGAGAGAGAGAGAGCAAGGAAAAGTGATAACCTAGAAAGGAGAGAAAAAGAAACAGAAAAATACATAGAGATCTGAAACTCCTCTGGTAACAATGATAATATTATTTTTCGTGGGTCCATAGACAGACACAAGATGATGATGATGATGATGATGATAGGGATGATAAGGGATGATGAGGGAGAGGGAGAACAAAACCAAGGACACTTTCCTACTTGAATGAATCAATAACTTACTAGGAATCTGTTGTTACCTCACCTTGTTGTTTATTATCAAAAACCATAGACTTTCAATGTAACTCTGGGAATGAATGAAAAATATAAGGTAACAAAACGATGATGATGATGATTGTTATTATTATTTACTATTGTTATTATACATCATGATTATAATCATTGTTAATATTAAACGACCCTATGAGATTAAATTGATAGGATAATTTTTATCATCATCATCATTATCTTGTGATGATAATCCGATGATGAAAAGCCACAACAATTTATAAATACAGTTGATTGTGTTACTTTTTTTATATAATGTTATCAATTTTCAATGTTAATAATATACTAATCATATTCCCATTGGAGTTAATTTAATTCATAAAAGATATGACATATACCTTAATCAACTACAATTGATCAATATAATTATTACAATTGATTAACATGTTAATCAATTGACTTTTATTGTTTTGTTCAACTCTCTCTCTCTCTCTCTCTCTCTGTTAATTGTTGATTAACTACTATTATCATCATGATTATGTTGATTGTATCACCTTCAGCTATGATTATATTATCAGTTAGATTTGTTTCAAATTCTGAAAAAAATTACAGAGAAAAATGATAAATATGAAGATGAGGATAAAGAAGACATTTAAAGAGATCATGTGATACCCAATCGATTATCTTAAGATGAAGAGGAAGATGAAGAGGAAAAGGAAGATGATGATGATGATGATGAAAAGTAAGAGTAAATTTGACTCAGTAAGATGATGGAGAAAAAAACCTTAGGTTTGCCCTTGAGCACGTAGCCGTGAAGAAGATGATGAGAGAAACTAGAGATCGATAGAAAGAAAGAAGTAAGAGAAATGATGAAGAGAAAGAGGAAAGATAAAGTAACTGGTTAAAAGGGAGTAAAAAAGAGATGAATCTATGAGAGAGAGAGAGAAAGATGAAGATGAAGATGATGATAAGTTGAATGATGAGGAACCAGCTAAATGGTTATTGAGGTTGATTGAAAGGTAAACACTTTATTGATATTGTTAGTTGATTCTAGTGAAAAAAAGGTAAAAATATTTTCTTGGTGAAAAAAATGTTCATTTTCATGAGAAAAACTCGGATTCATTTTCATGGAGACTCATAGACATGTAATGTAATAATAATCAATGAAAATGATAACTTATTATCATTTGGGTTGTTTTTCAAGCTCAGTTTCAACAGGGAACAGTTTTTTTTTATGCTTCATCTTCATGGAAATTATTTTGTTGTTTTTGTTGCTAATGATGATGTTGATGATGATACTATGGGATGAGGATGGAAAGCAAAGGAGAGGAGAGAGAAAAAAAACAACTGAAAGATAATGATGATGATGAGAAGTAAAAAGGAAAAAGATTATATCAAAGAGGAGAAAGTGAATGAACATGGAGTAGATGATGAAGAGAAGGAGATTTTTTCTTCTCAGCATCTTTTAGTAGGGTGGGAGGAAGAGAACTGCAAAGATGATAAAGACAAAGAAGACAAGTGAACATGAAGCAGAAAAAGAGGAAGAAGAATCAAAAGAAACTGATGATACCGAAAATGTCAAAGACAAAGTAAATGATGTAGAGAGAGAGAGAGAGAGAGAGAGAGAGAGAGAGAGAGAGAGAGAGAGAGAGAGAGAGAGAGAGATCATGATGACGATGATGAAAATCTCATCTTCTGAATGTTGACTAATCCTAATTCATAAAACTTTCATGAGGTAACTTATCATGAGCATCCCTCTGATTCATGATGCTGAACTTTTTGTGATCACTTTGTTAACTTTAAAGAGCCTTGAATGACCATCGATGACCATGATTTTAATGGTGGAAAAGTTGATTGAGAAATGAGAGAGAAAATAAAAAATGGTCACTCAAATTTTGAGGATTAGTTTTAATCACTTTTGTAACATTGATAAACAGTAGCTATCATCGTCTTAATCATCATCATCCCTGATAATTATCATCTTAATCATTTACACTTTCACCTTGTTTTCATTTTATATTTTTTTTTAGTAATAAACAATTTAAACTTTTCAATGTTTCCATAATCAAGGATAATGATAATGTTTACAATTCTGAACCTTTGTCTTAACCTAAGGCCCACCCAGTTACACCTTGAAGCGATAAAGGTAAAACCATGATGATGATTATGATGATGATAAAGATAAGAGGATGATAGAGGGATGATTATCATCCTCTTATTTTTCTTTTCTTTTCTTCTTCATCATCATCTTCTTATTTCCATCTAAGTTTATCATTGAGACTCGAAAAAACCAAATTCAATGATTAACTTTTCCCAATTGAACCTCCTCTTGATTTCTGTTAATGCTTAATATTTGAAACTTTTTTCATTTTCTTCACAATCAAAGTTAATTTTAATCATGATATTCACCTTAATCATCATCATCATCATAATTTGACTATCAATTAAAAGGTAAATTGTGTATTGATAATGAAAAAGAGTAAGAAAAAGTTTGTTTTTTTTTCTTACTTCGAAAAAGTTGAAAAAAGAAACAAAAAAAACTTATATTACCATTAAAGTAATCAAATGATGATGATTACTAACCGATAACCTTGTTCAATTAAAAAATCTATCATGTATTATCAATATTACCATTTAATTGCCTTAAGGGTCAATGAAATTATCATCTTAATGATTAAGATAATGTTGATGATGATTAGTACTGAAATGATTAGCAATGGAAATGATAATAACTTTTCAATTCATCAGATGATAAAATTGTGTTATGTTGATGATAAGATGATAAGAAGAGGAAAATTAAGATGCAGAGGTGTTCATCATCCTCCTCATCCTCCTCATCATCCTCCTAATCCCATTGCTAATCTTAATCCAAATCTAAAAAATCTGAAAATTCATATGTAACATATGAATTTTAAATCGAGTGTTTTTTTTATGATTTATCATGATGATGATAATAATTTAAATATTGTCAACATTGACATGATTTAGTTAACTAACTAACCAATTGCTGGGAAAAAATAAATTGTAAAAACAATTTACACTCAACTATTAGATTATATTAACATGGGTTATTGATTGGAAATCAATTGCAAGAAAAAAACAAGTCACTGTAACTTGTAAAAATAAACATTGACTTGAATTGAATGATTATGATGATGGTGCTGGTTGGGATGAGGATGATAAGGATGATGATGATGATGCTACTGATGATGCATAAATGTCGTGCTTAAATTGCATGTTAAATG